TATCTGATTCTCATTTTGTTGGAAAGACTATTAAATCAATTGGAAAAAGAGCATTAACTTATGATTAAGCTTTAGATCAGTAAAATGATCCTTTAAATTAATAGAGCAATTTTTCAATTTTCATGGATTTTGCTAAAAAAATCAAAACAAATAGACTTAATCTCGAAGTTACTTATTTAAATCTAGCTTATGTATAAAACACAAATATATTCCACTATTCATTATGCAAATGAATCAGTATCAAAAGTAATAAAATTTATTAATAATAATTTAGAGTGAATATGCATGGATTCTCTAAAATCTCGACTGGTTCAATATAATTAAGAGGTGCTTCTAAATGAGATTAAATTTCTAAAATATTTTTATGATTCAAGATTAACTCCATTACAAAAAAATTACCAAAAGACTTATACCATTTTTATTAATTCTTACTGTTCTTCTTACTTGATTAACATAACATGAGGATGAAATACTAAAATTCAGAGAAAATCCATTTTAATTGTTACTTTTCTGAAAATTGAAATAGGCCTTTATTTCTTTACTTCATCTTTTATATGTTTTTATTCTTCCTCCTTCTAAAGTGGATTAGAAAATTAGACTTACTAAAAGTAAAAAGAAGAAACTCAGTTTCATAACAAGAGAATGCAAAGAATATTGTTTTTTTACCTATTTAAGTAAGAATGTAAGAAAAAAGAAATGCCAACTTTTCGATGTTCTTGAATCGGAGGTATAACATTAATTGAGAGTGGATGGAATTTACCAATTTAGATCTCCTTCTCTAAGTCAATCATATTTGAAATTCTCTTCATTAATTTGGATAAAATTTTTATTGTAAGCAAGAGCTTTGTCAAGAGTGATGCGTAAACTATTAACAATCTTTTAAAATCAAATTACTTATTTCCTCCCTCTCTCATGTTAAGTAAAGAATATATGGATTTAGTTAACCATGATTAAACCAGCTATCCAATCCAATTCGAGTTCAGCAAATATTCCTATAATTTATGAATTCTAAAATCATTATTAATAAACAGTTTAAAAAATGATTTAGAAATAAGACAATCAAAAATCTCCTCGTTCCTTTATTTCTATTATAATTAATCTGTTCATGAGTCTATTGAAAATCAAAATTAAAATTAAAAAAACTACATGGATATTTACATAATAAAACAACTAATAAGTTTATTATTTTGATGTTATTTAAATAAATATCATTTAGAGTAAACTTTTCTTTTAATTTGTGTTGGATACTTTTATCTAAGTATAATTTTATAATAAACTGATAACAATTTCATTGTTGGAATAAATAGAAGTAGTAAATTTATGTAATAGTTTTTTCATTTTAAATAAACTGTTTTTATTTTATGTGAATCCATCTATGTTTAAGTAGAATACATTTTAATAAGATTTACTAATTTTTACCTTCAAATCTAAGCTTGATTTTGCTGAATTACTTGTTCTTTGTATCAAAAACTTTCTTAACAGTTAAAATTTAAAATAAATATAATAGGGAAAGCTGACATAAACTTAATAAGACCTTAAATGTTTATTGATCATCAATATCACACCAAAAGAAGATTGAACTATTCATTTTTAAAGAATTAAAATATCAAACCAGAATAATTGTATTGGCTTATGTTTTAGCTATGATGCAATTATTATCTAAAGGATTGGCCTTTTATTTTAAAGAGATATTATCCTACAAACAATTTTGATTAAAAAGAAAAAATAACGAAAATAAATTATAATCTACCATAACATCTTTTTTCACATTAAGATTACCTAACAATAAACTAGTAAAAACTTTAATAGAACCCAAAGTAGAAAGTATAAAGTAGTTTATTAGCATTAGCTACATTTTGTAGATCCTACTAATTTTTTATCATATACTCAAGTTTAACAATTGGATACAAATGTAACATAAGAAATGTAGCATATTTAATATTTTATATAAGATTATTAGAAGAAATATAAATGTTAGGCTATTTTATTTTCATTTTAAATTATTAATAGATAAACTTTGTGTTAATTAAAGCTACTAAATCAATTGTATAAAACATAAGATTATAATTTTAGATATCTGAAGAAAATGATTCTTCATATTTCTACTGAAAGGAAGCAAAAATTAAAAAACAATGAAATTTTAATTAATTACAGATCTCAACTAAAATCAGTTTCTAAACTTATTTTTCAAAGCTTTCTGAATCAGAACATGTGAAACAGGAAGAATTACTCCTTTAACATTCTTTAAATGTCAAAGTAATTTTGGTTATCACAATATTGAGAGCTGTATTCTTCTCACAAGAAATATTTAGATATATATATAATATTTAGATATATCTCAAGCATTACAATTATAAGTAATACCATTAATACATATTAAACAAATAATCAAACATTTATCATAAAAGTGAGTGTCATACCCTTCAATACAAGATAATTGTTTAACAAAAAAGAATTATTGATCATTAGAACTGGAAAACGCTTAGCATGATAAATTGCATTATCCACATTCATTTATATTTAAATAATATATAATCCTCCCATAAACGTTACCGTTACCTTGTAAGTTATACAATCATTCCAAAGTTGCATGAATTATCAAATGTTTTAGGATAGTAAGATGCATTGCAACTTTGTACGCATTTACCACAAAGATTGCTTTTTCTTTCAAACTATGATAAATTCAAAAGCTAAATTTACTTCTCATAGATGTTGATATCATAGATGAAACTTCTCTAGAGTCATAAATCACCATACAGATGTTTATTAATGTAGCAATTTTATAATTCTGTTACAAAATGATTGTACAAACTAATAAAATCAGATCTTATTTAAAATATTACCAATCACCCCATCTAATCTAAATTTTATAGGTTGTATCTTATGAAAGGGGAACTCAGAAAATTAATAAATTAATGATAGAGAATCTTAAATAGGTCATAAGGAAATGCCACCCTACAAGATATAGGATTAATGAAACTTATTCCTTAAACTTTTCTAAAAGAATCACAGCATTAAAAGATACTTAAGGCCATCTAAATATATGTCAAAATATTACTATCATAATCTATCTATTTGATCAAATTAATTTATAATTTCATCTGTTGTTTATGTTTCTCCAACATTTTTTCGTTTTCTACTTCTTTATCATCGAAAGAGAATCAAAAATTTAAATCTTAATCTGTCTAAAATCTAAACTAATAATAAATTTTAATGTATGATAAATTTATATTCTAACTTGTTGTGATTTTCAATTTTTCAAAGTCATGATGAAGTGAATTCTTACTTGATTACCTAAGATTAAATAAGAATCCAGAATATAAATTATTAAACAAAAGTAATATGTCATAGGAGGATCATTTAAAAGTTCTTGACCTGAAGTTTAAGTATTGTGACCTGCTGAAATATCAAATGAAGCTGTGAAAGTACTTTAATCATAGTAAATTAATTTTTTGAATCGATAATGGTTGAAGGTTGGGAGCTAAATGGGACGGCCAACATTTTGAATAAGTCTTAAATTGAGGGATAGATTCAAACCAAAATAGGGAATTTTAAGCTGACTCATTTATAAATGCTTATAAGTTTAGACCTATGGGCTTTGGATTACTACTACAAAATGTTGACATTTATAAAATCTTAAGTTTTTTCAATATAAAAATACCACAAGGATTTCTAAATTATATTCCAACAATACATAAATTAGGAATGATTTATGGATAATTAAGTGAAAAAGCTTCTAAATAAATAATGCCTGAGATTGTTCAAGAATTATAAAAACAAAAAAGTATATTTAGTTAATTTATTGATAATTTACCCAAAGGATTATCAAAAATAATACTTTTTAGTTATTGAGTCCTCTTCAGAAAGTAAATAATTAATATTTGATTTGACTATCTTTTATAATGTTTTAAAACTTTAATTTTTATGTCAAGGTTGTAAAAAAGTTGAAGTTGGAGAATATTTCTTTCTAAATATAAATATTAACACTCAATTAAGTCAAGAATAGTTTTATTTTAAAGGAAATGGAATAATTAAAATTTTAAATGAAAGTTTAAAAATAGATGTTGGTTTTTAACCAAATATTTTTGATCTTCAAGTAAATTTAAAATTATCAGACTTTTGGTTCCATTTAAAATTATAAGCTTCTCACTTAAAATTTATTTAAATTAATGAAATAAAAATTGATAAGAAATAAAAGTATTTGAATATATTCAATTAGTATAATTTAATTTAAAACGTTTGAGGGTAAATTAGAGATTTGTTTTGATTTAGCACTGGTTTAAGAAGTGATAAGAAAAACCTTTGGTATTTTAACGAAATTTTTTGAATTATTTCCTAACCTTAAATCAATAAAGGATAGTTAACACTTAATTAAGGAAATATATAAAAAATCATAGAGGGGTTAGATTTTTGTAAAGAAGAATTTAATACAAATGTAAGTGAAGAATTAAAAAAGATAAAATAATAATTTTAAGAATAAAAACAACCAAAATCAGAATAAAAGCAGGAAGAATAAAAAAAACCAAAATAAGAATAAAAGTAAGATTGTGAAAACCAAAATAAGAATAAAAGTAAGAATAACAATAACCAAAAAATGAATCATCATAAAAAGCATAACCAAATTTGAAACAATAATAGGCATAAAAATATGAATAATAATAAAAATAATAATAACTATCACAATAAGAAAAATAGTAATAGTAATAATACTAATCAAATTAAGGTTCATAATATTAAGGTTAATAATAATAAATATAATTAGCTGGAATAGTACTCATATAAAAATATCGAAATCCAAAATTTTTGGGATTTTAGTGAGTTAATTATATGGGTCATGTAAAAAAATGCATATCAGAATGAATTAGATTAGGGATAAAATTTAAGGTTAAAGATATATCCTTTTTCAGGTGCTATGAGTATAGGAATAAAAAGTTTTAAGGTTTCATAGAAATTAAAATTATCGGGAATGCAAATTAGTGCACTTATCCATAAACAACTTGAACCTTAAGAATTATTAAAGTCATTAAATTTAAGCAATCTTAATGAAACTGTAAATTTTGTTAAAATATTTGATAGACACAATATAAGAATATAGAATTTGATTATAAAAATGTATTTTCAAAGAAAGAACTATAGGATTGATTAATAATTTGAAGAGAGTATATTATAGATAAAAATATATAAAACAATTATTTGATTGTATATAATGAGTTGTTAAATATAAATTTTAATAATTAAAGTTCGTCATTAAAATNAATTAGTATAATTTAATTTAAAACGTTTGAGGGTAAATTAGAGATTTGTTTTGATTTAGCACTGGTTTAAGAAGTGATAAGAAAAACCTTTGGTATTTTAACGAAATTTTTTGAATTATTTCCTAACCTTAAATCAATAAAGGATAGTTAACACTTAATTAAGGAAATATATAAAAAATCATAGAGGGGTTAGATTTTTGTAAAGAAGAATTTAATACAAATGTAAGTGAAGAATTAAAAAAGATAAAATAATAATTTTAAGAATAAAAACAACCAAAATCAGAATAAAAGCAGGAAGAATAAAAAAAACCAAAATAAGAATAAAAGTAAGATTGTGAAAACCAAAATAAGAATAAAAGTAAGAATAACAATAACCAAAAAATGAATCATCATAAAAAGCATAACCAAATTTGAAACAATAATAGGCATAAAAATATGAATAATAATAAAAATAATAATAACTATCACAATAAGAAAAATAGTAATAGTAATAATACTAATCAAATTAAGGTTCATAATATTAAGGTTAATAATAATAAATATAATTAGCTGGAATAGTACTCATATAAAAATATCGAAATCCAAAATTTTTGGGATTTTAGTGAGTTAATTATATGGGTCATGTAAAAAAATGCATATCAGAATGAATTAGATTAGGGATAAAATTTAAGGTTAAAGATATATCCTTTTTCAGGTGCTATGAGTATAGGAATAAAAAGTTTTAAGGTTTCATAGAAATTAAAATTATCGGGAATGCAAATTAGTGCACTTATCCATAAACAACTTGAACCTTAAGAATTATTAAAGTCATTAAATTTAAGCAATCTTAATGAAACTGTAAATTTTGTTAAAATATTTGATAGACACAATATAAGAATATAGAATTTGATTATAAAAATGTATTTTCAAAGAAAGAACTATAGGATTGATTAATAATTTGAAGAGAGTATATTATAGATAAAAATATATAAAACAATTATTTGATTGTATATAATGAGTTGTTAAATATAAATTTTAATAATTAAAGTTCGTCATTAAAATTTAGAATGGAGAAGTATGCAAACTTAGGAAAGGTTTTGTATATGAATCTTGTTCTTACATTTCATTTATCATAATGCTTAGCTTTGGCTAGTCTTTTACCACAAATAGCCTAATAAAATAACTATCCATCTTTAGGTGGACTAGGATTAATATGTATATATTCTGTAAATCTAATTTTCAATCTGATAGGTATGATCTAATCTAATTTGTGAATTAGCTCCTCTTTATTTAACTAAAATGAAATACAGATATGGATTTGTTTTTCAAGCAGTTTTAGTATTACCTTGCTTTATTCCTGCATTTTATGTATCAAGATGCGATGGAGATGACGTTGTAGATTTAATTTGTAATTCATATATGCTGATTCCTTTTACTCTTATTGGATGTGTCTTTCTTGGTGCAGGTTTAGGTGGATATTTTGTTTTATAAAATACTTATGTAAGTGATTGCACAAATGAAAAAAACAAAGAATTATATTTTGGAATAACTTATATGCTTCTCGGTTGTTCATATTTATTAAATGGAGTAACTTCTGATTAATTATTGTAATATATTGGTAGAGAGAACTTCTTCTTGTATAGTGGAATAATGGAATGTGCATTATCAACTTTATTTATTTTTGTATAACAACCAGATAAGAATAATTATAATAAAGTCTCAGAAGCTTAATAAAATATGATCCAAAATGATTCTATTGGAAAATCTGAAGAACAAGTTGCTAACATTAATGGAGAATTCGCTAAAATTGGTATTAAAGCATAATTTTAGTAGATCATGTAAAAATTTTAATTAAAAGAAATGAAATTTTTATTTTCTTTATTTATTTCCACTGGTATAGTAATTGGTTTTGAATTTGGAATTTTTCATTAATTCATTTCAGCCTCGTTACCTGGAGATGATGAAATTACAGTTAATGTAAAGACTGCTAGAATCTTTTTGTTTGTTGGAGTAGCATAAATATTAAGTGGAATATTTAATGGATTATCTAGATCATTCGTTGGAATTATACAAAATTCAATATTTTATGGAAATGTATTTCAATGCATGAACATAATTGCTATTCTTAGTGCATTTTAATAAAATTACAATATCAATATAATTTTAGGCTTATTAATGTATAATAATTTAGATTTACATTTCTAGAGGATTTACTGATAATTCAGGTTAATTTAATTCTGCTGTAATAATCTCAGATATTTGGAATGAAGATATGGCAATATTTGGACTATATTTATTTTGTCAAAACTTTGGTGTGATGTTTATCAATCTTATTGCTATCTTTCTTGAAGGATAATCCTTAATATATTATACATTATTATTAATCCTTTTATAGTGTGCTACTAGTTATTCGTAACAATAATTTAAGAGATCCCAACTTAAGGAATGATGATATAATAAGAAATATATATATTTTTCATAAATCTTCTGCTTCATCTTCAATGACATAATCTGGAGGAAGTATAATTCTGATAAAATCTTCCATTCCTAATTTCCCATCTCTATCTTGATCATGTAATCGAAATAAGTCTTCAACTTCTTTGGCTGTAAAACCATAAGTAAAAGTCTTTTTAAGATCTTCCAATGAAATATCTAAATAATATAAATATATTTTTAATACATCCTTTGGTATCTTAATCGATTAGATCATAAATCTATTTAATTCTAATCATACTATTTTTAGGTAATACTCTCTTTCTTTTCATCTATTTAGTATCATTATTTTTGAGAACCTCCATTTCTATACTCTCCTTTGAACTTTTGGAAAATACTTCGTTATATTACTTAATCCAATTATTAATTATTTCCAATTAAACCTTTGTTAAAGATGGATATAACTTTAACATTAATTAATCAAATGTAACAAACCCCTTTTATTTTGAATCTAAATAATTATATAAACTAGCTGTGACTCGTTTCATGTGAGGTTTATTTTAAAAGGCTTTAGTAAAATCTTTTACTCCAATAACCTTATTATTATCAGAGAGAGAATCAAAATAATTTTTAACTCTAAATATTTCATTTCTTGTTAATGTACACCCTTTAGTAATAATGATGTTTTTCATTATCCTACCTTAGCTTTTTACTCTTTTACCTAATTAGAGAGGATTCTAAGCAGGATGATGCATACTTTAAGATGGCTTCTCTGTTGATAAATCATATTTTTTTTAATGTTAATCTAAAGCTTTTTCTAAGATGTTTAACTCTTCTAATTCTTCTTCCATATTCAATTATTTTTAAGGTTGAATTTTTGGCAATGATTAATTTCTTTATTATTATATAGAATAAATCTATTGTTGTTATTAACTTTTTGTATTTGCCATATAACTAAACTTATTCTTTTTGCCAACCTAATCATTTAAACTTTTCATGTAATATTCATTCTTATTTGATTTTGTAATCATTTCTAACATATTTTCAGCTTCTTATTCCGTATAAGCTCGAAAAGAACGAAAAGCTTCAAAAGGCTCTTAAACCTTTTGTTTAGGTTCATACATTTAAAATAATTACAAACCAGTAGGATTATTATCTAACCATTCTATTATTCTAAGTTTAATTTATAAATTACTCGCTTAATTCTAAGGAATTATCCACTTAAATATCACTCTTTAGAAACATTAATTTTGCAAATTTCTCCAATTATATGTATGATGGTAATTCAGCTTCGGTTAACTTACAGTATCCCAAAATAATTGATTTAAATATAATCAGTAGTTCATTTAAACTTATATTTCCACTACAATCTAAATCAAATACTATGTATAAGACTAATATATATTTAGAGAACAATAATTACAATGAACTTTATGAATGTAGTGAGTATAGGAAGTGATTGTGAGAACGCATATGAATTCATAAATTGATAGAACTTTGTTTCCAATACAAAACTAATCAAAAATGAAGCTTGCATTTGATCTGCTAAAAGGTACAATTTTACAGAATATATTTTTATCAATAAAAGGAGAAGTAGATCTTCTCTAAAATTATTCATAAACTTATCTTATTTCCATTAATGACCCTAATATATTACATATGATTACAGTGTAATAGTTATTTAAGGTTTGGATTGACATCTTTAGTAATATCAAATTTCAATTCCATTCTTCGTAAATGCATAGGAAGATTGCTAATTGTGCCAGCTTCATCGGCATTAGGATTTGATGAGACGCTTCCCATTATTATTATAATAATAAAAATATAATTAAAACTGTCTAGATTCCTCTATTCTTTTTTTGAGTCACTCTGAACATAGAGGTTTTTATTTGGATTATAAAAAACTATCCATTTTATTTATACTTTGATAGTTTAATGATTATTAATTTTCGTTAAAAATAAATATGCATTATGTTTAGGAAAGTAGTGGTTACAGAAAATCAGTACGAACCAGTTTATCTTCTAGTAGAAATCAATAAAAAAAGATCAAAACTAGTTAATAATGTGAAGACATTTTACTTAATATAAACTCAATGATGAACAAATTAGATTATTTGTAGAAGGCAATAGAAAATAGAAATTATGAAACAAAAGTACAATTAAAGAAATACACACCTCAAAACTCTTATAATTAGGGTATATAGAACTTGAGTAATAATAACAAAAGAGCTTCTTTTAGTCGAGATAAGGAAAATAACAATGAAAAATTGAATTGTCATAATTTGATGAAGCAATTTGAAAACTAGAAAAATTAGCAATATACAAAAGTTGACTTTTCTCGTAGAAGATCTTTTGCTAATTGAAAACTTTAATTATACTTAAATAAGCAACTTAATTTTTTATATAGTTATTGTAAATGATGGGTGTTAATATATTATAATGTTCGATATATTGACTAACTCAATCTCTCTTTTAATTTCCTCCTCTGGTATTTCTATTTCCTTAGGGTCTTCTTTATCCTCTGTTATCTCTGTTATCTCTATTGTCTCTGTTATCTCTGTCTCTATTTTCTCTATTTTATTCTCTATTATCTCTATTATCTCTATTATCTCTATTATCTCTATTCTCTCTATCTCTATTATCTCTTCTATTGTTGTTGGTATTTGGTCTTTAATCTTTTCTGACATATTCAACATCAGAGTATTTCTTACCACTTTAGTTAACAACAACTAAATCATCCTAATTTATAGATTGCATAATTTACTTTTTCAGGTGTTATGCGTCCAAATTAATCAAGTGAAAGTCTATGTCTCTCTTAGACGACTTCAGACAATCCGTTTCTCCATGCATAACATTTACCCTTTTCAAGAATGTTGGCATATTCTCCAATAACTCTGAATCTAATAACTCCTGTATCATCTCCAGCCAAACCTTCAGCAACAACCAAAGTTGATCCGTCATATCTTTTAATTTACTCTTTCTTGATATCTTCAATCTAAGATATTTAAATTTGATTCTTACTTTGACGTAGGTATTATATCCATGAATTCCTGGTCTGACTTCACTAAGTTTTTCAACTAGAATGTTAAACTTATATAATACATTTTGGTTTTGTCAATTAACGAGTTTAAGGTGCTCTATTTTAGGAAGCCATTGAATAAATATATTAAAAGATTTAAATACCTTGATTAATATTTAATTTTTTTTTCAGATTTATATTACAAATAACTAAAGGCACAAATCAAATCAATATAAAATACATATCAGTATTACTTAGACAAAGAATTTTTAGTCAATCCATATGATTCATCTACAAAATCTAAATATGCTGCTCTTCCTAAACTTACTAAATTCAATAATACTTGCATTTTATGATATATTATTTCGACATGTTATATATTTCTATGCTTATATTAATTAACTATCTCTTTCATAATATGATTTTGTTGCTTGAAGTCTAGCCACTATTTTCTAATTTAATTTCATATATTCATTTTACTTCATTTTCATCTTGTACTCTCTCTCTTTCAGTGTGTAATTACTTACTAGTTTTTAGAACATGAGATATTTCTTTGTAAGATTTTACAAGCTTCTATTTATTAAGATTACTAGAGTGTGAATTGATGTACATCATTCTTCTTAGTAAAGCTGAATTACTTCTATTTATTTCTGCATAGTTTTATTACATAAAAATAACTAAATATCATTACTAATATTTGTTTGTTAATCTTGAAGTAAAGTTATGTTTGTATGGACTTTCATTATCAATTGTTGCTTTGACTTTATTCACTACTTTAACATGTCTATCATATGACTAAACCATACTAATTCTATTACATAGGCTTATTATTTTTATTCTATGATTTTACTTGAACTAGTGTAATTCCACATATGTTAACAAGATCAAAATAATTTTTATATAATTTTTATTCCCAAAAATATAACAATATATTAATATTTCTAATCTTTTGTTTTTTTTTCTAATCAAATATAACTGATATATGATAATTAACCAACTCATTCAACTTGATAATCATCCGTCTGTGTGATTAAATTCTGCGATGAATTTTTTTTCACCATATTTATAATAGGCCTCTTAATTATGCATTATTCAGATCATACATTTAATTAAGTCCAAAATGAAGAAGCCTTATTTTTTTGATGGATTGAAAGGGTTATTATTATTCAATATTTAAAAGTAATCTAATTCGATAGAAGAATTGGAACAAAGTCTAGGATTATATCCAGTTGAACAGGAATTAGATAGGCGGAAACAACTTGGAAATAAAAATTAATTAGAATTTATAATTAAGGATAAAAATTTTCATCCAAAATAAAGGAAAACAATATAATACTTTATATTTATTTAAAACATCATAAAAAATTATTAATAGAATGTTCAATTTCTTAGAAAGGTACTTTTTAGAAAAAGAAACTATTTAAGAAAGTTTTTAATAACTAAAATATAAATAGCAATACAGTTTACTAAAATATAGATATAAACACTTATATTTTATTAGATATTAAAAAAATTGGAGTAATCTTTTTTATCTTAAAGCAGTCCCTTAATTAAATTTATATTAAAACATTTATTACAATTAGTATTTTAATAATCAATTAAATTTCAACAATATAAATCATTTTCAAAAATGTTCCTCATTGGTTTTCTTTATTTTGTTTATTACATAGGCATCAAGATCTATGATTTCGTAATCGATAATTTAATGCGAAAATGTTTAATCTTAAAAATTATTTATAACTTCCTCCCATGAATTACAACAATATGAGTATAAAAATGACACAATGCAATAGCAAAGTATGGTTAATGATATTATTACTTCCACTAATCCAGAAATGAAACCTATTATAATACAATACCATTTTTTCATCTTTATTCTATATTTTGTATGACCCTCTATGACCTTCATTTCTTTTTTTCGATTTTTACATAATTAAAATATGTTAAAGGTTATAAATAAAATTTCTGAAGAAATCAATAAAGGAATTAAATATCTATAAATTTGAGTAAGATGATTTAGGAATTTGATGTAAAATATAAGCGTTAAAATAGTTCCAATTATAGCTCCTAGCAAATGAGACTTAGAAAAATAAGCACTAGATCCTATACTTTCATAAGGCTCAATATCTTTTATGCAAATGCCGATGTAGAATAGTTCCAATAAATCTAAGATAATTAAAAAAGAAAGGATGTAGACAATTAGAGAAGGATCATTATATTCCTCCTCATTGGTCACCAAATAAATCGCTCCACCATATAAACTTTAGCACATACTAATACATTTTTAATAACATTATCTGGCTTTTGTATTTGAGTACCCCTAGAATATAAATTTATTTTCCATTTTTATAAAGTACCATTGCAGCACCCATAAACCAGTATACATTATAAAAACTCTCCAATAGAAAATGTCTAAGATAAATAATGAAATAATGAAGCTTATTATTTTTATTATTGTTCCTACCATAATATCGAGTTCAAAAGTAAAATATTTTTCAGGTGCAGCCCAACCAAAAATCCTCAATAGAATATCTATTGTCAATTCAAAAAAATCCAAAGGTTAACCCATGCTAAATTTATTTTAAATATAAAATTATTCTACTTTTAAATCTTTCAAGTCTTTATAATCAAATAGAATAAATTATTAAAAAATAATAAAAAATGAAAAAATTCTTAATATCTCTAGAGAACATAATTTTTATTCATTAGCTAATTGTTAAATTAATAGCACCAAAAGTAAAATAGGGAAAGAATGGATTATAGTCTTTTTAAAAAGGATGAAAATATGATATGAAAGTTAGAAAAAAAGATTCAATAAAATTAGAGTATTTAATAAGAAGAATAAAAATAAAAGAGAGAAAGTGTAAAGAAGAAAGATACATAAAAGAATGATTTATTAAATAAGAAATTCCAATGAGTAAAAAGTAGACAGCAGAATTTCAAAAATTGCTTTGGAAAGCATTGAATCCAGAATTTTTATAACAAATCAATTGTAAAATTTAGCATCAATAAATAGAAAGTTTTCATCCTTAATAACTTTAATATTTGGATTAAGGTAATAATATTATCTGATATGATAATCAAATAAATAATAGAGAGGATGAGATAACAAAAGAATTGAAGTAAATAAATAAAATAAATAAGAATTCAACTTAGATTATGTTGATAATAATAATACTTTTAAGTTTAGTATTTGGAAAAGTATTTGTAAATTTTAGAGAATTAATTGAACAAAGAGCTAAAGATTGGTTGTTAGTCTATTGAAATTTAATAATAAATCAAATAATATTTATCTAAATACTGATTTAGTAATAGCTTAATCTTTGACATTAGTATATTACATCATAATTTTAATATCTAAATCAGCCGCTTTTAATCCTTTAAAAATGATTTTACCTTTACCTTATTCTATACTTCATAGATACAGTTAAAATTTTAGGTTCAGATTATTCAAAATTGAATTGTTGGAAATTCATCCTAATCCAATTTTGAATTTTTTCTACTCTATAATTTTTTTAATAATAAAGGACATTATTCTTGACATGCCCTAAATAAAGTCTTGAACAATTTGTTTTTCTTAAAAAGCATAAAAAAAATTCTTAATATAATTATTAAACTTCTGGAGTTTATGAATAATCGAATTGTTTTTGTTAAAACATTGTTCAAATAATTAAATATTAATTAAAAATGAATAAATATTCACGTGATAGCTTAGTATGATAATTATTAAGATAAATTAGAAATGCCTTATAGGTGCAGTATTAGTAAAGGCAGGACAAGCACTTTTAATGACATGGGGAAAGTCTAATGTTTATTATTATTCATATTTCAAAATGAATGATCCTAATTTATCAATAACATATAATACATTGCCAATTGCATTAATGGGTATACCATTAGCAGTTGCATCAGTGTATTCATTGAAGATTGCTGATAAAATAGGTTATGAAAAATTAATAAGAATTATCACCTTATTATAATTTATTTCATTCCTATTAGCTTTACATGCTGATTCTTATTTAGAATTCATTATTTTTTATTTAGGTTTCATAGGTTTGGGTTATGCTTTATTAGCATTTCCTTTATTAAAATGTTTATGGAGTCATTTTTCTGAGGAAGAAGGAATGGTTACAGGTATTTTATTTGGAGTATTTGGATTTGCTACATTCTTTTTTGTACTTCTTGTTACTTACATAGTGAATCCTAATAACGAAGAAGCTACATTATCAGTAATAAATATATCATTATATAGATTTAAGTAGGTTCTTAATAATATTTATATTTCTCTGATGTTGTTGCAGTTAATACTTATTAAGCTATTAAATATGCAGGATTTATAGCTGGTTCTTTGAGTCTTGCTGGTAGTTTATTAATAAACTAAAGAAAATTAGAGGTGGCAGAAGAATAAGAATTATAAGTTCTGACCAGCGAAATATAGAATATCAAAATTACTCCAAATGATCCTCTCTTATAAGTTGTTAAAACTAAACAATTTAAAATTATTCTAGGATCTTACTTTACTGTTTTCTTTTTTGATATAACGTTGGGATTAAATTACAAAACATATGTTTTATAAAAGGTAAAGTTATATAATTAGTTTAAGAGATAAATAATGATTAACTAATTACATGGGTTGATACACTAGGAACCATTCTTGGATCAATAGCTAATTTCGTATTTGGTAAAATGGCTGATTAGATTACATTCACTGTCCTATTACATAAATTACTAATAATTATGAGTGTCATAGCTATCATGATACCCATATCATTAAATCTTTCTAAAGACTTATTCATAATTGGTAACCTATATTTAAATTTACTTAGATTATCTACTGTTATCTATATTCTCTAAAGGAATCACTGTTATTTTAGGTCCAGGACTACTTTAAATATTTGGTAAAAAAACTGGTGCTGATATACTACCTATTGCCAATTTTAGTGGATTGCTTGGTTTCATTATTTCAGCTCTTTCTGTATTGTTAATTGTACCAATATTAAAATTTGATGGTACATTCATTTTTCAAGGCTTATTAATTGGATTGGCTGCTTATAGTACTAAAAAAATCAATTAATGAATGATAATAATATCCATTTATTCCAACTAAAATTTAAAAAATAAATAAAATAATCATGAAAAATTATGTGATAAGTGCTGCAGATCAATTAATCATTTAATCAGGTACAATAAGTTATTCTAGTATGAGGAACACCATTCAGTTGTGAGATCGTTCATCCTGGACAATCTTGTGAAATGAACATTTTATTGAAGTAAGAATAATCGGAAATACTTTTTAAAGTCTTCCAAGAATCATGAAATCTAATGCCAAAGTGTATTTACCAGTTCACTTAATCCCTTTTCTACTCTATAAAAGAAAACAGCTTATTAAGAAGTATCAAAATTCCTATATATCTAATAGCCCTATTTCTACTATTAGTAGAGCTCTTGTATCATATTTTAAAAGTATTTGCTTCCTTTCTTTTATGGTTCAAATTCTTCGATACAATTGGTGCAAATAAAAAAATCTCCTTAAAAAGGTTGATCCATTTGTTCCATCATCTGGTGGGTTTATAAGTTCATTTGCTCTACTTCTAGAATCCAATACAAGGTACTTTTGCAATCATAATACAGGGCAATGGAAATTTGTTTAAGCATTGTTCCTAGATTTTGTGAAACAGTCGTAAACTTATTAAAAAGCAGAGGAAAAATGATTAACATCCCTCATGGAGATGTTATTGTTTTTTCATTTGTTATTGCTATTATACATTATTATTATTAACATGATGTAAGATTGCTTAATCATATTAGCCAAAATCTTTAAAAAGCACATATTATAAAGTATTTGAAAAAATATGGGGAATAAATTGATTTCATAATTTGTGTTTCATCTAAAATCTAATATGATTTTTATATTTTTGATTATTCATTCTAATTAAGAGTGTCTGTTAACTAATTTATATTGATTTATAAATATGTAAATTCACAAAGTTCTATTTAATTTATAATAATTATTTTTATAATTAAATTCATATTACATTGCTAAAATATTTTATACTTTAGATTAATACTATAGATAAATATTTATAAAATTATCCATCACCCTACGATGCTTCTTTTGGTTTATTAAATGTATTTAATAACCTTGGGTTCTGAGTTGTTTTCATTCCTTTTATGTTTTTGCTGTTTTACATGTTGTAATTTCATCATTGCAAAATTTTACTTAATTTTTTTTTGATTAGTTTTTTTCCATTCTATACACAATCTATTTATGAAGAGGATGTTACATTTTAATGATTTTGAGAAAAAGATGATTAAATGTATAACCCATAATAAATTCATAATTGTCTACTTTTAACAATTGATGAATTATCTTCAGGATTAATTAACGCTTTTAAAGAGAGTTTCTTTTTTAATGTAAATTTTGATTCCCAAAATTAGTTTTTTTTTTCAATAATTAACATCGAATTTTTCATCTACAAAACATTTAAAAAAATCTTTAATAATTTTATAATAGATAGTTTTAATGTATAGAGATAGATATCTAGAAACAAATTTCTGATTGCAATAATTAAAAAAAGTCATTTCTGATTTATCTTTTATAAATTATTGTAACGAAAAATCATCCATCATTAAAAAGTTAAATAATGTTATTAATCGATTTCTCAATATTTTTAGCTTAAAAAACCATTTATAAGTATATTGCCTTCTTTTTAAATTACTTTTTAAAATGAATTTAATTTTAAAGGAAATAAGAAAATTAACATACCATTTACCTTCTTTTTCTATAATCTTACATTAATTGAAATAATTTATCAATATAATTTGCATCAATAATAGTCCATAAACAATTCCCAGGTCCATTGTTGATATAAATTTAACTTAAACCTTAAAAATCTTATTATTCTCCTATTGGCTCCTTTTGTTTTTGTAACTAAGATATTTCAAGCAATTGTTTTTTGTAAAAAATTTAGGTAAGAAATCAGCAATCCTATAGATTTCTTCTTTCCAATCTTTCATATCTATATTAACTGTCTAATAAATGAAATTTTTGCTAAAGTTTGGATTCTATTTAAAACAAGGATTTCTAATCTTCAGCATCACTATAAAAGCCTTATAAAACTTTTCTTGATTTGCCATAATATTATCATCTATAATAGATTCTAACCTCTAATATCCATTTCTTAAATTTTATGATTCTTTGATAAATCTTAGAATGTGAAAAGATTTTTATTCAATTTTGTAACTACATCTTCGGGTAAAAACTGCAAAGTAACTTAATGTTTTATCCACTTCTCAGGTGATTCTATAAAATAATAGATTGCTTTATCAAAATCGATATATGCTCATCTTTACAAAAATCGACTATCTAAATTTGTTGTTCTTAATTCATAATTTAATAAGTATTTATGAAACAAGTGTAGAATTTGATTGTTTTCATATTATTGAAATTATTGTACTATTGAGAGTAATACTACTTTTATATTTTTATGATACTTTAATAAAACTGCCTTATTGCTAAATATATTCGTATAATTCATTTGTTTCCTATTAATTCAATTACTCAATAATTTATTTTGTTAATTTGAAATTCTTTAATACATACTTCATATAAATCTCTAATATTGAATTAATTAATAAAGCTCATCTATTTGGTATTACACATTTTTCATTCTAATATTTAAGAAAAATAATATAAAATTAGTATAAACTATCAAGGTTCAAATGATTCTTATTATAATTTAATAAAGCAAAGATATTAATGAGTTAATGATAGCTCAATCATATAACCGAATTATATAGCTATGAGAATAAGTTATAAATGAAATAGCAACTAAAAAATATTTAAGTTTGTCTTTATTGATGCAAAGTATAATTTGATGATGATAGTAAAATATAACAATAAATATACACATCTATATTTGAATATATATTGAATAGAATTTGATTCTCATTTTTTCTTTGACTGTGTGGTATTATTACTGGGTTTTTTGATAGATATAGATTATTAAGGAACTTATGCTTAAGCTGGCATTTTCTCATTAACTATATCTGCATTTTTAGCTACATTAAAATCAGCAAGTGCTTAAAAATATAAGAATAGAATAATACCATCTGTAATAGCAGTTTTACCAGCTGATAGTATACCTTTAGGTAATCTTTTATCTGGACAAGCTCCTTTTAATTTCATAACACTCTCGCTTTCTTCTCGGAGTGTTTTTTGAAGTTTCATCATTGTTGCTACAAATTTCAATTTATTTTTTAATTTTTCTGTACCTATAAATATTTTAATAAAATATTTTACTTTTTCCAGTAGAACCACCTGATTGTTATTTATTAAACTGTTTATTTTGATTTGTTAATTATTTGAATTATTCAATATCTTCTTAATTAACATCATCAAAATCATCACCCTAATCTCCTGCTTGAATTAAATTATAAAGCATTTCTGTTATTTTCTCAGCTACAAAAGGTATTGACCAAGTAAATATATCCATAAAATTTGGTAGTAAATATGGATGTGGAGTATATTAAAATTATTAAATATTTAGAGTATTGTTCTAATAAATTATATAATAATAATTATACTTCGAATTTTATTACAGCTCCTCTATTGTTATAAACATCACAATAATTTGGAGCACTAAAGATAGTAATTACAACTGGGAAATCTTATCCCCCATTCCATCTATGCATTTTATACCCATCAAGTTATGCCTATTTATTTACATATACTTTACTTCATGAGCTCTAATGATACTAATTAGACTGTTTCTTTATAAGAATTTTGTACTTGCATCATTCCCAAAGAACCAACTACATCCACGAACTTCATTACTTTTCCATTGACTATCTAAATTTCCTTAATCATGATCTACTGGATCACTCCATAATAAATCACAAAATAATCCACTACGAGGTGGCTCATGATATCTATCTAATTTCTTTATATCTTCAATCTAAATATTATTTTATTTATTACGGATTTTAAATCAGGTGAAATCCCACCATGTATTGCAATGAATTTTGAATTTATTATACATGACAATGGAAATAAATCAAATGAATCCATTAACATATCATAAGTTTCTTAATCGTATTTATAAAGACCTATCATTTATATGATAAGTACATTCATCTTTAAAATTAAAAAATGCTGTCAGTTATCTACATTCATGATTACCTCTCAAAAAATATACTGTATTAGGATAATTTATTTTTATTGCATAAAGTAATATTACTACCTCAATTGAATATGATCCTCTATCTACAAAATCTCCTAGAAACAGATATCTAATATTCATAACTTATTTTACTTTGTTGTTTCAGGATTACCACCAACTTTTGGTTCCAATAATTTTAATAAGTCATAATATTATCTATTTAAATTCACTTATATACCCATGGATATCACCGACAACAGTAAGTGGATCTTGCAAATAAATAACATTTCCCTCATTTTCTAAGAATCAAAATATGATTATACTCAATAATTTGTTACAGTCAGCAACTAATTTAAATAATTCTTCTTTGGCTATTCTTCCTTCTCTTTATAGGTGATCTTTTAATAATTTCCAATCAGGTTTGTCTAAATAATGAAATATTGTGACGTACTTTTAAGTTTATCTGGAAACATTAGATTTTTTGAGAGTGGTCGATGAGGGGGAGGCTTAAGTGTTTTCACCTATCTATCATTAGCTGGGTCTTTGAGAATGTCCATTAATATTTATAATATATATATAATATTTATTATTATTAATACTTATCATAGATCAGATGCTCAACTTCTACAATTCTGATCTCAATTTATTGACTCTTGATAATAATGAGCAATCCAAAAATTTATTTCCTGAATACATTTATAATCCTCCTAAAATAGATGGATCAACTTTGTATTAAACTGAAAATTGCATGTTTGGACTTGATTCTTTTAAGGCTGATATAACTTATGTTCTATTTATAATTTAATTATATTTACTTTTATTCTTCAGATAAGTTTTCAGCAGAAATAATAGTGATGTTTTCTTCTTTATTAAAGATTCTATAATATTCAATATATTTTTCAGCTGTCTTAGTTAAATATGAAATTCTTTGACTATCAATCATAGTATTCAATAGATTCTAAGTGACTTCATGAAATCCTTCCTAAAATATGATTAATATGATTTACTTTAGTAAGAGTTTGAATAACATTTCTTTATTGATTTCTCTTATATGATGAATTAAGTAAAAAGCCTGCAAATACTGGACTCTTTTCAGCTAATTCTTTAAAGTATTTCATGTCCTACAATACTAAATGAAGTGCTTCTCTTTATGATGCTGTTGAGAATAACACTCCTGCATATTTTCCTTAAACAGTATCTTCAAAAGAGGGAGGCTTATGTCCTAAATTGATTTTTTAGTCTTAATACCTGGTACTGATTTAATTTCAGCCTCAGCTTTACCTGTAGCAACTGAATATCTAAAACAGGCTCTTTGAATTATTTTAAACATTATTTAATTAATGATTTTATTTAGTAGGATTCTTTATTGCTTTTCATCTGAGAAGAAGATCCTTAGATTCATCAAATCATGTAGTAGTCCAAAAGAAGTTTATTAAATTTATCACAAAAATTAAGAACATTTTACTCCATTGTTATTTTTGGAATCTTTGAAACATATGAATACAAATCCAATTAAAAAGAGATTTGATTTAAATGATGATTCTGCATTCTATGATGAATTAACTGAAATATTTAAACAAGTACCTATGCAAGAAAAATGGAGATTTTGTAATATGTTTAATCTTATTATTAGATAGATGTGCAAGTTGCTAAAATTGGAAGAAATAAATAATTAATCAAATAATATGGAAGTGATTTAACATGCATTAGAGTTAAATAAATTGCTATTCTATTATGGGGTTATCATAAAAATGGTATCAAAAAACCAAGAGTAGTCATTCATCTTATAGATTAACTTCAATAAAATTTAGATGCTTTAATTCCTGTTTCTGAAAAACCTGAAAATATACAAACTTCTAATGATAATTCAAAATCAGAAAATTAAGAAGATTAAGATATCAATTAATCAGATGAAGAAGATGATTTTTTAGAATAACAATTAGAAGAGGATTTATAATCAGAAAGTAGAGTACTAAAAGATTTTAAATTTAAATTTAAAGATTTGGTTCTCATTATTTGGGCAATTCAAGATATCAAATTAGATGCTTCTGCATTATTAATATATACATTTAAATTAGCCATAAATAATTTTAATAAAAAAGACTTAATTACTAATAGATCATTAATTCTACTTTTATAAGCCACTATTAATATTAAAGAGAATAAATAAATTAATGCTGTATTTATTTCTATTTATACTAGTATTAAAAACTTGTTATTCAAAATCTAGCAGAATAAGATCTCTCTAATGAAGGAATACTTTAATTGCTTTTACTTTTGAGAACTCTAGGTTAATTAAAATTAAACCCTGAATTTGCTTAAAAATTAGCCTATATCATGCTCAAAAATCAAGAAAAATCTAATTAACCTTTTTCATCAAAATTTGCTTCCATTATGATTTGGAATTTGAATAAGTAATTTCTTGTTATTATTTATTTTAAGACTTGGCATCACAGATACTGATATTTACAATAAACTAGGACTTCATTTAACTAAAAGTAATGAATTTAAAGCTATGGATATCAGTTAAGCCATTTTGATTTATTCACTTTAATAAACAAAATCTCCTTAATATTAATAATATTAATTTATTTTGAGATCATTAATAAGCAAAGGTAATATGATTAAATTAGACCCAAGAAGTTAAAGCATTATCAGAGAATCCTTAGAATAATATTAGCCTCATTTAATCAAATTATTAAAAAAATGAGTTTATATGTTTATATATATATTTCAAATATCCAAAATAAATTAAACAAATAAATTTATCATCTTTAAAATTATAAAATAAATTATGAAATTAAATACATAGTAACTATCTGAAATCAAAGAAGAACTTAAGAAATTCTCTACAACTCCTATTGAAAAGTCTTATAAATTGATTGCCTAAGTTTATAAAAGCAATATTGAATTGGAATCCTTAGTTAATAGTTAAATTACTAAAAGCTTTGTTAGAATTGGATAAAAGAAATATACAGATGAAGATGATGATAAATATGCCAAAGCTATTAAAATATGCCGAAAATTAGTCAAATAGTGGAAATAACTTATTATTTGCAATGATTTAAGTCCTAATAATGAAGAAAAATAAGAAGTTTTTTAAAATGCTTTAAAATAAAAACCATCCAAAAATAATGAGCCATTAATTCTAAAAAAGATCAAAACTGATAAAGAAACTAAAATATTATAAACTAAAAACTAGAATAATATTAGAACAGAAAGTAAAGAAACCCAAAATAACTCAAGCTAAATTGTTTAAGAAGATATTAGAAAAAAAGCTATTGATGGATTAAAAAAATATTTTTTTTTACAAACTTAATAGGAACATATAGAATGGTCTAAAAAAATCGAATAAACTATTTTTGATCTCTATAGACTTTCTGTTTAGATATATATGGATAAGGTAAAAAGTGTCGTAAGAATGATCGATAGAAATTCAGAATTCAGAAACTAGTTGTTAAATGGAGAATTTAATCTTATAACTGAAATAAAAAAAATAAAATGATAAATAAAAAAGAGTATCAAAATCTATTTAAGCTATCAATGCTTTATCTTCATTTCTTCTATCATTTTCATTACTCTTTAATTATTCTATAAAGTTTCTTGCTATTCTTCTTCCCTTCTTCTTTCTAGAGAATTTGAAATGGACTTAAGATTATCTAAATTCAGATGTTCCATACTATTCTTAGAAGATATTTTGTTTAAAAATACACAAAAGTATATTGTTTTTTTCATCTTTTTGCCCTTAAAATTTTAAACTTTTTCTATCTAAAGAGGAAAATTTACTTTTTCTTTTAACTAGAATTCGAATTTTTACAACTATGTTGAATGTTCATTTTTTAAATCTTTATTGAATCTATTCTTTATTTTTAATTTCTTCTCAGAAATCTTTCTAATTTATTATGTGTCACTTTTTTATTATCTTATTCTGATAATTTCTATCGAAAAAAATAATTTTTTGAATTTATTACTCTATTTTTTATTTGTAATTCTATTATTCTTTACACAATAAATATTTGTTTAATAATCACAAAAATAATACACAAATACTCTTTTTCTATTGGTTATTATTTAATTATAAACTAATTTATCAATTAATAAATTGAAAACATAAAACTAAGCTTAATGAGATTAGCCAAAAATTAAATTAAAAGAAAAATTAAATTATTTAACTTCCTTCAAAAAATATTTAATTATTTTTATTATATAATCATTTTGTGTTTAAATAAATTATAAGGGGATAATAATAATAAAATTAATCGCTAGTAGGGAATATAGAATGCCATAATATAAATCAATTAGATATTAAAATATCATTTTATTTTTTCTATTATTAAAACGGAGCTAATTCCTTGAATAATAAGCAATATTTAATTACCTTTACTAATAAATCTATTTCTTCTCTTAGAAAATCAAATGTAGTTTAAGTTTAGATTCTTTGCTTACAAAAATCTTCATTCAATTATCTAAATCAAATATATGTATACTTTAAATGTTATCTAAGTCTTTTATTTTCATCATTGGCTTGTTTATACTTTGTTATTAGATTTTAATGTTTGATTTTATCAGTCTCTGATAAAACTTATGGGTCATTCATAATTTTGTCAAGTTCAGAATTAAGTGCCTATAAAGATTCTTTACATTTTTAATATGATGCTTAGAGCGACCTATTATCTTCCATAAGTTTTTCTAAGTCTTGCAAATTAAAAGCTTAAGATGATCCAATTAATGTTACAATTTTAGATTAATCTAACACAAAATTCTTTACCAATTTTAGATGGAATTTCAAATATTTCATAAGATTAAGATGCTATACACAATGTTTATTTTAATAGTTTATCCTTAATACTTTATTGAATATAATACTATCTAATTTTCATGTTTAATTTAGAAGGCTGGTAGCAAAATAGAAACATAGATTCCTTAAGGCATTAAAATTATTATTATCTTATCAATAATATAAGTGTTAATTCACATTAAAATAAATATAATTTATATAATTCAACTCTTATATCTACAAGATTTCTAAGTATTTTCTAATTCAGTTGTCAATTTTCCTTTAGCTTGAAGTAATTTACCAATCAAGAATTTAATTTCATTATTAATATGCACACTTTTTGATGGCTACTAGTTCTCTTTATTCTATAATACCAATTATATTTACATATTTGAATGAAGTAGAATCATTATGATTAGATTCATCTTAATTAATGTATCTAGCCTTAATTTATTAAATATGATTAATATGGTTATCATTCATTCTCAAAGTTGTTTATGGTTATTGTTAACATAAACTATGTTTTAGATTGTTTAACTAAACTTAAGTAAAGGAAGGAACCTTAAAGTGCGAAAATGAAGTATTATGGGTTTTTTATTAAGTAGATAGCGAAGTTGTTTAATTTTAATAACTTTGATCATTCTATCCCAACATTTTACTTAGATTTGAGGTTGAAGTTATATTATGAGCTTTGTTTCCTTATTGTGAATATGATCTTCTTTGATCAACTTCATTATTAAATCTAGTAGTTTATTAATTTGATATTTTAAATCTAATATATTCATCTCCAGTTTCTGTTTCTTCTTTCATTATGCTTGCATCTTAAAGGTATGAATTAAGATTTAAATTGTTTGATGGAAGAGAATTAGTAGATTGAGATTTAGTTTTTTTACTCATCATTAAATTGAAGTCTTCAATAGGCATAGGAAGTGTATCATGATTATTAGCTTTAATTTTTTCAAATGATTAGTTTTTTGGAGGTTACTATGATTATTTTTATAATGATGTTATAGAGTTCTTTGGTTACTATAAAACTTATTTAAAATCTGGTTAAGATATATGAAAACTCTTGCATTAAACAGGACTTTCTTAAGAAACAACAGAATTCCTAATTTTTGTCATATCAACACTCTTTTTCTTTGAAGTACTATCATAATTGTTGGTATTTCTAAAATATTCATTAAATTTAAACTTACATTCTTTGCTCATCAATTTATTTATTTAACATTTTTTTTTCATATTAAAATTAAACTTATTGTTCATGCATTTCTTATTTTAAAGCTACAATTTATTCATCATATTTCTATTACAATTATTGAACTTCTTAATTTGACTCAATATGTGTTTAATATTTTTTAATTGTATTTTGACTTCGAATTAATCTTTATTGTAATTGTTCTTTTTCTTTTTCATATAACTATGCTAATTATTAATATCTTTGATCATAATCTGATTATTTTTCTTGCATGTCTTTAAAAAAGTTATCTTTCATTTTTTAAATTTCTTGTTCGCACTATAATTTTTATACTTATTCTTTAGATTTAAAATTTTCCTCATTTTTTTGTATTTGATCTTTGAATTTCATAATTTCTGAGTTTAAATGCTATTTATCTGATTCTAAACTCTAAATTTTATGATCGTAAGTAATTTATTATTTTTGTTACTATAGCTCAATATCTTTAATTTAAATATCTTTTTCATTTAATTATTCATTTAGACATCTAAGCTAAAAGTTATAATTTAATTTTACTTTTTCTTCTAATTTCGTTATACTGTCTTAATGCTTTTTATTATTCGCCATCTAGACATCAATAGATTTTTGAAATTCTGTATAACTTTTTTGCTTTATAACTTAGATAATTAATGATACTTATGTTTTTCCTGATATATCTATAGCTTATGTTATGGTATCATTTAATTTCTTTTAATTCATTTCTCTAGTTTTATAATCTTCCAATTAAATTTCTAATAATTGAATTTTTTGTTCATATAAGGCTTTGTCCTTTTTCCATTCATTCTCTTTCATAGCATACTAAAATATAAATACAATGTTTTTACGTTTTTTTTAAGCTAAATTAGGTCTTCTTATTCATTATTTTCCATTCAAATTTAACGATTAATTAGAAAAAATAAATAAAAAGAAAAAGTTATGAGCAAAGATGAATATAATATTTATATACTAAAAATGAAGTATGATATATAATAATGAATTTGAAGTATGTTTAATAATTAATTAATAATTATTAAAATAAAAAAACGATGATTGATCTTGAACAAATCAAATTGGAATAAATAAATGATTTTAAGGCAATTCAATAAATTTTGTATTTTAAAATAAAAAATTTGAGCTCAGTAGTGAAGCAGCATAATTTTTAAATTAATAAAAAGGAACCATTACAATAATAATTTATATGTAAAATACAGAACAGGAAAGAGTTTTTAATTAAATAAATTGATTGATCTTGAGAATAAAGGAGTATTGATTTTGTAATAGGTTTTAGTTAGTTCTGCAACAATATATTGCACTTAAAGGATATGATTTTATACAAACCAATAAAAAATAAACAAAGCAATCTTTAAATATATTTTTGGATACAGAAGGTAGTGAATCAGGAGTTAAATCATAACATCATGATGCTATAATATTAACTTTAGCCATTTTAATGAGAAGCACATTTATTTATGTTCAATTCTATAGGATGTATTGAAGAATAATCAATTATTTAACTTCATCTTACTACTTTATTATCAAAGAATATTTAAGTTTAAGACCATGATAATAGTAATAATGAAAATATATTGTGTTATTATACATCAAAAGTATGGTTATTTAGAGATTTTGTACTTGAAATGAAAAATGGATAAAATAGAAAGATTAAATCAAAAGAATATTTAGAATTTGCATTATATAATGATCGTCAATATTAGTGTTAGAATTCTAAAAATATTAGAAAAACTTTATTAACATGTGTCTTTAGATTTCTTACAGCTTATGATTAAAAATTTGCTGGAACTGAAAAAGCTAACACATTTTCAAGAGAATTATCATCCCATCATTCTAAAGAAATTAATCAATTCTATTATACAATTATCATTAGCTAATTTATTAGATAAAAATACAGCTAAAATAAAAATTAAGAAAAGGAAGAAAAATCTGTTTAATGAGACGAATAAAAACAATTATTAGATAATATCAAAATTTTAGAATAAAATATATCATAACATTAAACAAAAATTAGAAAATTAAATTAGGATAAAGTCTAATTGGAAGTTTAAAAAAAAATAATTATCTAATTAAATAAGTAAATTATAAACTGAAATAAAAAAATTAGGTATTTACCTAAATTTTAGAGATAATATAAAAGATGTCAATGAATTATAAAATATGATTGCTTAAAAAAATGATAAAATTAGAGGTCTTAAAAATCATTACTGTAAAGATGCGCTTATTAAATATTTATTGTTATAAACTAAAAAGAAAAAAGGTTGGATGAAGCAAATCCTTATGATTTAAAACTATATGATAATATTTATAATATCATTTCAATTTTGAATACTGTTTTATGTATTGTGTATTTGATTTAAAAAATACTTAGATAGATTTTCACAGAAATTATTAATATTTTAATAACATTGAATGGAATATTCAAACCAGAGACCTCCATAAAATTATTCATAGATGGATGATTAAAAAACATTAGATTTAGAAGAAAGTGTTTCTGAGACAATAGTAAATCAAATAACCTATTTAGATGAGAGATTTAAGAATGATCGCTTTTAAATTAAAATATGTTTTGATTCCAAAAGAATAAGAAGACAATGGAAAAGAATTAAGAAATTGTATAACATAATTTAATATTTCATAGGGGATTTATGGGGACCCTTAATTTTTTGTTTAGTCTTGGCTATGTAAATTAGTATTTGTATTGAAGGACTCTAAGTTTTAAGGCTGAATCTACAACTACTAGTACAAAGTCTGATGTTTTTGCTATTATTTTTGTTCTTATATGGGTTGGAGCTTTTATAGTTACTCTTAATGCTTAATTGTTGGGAGGAAAAGTGTAATTAAAATCATTATTATACTTAGATCATTTTTCTAATCTGTTTGTTTATTGGGATATTGTGTATTTCCAATCAATATTGAAGCAATTATTATAGCATTTTTTGGATCTTATTTACCATTTGTAGTCAAATTGATTCCTGTATTATTATGTTTCGCTTGGTCTGCTTATTGTAAATATTAGAATTTTTAAATATAAGCATCTGTTGGTTTCATGGCATCATTGGTACCACCACATAAAAAGAAATTAGCAGTTTATCCAGTATTTTTATTTTACTTGTTTTTGTCATGGTTTTCTTTGATAGTATGATTTTAATATACAAATAAAATAATCAAATTCTTCTAACAAGCAATCCCATATCCTATTTATGCATTTCCTCTTCTTTTATCTAATATTTCGAATACTTCAAATCCATTTAGTAAACCATTCATAAAAACAAATTTATTTTTTTTCCATTATTACAAATAACGAAATTCATAAAATTCTCCTTCTTCAAAAATACAATAGTTTAAAATTATTAATTGTAATTGTCTATAAGTTATTATTATAAAAGAAAGAATTGATTTTATTAGGGTTATTATTGATTAGAAGTAAAGAATAATTAAGATTGATGAATAGGTAAAGTATTGAGTTACAATCCTAAAGAGTTCTTTTTATAATTTTTGGGACCAAGTTTTTAACCAGAAACTACAATTGATATGATAATCTATTAAAATCAATAGGAGGAGTATTGGAATTAGGAGTAGTTTCTAATAATTGAAATCTTTATGATTATGCTATAGTCTGTTTAGATGAATCATTTAATGTTTAATTGAATTATCCTAAAAACATATAAATATTAATATGGGAAATTGTTAAGGTCATTGTTTTTAAAAGAGTGCTAGNAAGAAATTGTATAACATAATTTAATATTTCATAGGGGATTTATGGGGACCCTTAATTTTTTGTTTAGTCTTGGCTATGTAAATTAGTATTTGTATTGAAGGACTCTAAGTTTTAAGGCTGAATCTACAACTACTAGTACAAAGTCTGATGTTTTTGCTATTATTTTTGTTCTTATATGGGTTGGAGCTTTTATAGTTACTCTTAATGCTTAATTGTTGGGAGGAAAAGTGTAATTAAAATCATTATTATACTTAGATCATTTTTCTAATCTGTTTGTTTATTGGGATATTGTGTATTTCCAATCAATATTGAAGCAATTATTATAGCATTTTTTGGATCTTATTTACCATTTGTAGTCAAATTGATTCCTGTATTATTATGTTTCGCTTGGTCTGCTTATTGTAAATATTAGAATTTTTAAATATAAGCATCTGTTGGTTTCATGGCATCATTGGTACCACCACATAAAAAGAAATTAGCAGTTTATCCAGTATTTTTATTTTACTTGTTTTTGTCATGGTTTTCTTTGATAGTATGATTTTAATATACAAATAAAATAATCAAATTCTTCTAACAAGCAATCCCATATCCTATTTATGCATTTCCTCTTCTTTTATCTAATATTTCGAATACTTCAAATCCATTTAGTAAACCATTCATAAAAACAAATTTATTTTTTTTCCATTATTACAAATAACGAAATTCATAAAATTCTCCTTCTTCAAAAATACAATAGTTTAAAATTATTAATTGTAATTGTCTATAAGTTATTATTATAAAAGAAAGAATTGATTTTATTAGGGTTATTATTGATTAGAAGTAAAGAATAATTAAGATTGATGAATAGGTAAAGTATTGAGTTACAATCCTAAAGAGTTCTTTTTATAATTTTTGGGACCAAGTTTTTAACCAGAAACTACAATTGATATGATAATCTATTAAAATCAATAGGAGGAGTATTGGAATTAGGAGTAGTTTCTAATAATTGAAATCTTTATGATTATGCTATAGTCTGTTTAGATGAATCATTTAATGTTTAATTGAATTATCCTAAAAACATATAAATATTAATATGGGAAATTGTTAAGGTCATTGTTTTTAAAAGAGTGCTAGTTAAGTTAACAGTGTTGATTGTACAAAATTAATTATTCATGTAAAAACATGGTAGAAAGAAGCGTTCTCTTTATTTGATTATGAAAATGCTGCTAATGTTTAAGAACAAACTTTTTAAGTAATAGATTTATATAGAACTTATAGATAAATACTGAAGGTTATTTAGTTGGTCGTAATTAAGTAGAATGGACAGAAAATGAATCTATCATAAAGGATTAATTGTGTAAAATAAAGAAAAAAAATGAAAATTATTATCTAGTAAATTCCTATGTTATAAATGAAGATTAGAAATCTGCAATTTAAGAAAATGAAGAATGTCATACAATTGGTAATAAGTAATAAACTATTATTTAATTTTTTAGAACTGTTTCAGGTAAAATAGGTAATAAAATATGGAAGGTTATTCATGAAAATGGAATACCTCTAAAAGAAGGAGACGTAATAAAATTGGGAAGAGTTAAATTTACTATTAGATCAATAGTTTTGGATGTTCAACATGTTAAATCTATTTTAGAATTCGAATCTTAATAATCCAACATGTCTGATTAATAAATGTGTAGAATATGTTGTTCTTCTTAATAAACTGCTAAGAATCCACTCTTAAATCCTTGTAAATGTAATGGGTCTATCAAATACATACATTTAGAATGTTTAAAGACTTGGCTCAGAATGAAATTAGAAAATAGACAAAGCGATAATTGTACTGTTTATTTGTGGAAGAATTTGGAATGTGAACTTTGTAAATTCAATTTCCCACCTAAATTTAAAAGTGATGATGCCTATTATGATTTAATTGAATTAAGTAAGCCTAATGATTATCCTTATTTAATGATGGAATTTGCTAATAAATAAGTATTTTATTAATTCTATGTAGGGATAATAAATTGAATGGAATAATAGTTCAGGGGTTTATATTGTTAAATTCTCAAATTCTAGAGATCTTAAACTTGGAAGATCTAATGATACTGATGTTAGAGTTAATGATATATCAGTTAGTAGAAATCATGCTAGACTTTTTGTTTCTGATAATTAAGTGTATCTTTTTGATAATCATTCTAAATTTGGCACTTTATAATAAATAAGAGAAGAAAAATTATAAATCTCAAGAGGTATGGAAGTATAAATTGGCAGAAGCCTTATTTCATTTTAATGATGCTTATTTATATATTAAAATCTTTTATTATTATTGTATTACACTGTTATGTAAATATTGTATTTTTCCTAATCAATGAATTACTTAGCTAATTATATCAAATGTCTTCTCAATAAACTGAAAAGATTTAAATTATCGTAAAAATATACATTTGATTCCTTTATTTTGAAACTTAATCATTAATATTAATAAAGTGTTATGTATTTATAGAATTCCAATTACAAAATACTCTAGAATATAGGCTCTGGATCTGGCCATTAAGTCTTTTAAGTTCAGAATATTTCAAACTCTCAAAATTTAGCCTTAAAAATAGAAAAAAATTCTAATCTTGGATAATTAGAAGTAGAAATACAAAAACTTAAAGAGCTTAGTGGAATTAATGGTATTCCATAATTAATTGATTATGGAAAAACTAAAGATTTAAAGTAAATATGATCATAACTTTAATTAGAAGTTATTTAATCACTCCACTATTATAAAGAAATCTTCAAGACATATTAAAAGAAAGTTTCATTTCTCTTTTTAGTACTTTAGCCATTGGATTAAGTTTAATTGAAATTTTGCAATAAGTTCATAAAAAAGGCATTTTACATCTTGACATAAAACCAGAAAATATAATGATATCATAACCTTATATTAACGTTCCAGTTGATTAAATTCTTACTCCTGGCTTTATTCAACTAATTGATTTTGGTTTATCTTAAAAGTTAGGTCAGAAACCTTTTTTAAATAAAGTTTTCGTTGGCTCTTTAAGATATGCCAGTAGATAAGCTCATAAAGGAAATAAACTTGGTTATAAAGATGATTTAGAAAGTCTACTTTATGTCTTAGTTTATTTAAGAGATTGTAAATTTTTAATAACTGACATTTTTAGAGAAGCTGCCTTGGGAATCCTTAAAATAATAATAATCTTAACAATTAGAAATAAGAAAAATAGGAGAAATAAAAGATGCTATATTTAATACAACAATTCTTTCTTAAAAATTTCCTCCATAATTTTAATAGTTTAAATCGTATATTGATTCTTTAAACCAATAGACTATGCCAGATTACGAGTATATTAAAAATCTATTTAAATTGATGCTTTCTATTTAAGATCAATCTTAATTTAATAAATTGACAGGCTCAATCACATTAAGCTAATCTATTAGAAAAACAAAATTAAATTAAATTAATGAACCTATATTGATGCTATTAGAAAATTTGCCTAATAATAGTTCAATCGATATATCAGAAGATGAAATAGACACTGAAACTTCTTTTGTTTTCATTTCAGACTTAATCAATTCATATACTACTAACTCTATCAAATCAATAACTGATATAAAATTTTGAGAATTGGTTTATTCTATTATGATTTATATGTTGTTTATTATTTTGATTTATTATAATAGAAACTAAATAAATCATATTTCATTGTGAAGGTTTAAATATGTAATAAGAAATCTTTCTCTTTCCTTAATACATATTGTATTTATCAAGTTAATTTTTAGCCTCTTCTATTTTTTCCTTTGATCCTAAATCTAATTTCACAGCCTAATAGGTGTCTACTTAATTATTCTTTTCTTTCTTTGATTTATTCTTAATTACAATCTTGTCATCATCAATTTTTTAATTATTAAATATTTTTGAAAATAACCATTATTTAATATTATCATGACTATCTTTTTCAGGAAATCCTTCAACTATTAAGAATTCTTAAACCTAAACTTCTTTTTATTTTAATTATTACTATTACTATTATTATTATTATTACTATTATTATTATTACTACTATTATTACTATTATTATTACTATTATTATTATTATTATTATTATTATTACTATTATTATTATTATTATTATTATTATTATTATTATTATTATTATTATTATGGTTAAGATAATAATGGATCTTCTGTTTAAACACCAACTACTTCATCATCTGAATCATTGTTATCTAATGCATCTATTTCGAATAAGATGGGTGATCCATTAATTTCAGTATTGTGTGATTGAATAATTTGCTGAGCACAATTTTTGTTAATAGCTATTATAGTTCCTGTTCCGGTTTTATAATTTGTACCCAATTTATAATCAAATTAAACTGATTTTACGTTTTATTAACCAATTAATTAGAGTATTTCTTTATCCTTTGTACTCCATTTATTATGACTAAATCTAATTTTAATTTCTTCTTGATCTCCATAATGTCTTAATCTCTTAACAAGCTTATCCATATGTGCTTTATTAAGGTACTCTCTATAATAAATCTTATTAATAACCTTTCATAAATATCATCGAATTCTTATTCACTATCGGAACCATCTTCATATTGATTTAATAAATTATCTATATCATCTTGTTAATCTATAACTGTTAAAATATTAAAATATACATTTATGTTTGATTGTATCCCAAAATCTCAAGCTATTCTAATTTGGTCGTGTTGGTTCACCATTTGAATTATAGTAATTTCCATACTCATCAAACCAACCCATATATTAGTCATAATAGAAATCTATCAAATCTCCATCCTCTTATATCGTAAAACCAGAATGATCTTTAAATTCTTCGTACTCTTAGAAACGATCTGGGTCAGCCCTTTTGCGTGCCATTAATTAATTTATATTAGACAATAAATTATTTAATATTTAATGAATAATAACTTTAACATAACTTTTAGAAAACTTAAGACTCTATTTATTTTCTTTAAAACTATATATATTTGAATTTGAAAATTGTTGATCTTACACAAGAATATAAATATTTTAATTCCTTCATTGTCAATCTTAAAAACTAAATAATCATAATTTACATCAACAATTTATGTTAACGCATTGAATCTGAAAATTTTTATTCATTCTATAATTTATATTGCTAATCTAAATAAAATGTGCTTATTAATCAAATAGATAACTTCAAAATTAGTATATTTATAAAATTTATTAAATTCTTTATTTTATATCTATATTTTTATTATTTTCTCTCTAATATTTAGTATTAAGATTTGTATAAACCTATTATTCAAAATAAGCTTCCATTCTATTATATATAAATCTAAAATAAAAAGTAAAGATGGAATTTGAAGTTTCCAATTTTAATTTTGTTAACTCAAAAATTTCAATATATATTTTTGGGTTGTAAAACTATATAACATATCTAAATAAAATGTAAATATTTTTAAAGTTAATTCCAAAAGTTTTGATTTTAGTTATGAATTTATTTAAACATAAACCACTAACAATAAATTTAGATTCTTTCTTAAGTGTTATATTTAATTATTAAAATTTGAATAATTATTATTGAATTTTTTGGGGAAAAAAGAAGTATTAAAATATATATTTTATATTTTCTATTAAAAATTTGATAAAAATAATAAGAATTAATATAAATATTATTTTCAAAATTAATAATAAATATTCTTATGGGAAATTTGTTCGAAAAATTGAAGAATTTATTTTCTACTTAGAAGTTAGAGGTTTGCATGGTTGGTTTAGAAAATGTTGGGAAAACAACAATGTTGAATTAATTATCAATGGGAGATCCTTCATTTACTGTGCCTACAGTTGGTCTAAATGTTAGAACTGTAAAGAAAGGTGGAGTGACTATGAAAGTAGAAGTGTATTAAGAAATAGATCTGGGATATTGGTGGCTAAGTACAATATAGACCAGAATGGGGAAATTATGCTTAAGGTTGTGATGCTCTTATATTCCTGGTTGATACAAGCAATGTAAAAGAGATTTATTTTACGATAGCAAGCAACTTTGAGTACATCAAAGAAGGAATTGCATAATTTATTAGATAATAAATCATTACGAAATATTCCAATATTGATCATAGGAAACAAGATTGATGTTAATCCTCACCTAAATGAAAAATAATTAATAGAAGGTATCAATATATTATAATGTAGGTTTAAATTTGGATTACATAACATCAAATGCATGGGCAGTAGCAATGTGTAGTGCATTAACAGGAAATAATATTACTCAAGTAGTAGATTGGTTGATTACTAAATCAAAAAAACAATGAGACTATATATATTATATATAATTCAATTGAAGATATATTACTAATCTTATTAAAATGATTTATTTAAAAATAGAATATTCATTTTATCAAAATTTATTTATATTGTTAATTTTACTGTAAAATTCATTAACATAATAAATGATTATTTATTCTGCTTATCCATCATGTTTTAAACAATTTTAAAATTATTTTAATGTTTATTGTTAAAAAATTTAGTATTTATTATGAAAAAAAATATTACTAATAATGACAAGAGACTTAAAAGTGCAGTATAATTCAAATTTCAAGAGTTCTTGAGTTTAAAATCTGATTAAATTACAACTACCAGATTATAAACTGGCACAACAACATCTAGAAATATTGAAGATATTACAAGACCTTAATATTCAGAACCAAAATTTCTAGGAATTTTGAGAAGAGTTAGTTCTTAAATCAGTGTTGATAAACCAATTGATGATGTTCATTAATCTTAAAATTAGTCAATAAAGGCTATCAGTTCAGAAAGAACGTAAAAAGTGTGACTATTACAAAAGTACAATGAGGGCCTCTTAAAAAATTGTAGTTACGTCTGAAAATATGTAAACATAGGAAGTCAAAAGGAGAATGAAATTCGATCCATAAATAAGATAATAAGTTAGCATATTAAAAATTAAGATTTTGAAAAATCAGCCTTTAAAAAAATTTCTTCTCTTTTTAGTAGGTAAAGAAAAAATTTTATTTGAACTCTTAAGATTAAAATATATGCCATAAGCTATTGATATTATGTAAAGTGTTATAGAAATGGCTCTTGGAACAAATAATATAATTGTTTTTACAGAGATTTTATTATTTATAGCAGAAACACTTGAAAACTTTAATTAAATTGATTTAGCAATTCATTTTTATAATTAAATACGAATAGGATGTACTTATGCAAAATAAACACTTGATCTATATAAAATGAAATCTTTAGTTGGTTTAGCTAATTGTTGTATGGAATTTTAATGTTATGAATGTGGAGTTAAATTTTTAAAAAAGTGTTTATAATATGCTTGGATAAATAATAATTAAGAATTTGAAAACATAGTTTACTAAAAATTGGGAATATTTTATTTTTATTTAGGTAATATCGAAAAAGTAAAATAAAATCATTTTATATTTCTAGGCTACTTTTTATCATGAAAGATCTATTAATTATGATTATGAATTAGAAAATTCTCCTTTAAGATAATTAAGTTGTGATACTCTTAGGAATTTTCTTAATAAAAACTTTCCTAAAAATTGTGCAGAAAATATCAATAATATCTTTTTAAGTAAACTTGACCTTAAATTTCATATTGATATTGTTTAATTTTAAGAAGATCTTATTAAAGGACCTGAATCAACTCCTTCACCAAGAATATTTATATCTTCTTAAGATTGTTCAAGAAGAATGTCTGTTACAACTGAATTTCGAGAATTAGCAAATTTAAAAATTAATGGATAAAAATTAATAACATAGATTTTAAATTAATAAGAATTTGATTTTGAAGTTTATACACCTAAACATTCATGTATAATCAATTATTATGATAGTCAGAAATGAAAGTTCTTGTTTTAATTTCCTTAAAAATAAAAAAATACATCCATAAGAAGTGTTTCATGATCAAAAATACAAAAATAATCCATTTGTATTAAATGATTTAGGTGTTGAACCTAATAAAAATTAACTCAATTTCGCTGAATATTTAAGCAAATACAAATTATCCCTTTAAAAAAAAGTTGATTTACGTTTATAATAGAAATTTGAAATAAATATTTAACAAAAATTGCAATATGCTGTTAGTAGCAATCACAAAGCTTTTGAAAGAAAAAACAAAATTTTGGTAACTTTTTTTTTTTATTGAAGTTAACTCACAAAAATTAAGAAAATTCAAAAAAAAATAAACCTTTAGAAGAGATGAAAAAATTTAACAACATTAACACACTTTATCAGTAACTAATTAATAAATTGCTTAGTGTTTAATGAATAAAGTAATACTGCTTATTTTATAAAAATTTCATACTCTTAATGTAGAATAAGTTATATTTTCTTTTGTATATCTTTTCTTTAACCATTCATAATCAGCCTGCTCTTATTTAAATTTTTCTACTTCATTTCTTAATTCTACTACCTTATTAATATTATTGAATTTAATACAATTTTATTTATTCTATGAATTTCATTTTAATAAATTCTACATTATTCTGAATTCTCCTAATCATTAATTTTAGATAATTATTGTTCTTTAATATATAATTCTTATTTAAGAGCCTCTAATTCTAATTATTATCCTGAACTTGATTAATTTGTTTTTTATTTAAAATCATATTTAATTCTTAATGCTTGTAATTCTTATTCTTTAATTTACAAAGTTTTTTTTATTTAATTGAGTTCTTTTTAAGTTTTTGATTCCTCAAATTATTTTCTGCTTCTCCATTCTAAGACTTCTTATTCTCTTAAAATTAATAATCCTTTATTGTATTCTAAATCATTCTATACATTTCTTGTTTTATTAAAGTATAATACTTTAGTTCATTTTGTAAATTATCAATTTTTTATGTAAACACTTGCACTACTTTCAAATTATCATTTTATAGATAATCTATTTATTAACCATGTTTATTTTGATATCCAGCTAATTTAGAATTTAGAAAATTAACTTCCTCTTCTTTTTTATTTACTATATTTTTCAGTTATTCATTTTCTATAATTAATTTTTAATTTTGATCGTTATATTCATGATTCTAATCAGGAAATTGTTTTATTTACTTTTAATTAAACAGCTTACAATTCAGCAACCATTTTATCATATCGATGCATTAAATCTTCAAGGAATGGTCTAAGTTCGTTAGGATCCAAAAAGTCTGTTGATTTTCTATTTTAAAATTCACTTTGATATGTTGGTTTTATTGGTATTGATTGCATTAATTTTTCACTAGGTTTGTTTATTCTAATAGCTTGCATAGAATATTATCTTGGTTTAATCATTTATTAAATATATTATCTAGCAGACAAATATTTAAAAAATCAATAAATTCTAAAAATAAAAAAATATTGATGAAATTGTATATAAAAATCAAAAAGTCAAGCTAAATATAAATAAAATCAACTAAAATATATAATTATATTCATAATTTATTTTAGGACTGTTTAGAATTTTATACTTTAGAAAATTAAATTGAAATATTCAAAATAAAATTTATAAGAAATAATGAATAAGCCACAAAATTACTTAAACCTTAAAAATTATGATAATTATCTATGATGTGTTTGCTATCAGAAAATTTAAATAGAATAAAAATAATTGCATTTTTTTCTATAAATTATATAATTTATATGTATTATCAGAATAAGTAAAAATATGATGAAGAGATCAAAACTTTTTAGGAAGCAGACAAAAACTAATATAATGATGCAACTTTTAATGAGAAAAACAGAGATAAAAATTTAGAGCTCACATCATTAGCAAAACTTGAATAAATTGAGAAATCATATTACTAAGATTTTGAAATGAAAGAATCTCTCTTCTATAAATCATTTGCATTAACAAATGCTTTTTTTATAGTTTAATAAAAAATGAGTAGTTTAAAATACCATTTGGAACAAAGAGAAGATGAATAATTATTTGGAGTTTGGCTTTGGCAATAAGGAGAACAGCATTTAATAATTGTTGATGATAAAATTCCATGTATATAAAAACAGGATGGTTATGAATTAGCAACAGTAAGGTCAAAATATCAATGGCCAATTATTTTATAAAAAGCAATAGGAAAATTATTAGGTTATGGATATGATTCATTTAATCTCATATAAAATGATTCAATTGAATTTTTTACCGAAGTATCATTTAAATTATATATGTAATTAGATTATTACAGGATCAATAATAATTGAATAAGAATTTTAATCAATAGAAGAATTAGAAGCAAAAAGCAGAGACAAATCAATAATTGTATTTGTAAAGTATACATAAGAATAAAAAACAATAGCGTATTAAATTGAAGTTAAAGAAAAAAAGCTAATTAATTTAATCCCTCCTAATTAAAAATCTATTTTTGTAAAAGGTAATTTTAATAATTCAATTAAAAGGTAGTTAACTTAATTGGGAAGAATTTAAGCAGAATTTTAAAACTGTTCATATTGTAATTTGGAAAGATGATTACAGAGTAACTTCTGTTTCTTTAAAGAATTAGATTGAAAGATAATCTGACTTTATTGAACATACATATTTGTATAAATTTAAAATAGATCATCATGCTGATTACTAAATTACTATTTGGCAAAAAGATTATATAATTAATGAAGAATAGATAGAAATTCTTAATAAAAATTCAAGATAAAAATTGGGTTTAATTAGAATTTTGTTATTTAAAGAATTTAAACCTAATTAATATTAATTTATTGATGGAAATTGTGACTTTTTAGCAAATTTATCCATTAATTAAAAGCTTGATGTAGGTGAATACTATATCCTTTGTTAAGGCTATTTTAATTTCTTAAAAAATCAATCCTAAGAAGAATAATAAAAATAAAAGAAGCTAAATTTGACAATTAAAGGACTAAATATACCAGAAATTGTTAATTCAGATGATTAAGTGGAATCAAAATTAATCAGATTAATTTCAAGCTTCATAAAAAATCAAGCCTCTATAAACAATACAAGATCTATTATATAGCCTGAAATTTAAGTTACTACTGATAAAGCATATGGTTTTCTGTATTTTTATTATGAAAATAAAGGAACTATTGATATTTATGAAGAAGTAAATATTAAAGAATAAGGACACCTTATTAGTTATGATTCATTAATAAAATAAAGTTTTTTTTAAGTTTAAGTTTAGTAAAAGCATTTTTAAGTAGTTTTGTATACTTTAGATCCAAAAATTATACAAAAAAATGAAAGTTTGAAATTTGTTTATGAATATACTCATAAAATATTAGATGAACAATAATACTAAAAAAATAAATTATTATAAGATTCGAAATAAAGGAATATTTAGTGCAATCAGATTAAAATATCAATAAACCAACATGAATAAGGTATAAAAAAATAATATGATAAGGAATTTTTATATAATTTCAGAATTTTTCTGATTAAGATAATTAAGTAGATTTAATATTTACTGAATTGAAAAACCTAAGTTTAGTTTTAAATAAAGACTTTAACATATAAAAAAATCAAATTAATTTTTCTATTTAAAAAAAATCTAAATTAATGATGTTTTTTGATGTTATTGTACCTAACAGTCCATATTATTATAAGTGGAATATTAATTGTTCAACATAAAATTGAGCATATTCAGTATGAAAATTTTCAAATATTTATATTTTTAGCTAAAAAAATCAATCTTTAATTATATTGTTATTGTTTAATTCTTAAAATGATTTCTAATAAATCCCCAAATCTAACTTTAAGTTTAACTTTGAAAATAGATGCGATTTTGTTAAACTAAAAATAAAATAAAAAACATTCAAATACATTTCTACATCAATAATATTTTTTTATTACATATATGAACTACACACAAATAAAAGCACTTCTATTATTATAATACATAAAAACTTGCATTAGGATCTCGCTCAAAATAATCAAACCAATTTTTTTGATTTTTACCAGATTAATAGTTTTAGATTGATTCATCCCTAATAATCTTTTAATAAAATATATGAAATTTTATCAACGAAGATTTACCTCTTTTTTTATCTGCTTTTGGTCCATTTATTAAAGTTTTTCTAATTTCTTTATATGCAATAGATTAATTCAATCAGAATCTATAAATTATTTGTTTGCCTTTTCAATTAATTTGTTGAGGCTTGATAAAATTATATTTTAGTAATAAAAATTAGCTACTTAAAATCATTCTAAGGATTATTAACTGTTTGAAGTCATTTATGATTTTTATTTATATAATTAAAATCAATAGTTTATTTTTATTATTTTTATTTTGATTAATATAGTAAAATAATAAAATATTATAATTTCTATGATATAAATAAGTACAAATGAAGAGGGGGAGTTCGTTTTTGATTCAAAAGAATAAGATTATGTGTTATTGGATCTTAATACCTTATAAGATTAATTAGAATAAGGAAAAAAAAATGAAATTTTCGATTTATTACAATAAGTTATGAAATCTAATGAATATTAATCATCAACTGAGAAAGTGAAAAGCTAAATAGAATGGGCTTTATAAACTGTAAATGAACATCCTTCAGAATAGTATTAAATATTTTAAAAGAATATTAGTTATGATTTGGAATAATAGATAGAAAATTAAAGATATCCTGATGTGCATTCAGCTAATAAAATGATTGATATGAATATAGGGAAAGTGAAGGCAAGAGTTTAATATATGACATCTTAAGAGAGGAAAAATTTAATGAAAGTATATCTATTAAAAGTATTGAGACAAAAAGCTTAGAAAGAAGCATGCAATAAATTTATACTAGCAAACAAAATAAGTTTTATAAGGAATAGTTATAATAGAAATATTAAATGATGCAAAAGGAGATAATAGAAAGAAGAAGAAATGAAATATAGGAGCAAAGATAAAAGCATTTTTAGATAATGCAAAGAAGCAAAGGGAAATTGGGTTAAATGTAAAATTAAATAATATGAATATAAGATTACAAGTAAAGGTAGAAGAGAATAAGTAATTAAAAGAATCAATTCAATTAGGGTTGTATTAGACGATGAGTGAATTGAGAACGGATAATATTAAAGCTTATAGGAGAGTAAAGGTGATGGAATAATAATAATAAGAAAAACTGCAATTATTTTGGTAAACAAAATAAGTAATAGCAAAAACGAATTACAAAAAGAAGGTTGAAGATGCCTATTTATAAAATATTCAAGCTTAGGATAGGCTATTATAATTAGAATAATAGGAAATGCAATTGATTCAAAGATTTCGTTAGACTGAATAACAATATCAGATGAGTTCAATAAAATTAGAGTAAATGAAATCAAAATCATACAAGGATCTAGGGAATATGTGGAATTGAGTGATTTTTAGTTTGTATTTATTTATTTAAAAAGTTGTTTATGAAAATTAAAAAATTTAAAATAAAGATTTTTAAATAATGGGTGTGAGAGTGACTTACAGAAGAAGAACAAGCTATAATACAAGATCAAATAAGATCAGAAAAGTAAAGACTCCAGGTAAAAAGTGAATTAATTGAAGGTGGAAATGTTGTTGTTTAATATCCAAATAAGAAGACAAGTGCATCTACATGTGCAGATTCTAATTTGAATGTTGTTTTAAATGGTTTAAAGAGAATCAGACCCACAAAATTGAAGCAACTTTCAAGAAGATAGAGAACAGTATCAAGACCATATGGTGGAGTATTGAGTGCTGGGGCTTTGAAAAATAGAATCATTAGAGCATTTTTAGTCGAAGAAGTTAAAATCGTAAAGTAAATTAAGAAATGATACATTTATACAACAATCAAAAAAATAATAACAATCAATGCTCTTAATGCATAGGTTAGATTTATTAATCAATAATCTAATCAGATGGATATTAATCTTCAATTTAACTTTTCACAATAAAACCTTCAATACTTCTATTAATTGAAGACAATGTAACTTTGGTGTGGTAGGTAAATGAATATTTATCTTCATAATCCTACTATAACAATTGTTTAGTAGCAGCACTTACATGAACTTATCCTTTTTTTCCATTTGATTCCATTTTATTTGCTATTAATACATCAGGACCATAAATATCATATCTTACAATGTCTGTACCCATTACTCCTCCAAAAACACATCCTGTATGAATTCCTATTCTCATATCTAATCCATCAAATTCTATCTATTTCCTAACTACTTCTATTACTCTTATCATTTCAAATGCCAAATCCACTATATTCTTAGCTTCTTAACTTGGATTCCTATCATTAAAATCTATCATTCCTATTGCTACATAACAATCTCCTATTGTATATAGTTTATAAACATTTAATTCATAACATTTTCTATCGAATTCTACAAATAGATTTTTCAACATCAATAAAACTTATTCTGCTGTTACTTTACTTGAATATTCTGTAAAACCAGCTATGTCAGCAAATAATATTGTCACATTTTCTATTTTATCACTTAAACATCTTGCTCTAGTATTATCATCGAAAAATGTTTATAAAATCTACATTTATCAAAATTTATACATGTTTTGGAAGCAAATATTGTAACAATTACGATTCTTTTGCTTATTGATTCTAAAATATATTTTTCTAATTGAAACATGCTACTTGTTGCTCTTCCAAAAAGTATGAATAATTCATATTATATATAACTGCAACAAAAACAAAAAATATCGAAATTCTGTTCTCATCAATAAATATTAATATTCCTGCTTCTAATAAAAAACTACATAAGCAAAATAATATTTTTATCCAAAAGTGAAGTAATTAAATATTACTAAAGAAAGATTGGATAAATATCATCTCAACAATATGTAAATAATTTAAAAAACTATTCAAATCAAAAATTATAAATAGTCCTCCAATTATTAATTGAAAACTTAACTCTAAATATATCAGCATTATCCAATAAGAAATTATTTTTTTTTTATATATCATTAAAGATATTAGATTCAAAGCACACCCTATCCATTACAATATGATTAATGGGAGTGAAATTACATTATAATCACCAATCAAACAAAATTATTTGATTAAATAATACAAAGTATAAATTTGAATTATTTTGTTAGTTACATTCTATGACTATTGATTAATGTAATCATGATATTCAATGTAATTATTCTAATTTTAAAAGTAAGATTTCTTAAGTAATTCTATAAATGAGCTCTCCAAGATTGCAGTTTCTTCTATTCCATTTTCATTTTTTAATAAAATTACATTCTTAATAAATATAATAATAAATACAAGTAATTAATCGTAATCGATATAATGATCTACTTCTGGTTAATATTTTTCAAAATGAAATTTACGTTACAAAATGTTTTCTAAATTTTGCATCAAACCTATTTTCTGAACTTAAATCAAACTAGTTTTGTCTTCATTTTCATTATCTCCAATATTAAAATTGTTAAATTAATTTAAATTAACATTTGATTATTATTTTTATAGACCCTTAATATTTAATTGTTCATCAGTTAATGATTATGAATTTTACCATAATTATGAAGTTTATTATTATTATGAAAAATTCCATGATTATTAAAATTGTAAAATTGGTCTTGAACGCTGATTTAAATCTTAGAGAACTGAAGTTCTTTTCTTTAATCCGTTTCTTGAGAAGGACTGACTTTTCACTCTATTTGAAATGTTAATAGTATTCTGTTTGCTAGAATTATTGCTAAGATCATTTTTCATAATTGGATTCTTATTATTAATTTTTTAGATGTAAATATAAGTAGGTCTTAAACCTAAACCTTTCATTTCAACATATTGCACATCAAATTCGATTTTATCATTATTCAATTATTGAAAGGCTTTTTCTGATAAAGTAATTTTATCTTCCTAACCAGTTGAACATACTCTGCTTGTTGTGTTTACTGTATCACCAATCAAAGAAAATTAAGGTTTATGAAATCCAATAACTCCAGATATTGCTCTTCCATAATGGATTCCAATTTTACCTATTAATGGTTGGCTTTTAATTCCCCATCTAATTTTAATAATAAAAATAATAATTATACAATTTAGATCTAATGTAAATCATCATCATTTCTGCTAGATTAAGAGCTCTTTAAACTGGTTAAATTTCTGATAAATAGACTAATTCTTATTCACATGCTTTAAGACCAGCTGATGCCATATAAGTTTTACCAACTGTTTCTATTTTTTAAACTCCACAAATCTCACAATATTTATCAAAGGTTCTAAATAAATCATCTAAAAATTGTATAATATTTTCCTATTCTTCCATGATAATTTAATCAAAATTGCAAATGTCACAAAAAACAATTGCCACTTCCCCTTAATTCTAATGTATATTATATTAATCAGCTAAAATATATAATTTTTTAAAAAAGATTACTTTCATTTAAACGATGCCTAATAAACTTAGGTAATAGAATACCCAAAATATCATGTATTTTATTGTTCTCTTCTATAAAATTAATTTAATTTGTTGCTTGATCTTCTTCTAATAATATGAACTAAAATATTAATAAATTTTACATAGCTCTTAACTATATACTATTAGACTGAAAATAGTAGAATCAAAATAATGTTGATAATTATGAAATAAGGGGCAATGTCGATTTCGATAATGAATCTATATATAAATATTAAATTCTACAATATGAAATATGCAATCAATACAACAATTGTAGGAATTAAGTATAATCTGTTATCATAAATGGGATGCAATTTACTTGACAATTAAAATATTACTAATAATTCAGTTATAAAGTGATATAAAGATTTCATATTAGTGATTGATAATCCCATTATTGCTATCAAAGTAGCAGCCCAAGAAATCATAAACTTGACTACTTCCAAATACTATAGTTATCTAGAATTCAATTTAGTTATTAACTAAAACCAAAATAATACAACTTAAATTATCAAATACACTATGTAAATTATGAGATAGTAATAAGTTTAATTAAATTGAGAATAAATGATTATTAACATCTGACAATGAAAACATATTAATTATAATCCTTAGATTGTTGATTTCTTTCTCCATTTCATAATCGATTAGGCTTTTTAAAATACTTGGGATTACCAAGTTCCTAATGATTATGATAGTGTTTTCTTATTTAATAATACTTAAAATATAATTATAAATACATTTTTGGATATTGAGATCTACTTATTCAAAATTTTCAAAAACTCTATTAATTTCTCTTTGTAATGTGAGAAGAAAATGATGTCGATAATAACTTTCATTTTTATAGAGGTTGAATTAATTATAAATTCTTTAAAATCTTCCATCCATATCAGGCATTTAAAGCATCGCAAAATGTTATAACCATTATTCACTTATTTAAAGTACAGATATTGTCAACAAGATTTAAAAAATATTAGCCAACTCAAATGTAAATTGAGAGTTAGGAATAATAATTGTAAAATGAATCAATATATAAAATGAAAAGGATAAAATGTAGGCTATGCTTGAAGCTATAATTAATTCTGTATTTATTATAGTATTAATTGCATCGTGGAGTGTAATTGATAGAAAGGTATAAACAATAATTACATCTAAAGTTTAAATTTATGATTGATAGGCAAATATTAATTAAGTCAAGAGACCTTAAAGGATAGCTAAAAAAATAATTTAAGGATTTACATTTTATAGCAAAATAAACATAAGGACGTTGTTTCTTTGAAATATTGATAAAGCTTTCTATTGTTCTTTATTAATGTATATCTGCTTTATTATTGTTATAAATTTAAATAAATTTAATTGTTGCTAAAATGTAAATAATTAGAGTATTTATAAAGGAGTAAAATATGAATTCTAAAATGAAATTGAATTTGCTATTGAAAAGACCGACTCCAATTATGTATTATGTTACAGAAAAAGAGGAGAAGAACAAAGTTCTTTAGAAAGCAATTCTTATTTAATATTTTGATAGAATATTCAGCAAAGGCACATAATAAAAAAGGAATTCATTTAATTCATTAAATCCTTATAAAATAGCATCTGAATTGTGGAATATTAATAATTCATTAAAGAGACCTTAAAATATATATATAATATTGTACATCTTTCATAAATTAGTCTAACTTTCAATGATTGTATCATTTTATTAAAAAAGGTTTATTTATTGACATTTTCATATTTAAATTGTTGAAAATAACTAAACTCTTATAATAGAGCAATTTAAAGATGATATCCTTAATAACTTTTCAGTAATCCTTGATTTTCAAATATTAAATTTAAAGTCATATTGGGAGAATCAAAACATCTTTATAAATGTTCTAATGATGACGGATTTGCATCATATAATAATGTAACTTTAGAGAAACTAAGTAATAATTTAAGATGATTGATCATATAATTATTATTTTCAATGATTTTAAATGCTTAACTGCTTAAAATAACTACAATAGTAGAAGTTGAATGAAAATCTTCAGATGTTTTTTTATTTGATAATTGTGATGGGTTAATATTAGATAATTATTTAAGGGAATGCATTTATGAGCCAAACATAGGATACTATTCTTAGAAGATTAAAGAAAACTATTATAAAGATCTTTTAAAATATGCTCTAAGATCTTCTTCATTATCTTATTCAAATACAAATTTATTATGATATTGTATATCAGTTTGAGAAAGTATAGAGTTAGCAAATGTGAAATATTATTCAGTATAAAGTAATAATTGTTGTTAAGATTTCTCAACATTTTTGATAAAATCTTAAGCTTATGATTTAAAGTTGTATTTAAAACCTAATATAATATTAGATTACAATGACTCTAATGAAGTGTAGATGTATTCTTCTGCTTCAAGTGTATTTGATTAGGATGTTGCTTATTAATTAACATATGATTCAGCATCTTAATGATTGAATAAACAATAAGAATAATGAATTTAATGAATTTATTCATTGTCTTGATTAGGAATGATAGGGAGTGATCTTAATCCTATTCTAAAATCATCTATCATTTCGGGAATTTTATTATTAGATTCTCTGATGAATAGAATATATGGGAATTTAACTAATTGTTCATACTCAGAATCAAGTTCAAAAAGCATATATAATCTCTAATGTTAACGATGCATCTACATATCAATTAATTTGAATGTATGTATTTGGAAATTGTATTAAAATATATAAGTGAGTGTATTTCTAAATTAATGATAATGAATTACTAAACTTTATTAACACAAACTAATTCACACCCAAAGGATTTGGCTATTTAAATTTATTTCTCATCCAAGATATTTACATGAGTATTCTTAAACTTTTCTTCTCCTGTTTATGAATTTATTAACTTTGTATATGATACTTAATTCAAACACAATTATAATAATGCTAAACTATGTTTCTCTTTATTATTAATTGAATGAATCATCTCATTAATATTTATTGACTTTCTATCTAATCTACCGTCTTTCAATGCAATTTATCTCAGACTTCTACTGTGTATAGATTATTAGATTCGATTATTAGATTTTGATTTATATTCATTTCTTTCAAACATACTTATTGGTTGTACAATAATATTAAGTTCTTATTGTGTTAGGTTAGTCAAATTGCTTATTAATCTAAATTCTATTGTTTATGGCATATTTCCACTTATATCATCTTCGTCATCTTCCATACTTATTACTTCATCTTCTTAATATCTCCCTGTATTGGATTAGTTATTTTATACTTTATTAGAAAATAACATATCAGGTTTTGAATCTTCTTTTGAATCAACAGTTTTAAATAATTTTTAACTATTTAAAGATGAAGTTCTCTCTTAAGCTTGAATTATTAATTCTGATTCTTTACAATAACATATTTAATTATTATAAATTACACTTTTAAGTTCAAAATTACCATCAAGAACACTATCTAAATTCATTGATATTCTTTGGATATTATAATATTATTCTGGATGAAAGTCTTTTATTTATTTAATGTCTAATTAACTTATTTTTTGAATCATTTATTATTGATAAAGAGCAGCTATCGAATAATAGAATGAAAAACTGTTTGGCAATAGAAATGTTAAATGCATTAAACTTTCAAAGATTAATTCCATTATATCTATATAATGTTTTATATTCTCTATTTAGGAAATTATTATATACATTATCTATTAATTTAATAATTATATGTTTACAATTAAAAATGCTATTTATATACACACAAGTGATAGTAATAAATTTTAAGGATAATTTGAAACTTAAGGTTTAATTTAAAAATGCTTATAACATCGACATTTCAAACCTACCTTAATAACAACTCCAATTACCCATGGAGTATTCAAAAGCTTTTCTTATGCAAATATAAAATTATCATCTGATACTATATATGATTATGGATCTTTTTTTAACTAAAAATATCCCTACATACTATTTGAACTCTCAATTATTTATATAGTTCCTGTGAATGACTTTTTGAATAACACTAAATTATGTGAATCAACTAATAATTATTAGTATTATTTACATTTATTTAATATTAATGGTTTTCTAATAGTTTTATCTGAAAAACCACATAATTAATTTTATACTGTGTAAATTTCATCATTACAATATAATACTAATATATCACATGCAGCTATTTAATTCCTTTCTACTATTATTACATCTCCAATTTAAATTTCAGAAGAGTTTATTGATTTAATAAGATCCATCTTATCAGTATTTTTTATGCCTCTATTATTTTCTAATGGCTTTTTCATTTTTTAATTGTTGTTATCAAACATACTAGGCATTTATTCCATAAAGCCTTTAATTGCTGGATCCTATACTAATTTAATTTTCTATTAATTCTTAATTTGCATATCTTATAAAATCAGTGGACTCATTACAGAAAACCTTGAGCCTATTCTTTCTAATCGATCTAAATGTTAATTAGATGGACTTTTAACTCTAAGCTAATTTAAAGATTATCGAGATAGTTAAGATTGTACTAAATTAATTAAACTACAATACATCCAGATGATCTGCTCCTTTGACTTTATTAGCGTTGCAAGTTTTCGTTATTTTTAAAAGAAATCTTTCTCTCTCTCTCTTTTACATCATCTATTCTATGTTTTGTTGTTGCCTTCTACTTGATTCTTTTTAATATTTCTTTATTGCTAATACATTCATCCCATTATTTCAGTATTTTATTTTCTTGATTGTTTAATTTTTTATCTAGTCCATTTATTTTCAATTTATTATAAAGTTCTACACTTATATGAGCAAACAATTAAAATGAAAAAACGAAATAAAGTTCATATTGTGGTGTATCTCTATGATATCATAATTCTCATTACATAGACCATATCGATGTCAACAATATCAAAGACAGAATACTTAAACTGTAATAAAATATGTTATTCTTAACTACTCTTAAAGGGGCTAATATCAAAATTGCTATTATTGAATGGCTTCTATTTATTCTGTTACAGTAAATCGAATAACCATCAAGTTTTATTACTTCGCCATTCTTGAAATGGAGCTATAAATTCTAAATTAATAAATGCACTTGATATGTATGCTTTTTGAATTCATCATAATAATGCAGGAAGTTCTTCATCTTGATTATTAAATAATATTTTCCTATCAAATTTTTATCATTTTAGAAATAAGATGTTTGAATAAAAACTCGCAATATAAAATCTCAAGCCACAATTTACTACTTTAAATTGTGAAAACAAAACCTAATCATTTCCTTAATTCATTTTTATATAATATTTATTTTTGAATTTCCCTCCTCTCATAAATTAAGTACTTATACTTTTACGATTGTTTTACTCATGGCCTGATTAATGGGTGGCTGAAACTTAAAATTAATTGTTTTTATCTCAAAATTTTATTGTTATAGGGTCAAACTAAATTTAAAAATAATCAGAAACTCCAGTAAGATACCATTATTTATTATAAAGATATTTTATTTGTTCTTTTACAATAATACAAAAAAAAATTAATATAAATTCTGAAAAATTTATATTAATTCAAAAATAAATTAAAATAGAATTAATAAAATAAATACTTATATTGTCCATTAAAGAATACAAATAGAATCGTTGTACTAATTCTTGATTTCCATTAAAATTAACAATTATTTGAATTATGATTTGAGCTATAGTATAAATTATAAATTTATATCGTATTATTTAATAATCATAAATGTAAATAATTGTGTGATTTAGGAAAATGTTCTAGAAAACTTATTTTATGGAAGAAAAAAAATGATCAAACAAAAAAAAAATTGTGTTAATTTTATTTTAACTTCTATAAAAATGTTTTATTTAATAAAAAAATATAACATATGAATTAAAAGTAATAGTTTACCTATTTATTTGAAATAGAATGGAATATTTTTAGAAATAATATTTAATAAGTAGATAATATATAAAATACATTAGGTGATGAGATGAATGTAAAAATAAAATTAGTATGTTCAAGATCGCAAAGGATTGAAAATAATATTATAGTAGAAATAAAAAATTGGAATAAAATAAAAATAATTTATTTTTAAGTAGAAAGGATAAAAAAAATTAATTATAATTTTGGAAATTTTATTCTCAATTTTCTATGAATAAAATGTTTTTATTGAATAGTTAAATTGATAAAATTAGTTAGAATAGTTTTATATAAATGAAGATATAATTGTAAAGTTGAAGAGAAGAGGATGAATAAATAAAATGAATATGGAGAGTGTGTGATTGTTATAATTGAAATAATGTAATAGGAATGAGAAATTATAAGAATAGTATAAATAAAGATAAGAGGTATAAAAAATTATAATAAATTATAATTAATGAACAGCAATAAATTGAATCTCTTGGATATTTTAAGAAAGAAAAGATTAGAATAATAAATTGAGTAAGTTCCAAGAACTCCTTCAATAATGAAATAAAAATCAAGTGAGGAAATTCGAAAATATTTACTTAAGAATCCAAAGACAAATTTGATAAGTTTGTTTAAAAAGAAGAGAGAGGAAGATAATACACCATGTACTCGTTAAAAACTATTGAAATATTATGATAGTTAAGGTAGAAGTTCAATATTATCACCAATATGTGCAACTAATCATGTTCCATAAAAGAGTGTATCAGATGAGAGTACAAATGCTTTATAAGTATAATATTAATAAAAAAAGAATAGATAACAATACCAAAGAGAATGTCCTTAGTATCTCCAAGATTATAGCATTTAAATTCATAAACATCAATACTAGAATCACCTAATGAGATAGAGAGTTTTTTAGTAGGAGGATCAAATGTATCTAAATTAGATTTAGATGAACATTTTTTAAGGATTGAAAATGTAGATAATCCAAGAATAATGAGATCATAATCATAATGTTAAGATGAAGCATAATAAACAATGATACCAAATACTTTAAGTGTTCCAATAAGTAAAGGACCAAGAAGATTATAATCATTTTCAGTAGGGGATCCATTGAGAAATGTAATAAATGCAGCAGAATAAAGAAGATCAATTAGATTAATGAGAGGATTAAGTGGTATTCATTAACCAAAAGAAACTTAAATATTAGAGAGATCTAGAGATGAAACAGGAAGAAAGAAAATGAATAATTTTGTAATATTACATGAGTTAGGTAGAGGAGCTTTTGGAAAAGTACGTTTAGTTTATAATGAAATTGATTAATAATATTATGCAATGAAGATAGCAGATAAAAATAAATTAAAAAGAAAATTATTAACAAAAGAAACATCTGCATATTCATTATTAGAATAAGAAGTGGCAATATTAAAAAAAGTAGATCATTAGAATGTTGTAAGATTATTTGAAGTTATTGATGATCCAGAAGAAAGAAAGTTATACATAATAATGGAATATGTTAAAAAAGGATCGATCAATTCAAAATAGTATTGGAAATCAGAAGGTGTAAATATTGATTGGGATGAGGGAGAAAAACCACCAAAAATTAATTGTGAAAGGATTAGAAAATATCTTAGACATTTTCTTCTTGGATTAGATTATTGTATAAATAAACAATTATCTATTAAGTACACAACTTTGCAAGAATTGTACATAGAGATATTAAACCAGATAATTTATTAATTGATGAATTTGATAATTTAAAAATTGCTGATTTTGGTGTTGCATAAATGTATGATAGTTCATCAGCAGATTTGATATAAGGTGATGTAGGAACTAAAGCATTTTTACCTCCTGAAGCATTTAAGACTTCTTAAGTCAAAGGTAAACCAGCAGATATATGGGCTACTGGCATTACATTTTTTATACTTACTTAAGGATAACATCCATTCCCTGCTAAAAATGTATAATAACTTAAAGAAGCTGTTTCTAATCATGAAATTAAATTCGCTGAAAATACTGATATTGATCTTATTGATTTTTTAAATTGTTGTCTTAAAAAAGATGCCAGGTAACGTTATACACTTGAATAACTTATGGTATTATTTATTGCTATTTATTTTAATAGGATCATCCATTTATTACTCTTAATGCATAAGAACCATTAATTGAATAAGAATTCTCAGATGAAAATTTCTTTATCTCAGAAAATGAAATTAGTCATGCACTCTCCAAAGTTACTTTTAGAGCTACTGTGAGAGTCTTTGCAAAACTTAAATAAAAACTTAACTAGTCTAGACAAAGGATTAAATAATAGCAATGAACAGATACATACTCATTTTATTATTATTTATATATCTAACATATCGTAATTAGCTATATATATTCAATTCTTAAAAATCAGTTTAATTATTTTATTATATTTTATATATTAATTTATGTCATATTAGCAACAACGCGTTTAAAGTATTCAAGAATATAAGTATACTTCTGAAACAAAAACAGTACGTTCTAATACACCATAAACTCGTGAAACAAGATATTAAATACATGAAACATCTATTGATAATATAAGATCTACTCCAGAGAGCAGATAATCTAAGGTTACTCCATAAATCTGTCAATTTTTAATGGCTTGTGAAATTGAAAGATTAGGATCTGAAAATGAAAAATTACGTTTTAGAATTAAAGAAATATAGGATAATACATAAGATAGACATCATTTGGAATAATAAATTATAGATCTAACTAATAAATTAAATGAAACTATCAACATTGTGGAAACATATAAATTTGAGAAATCGGAACTTTACATATAAATCACAACCTTATAAGAGGAAATACAATAATAAAAAGATCTTTAAAATAATTATTATGAAAGTAGAGTAGTTAATCTATCCAATCAAATAGATGATCTCACTTTATAATTAAGAGAATTTGAAACTCTTAAATTAGATGAAATGCAAGTTCTTAGAAATTAATTAGAATCTGAAATGAAAACAGAAATTGTACTATTTAATTATATTACATTAGGAAAAAGCAATCTAAGTTTAGGAACTTAATTCATAATATTAAAGAGAATTTTTAGAGGGAGAATTAAAAAAAATAAAAGAATTGTGTAATTAAAAATAAAGAGAAAATGATGAATTAAAGAATGTTATACTCTAAAAAGAAATTAATAAACAAAGAGAATTAGAAAATTAATTATAATCATATAAAAATGAGACAGAAAGAGTTAATCGATTATTAATTTAAAAATCAGAAGAAACTGAAAGTTGGAAATAAAAGTATCTTAAATTATAATTGGTAAATGATGATTACAAAAGAATTTAACAAGAAAATTATTAATTAAATGATACAATTATTGGTTTAGAAAATTAATTAAAATAAAAATAAGAATAATTAAATTAATACAAATAATAATTAGAAAATGCAAATAATTGTAATTTAATTTAGTATTATATAAATAGAATTTTTAAGTGAGAAAAGCAAAGTGAATTAAGTCTTAACAGAATTATAAGATATTTAAAAAAAGAAATCTGATTTAGAAGGAAGAAATAAAAGTCTTTTAGCTGAAATTGATAAATTGAATCAATTAATAAAATAAAAAGAATAGATCACAATTACTTAAACAACAAAGTATTATTTATTAATAATATTAATTAGAATTGAAGAATTCTAAAGTACTGTTATATAATATAGAAATACAATAGAGGACAAATCTTAGGAAATTGAAAATTTAAGAAAATTATTAACTAAATTACAATAATAAATAATTTAATTAGAAGATTAAGTAGAATAACTAAAAAAATTTTAAGAGAATGTAAAATAATATTTTTAATTATTTAGTGTAGAGTATTATCTGCAGAAATTGATAGATTGAATGATGAAATTAATGTTTAAGATCAAGAGTTAAGATAATGGAGAATGTAATATGCAGATGAAGGCTCAATAATAAAAAAATTATAGGATTAATTAACAATAATAGTTGTTTTAGCTAGTGAAATTGAAAGTTTACGTTTAAGATTGCATGATAAAGAAATTGAGGTAGAAGAAGTAAGAAGATCTAGTTTAGCACCTTATAAAATATGAGTTTATTATGGTTTATTAATTTTAGATATAATTCAAAAATGAAATAAAAATAAGTTTTATTTTTGACTTATTATTTTATTTATCAATGAAAGTTTTATAGGCACTTAAATCAACAAAGTTTCCATTTGCTTCTTTTACAAACAGAGATGTTAAATCAGATTTTTAATAACTTAAACCTCATTTTGAAACATTAGTGCCTGATCTTTATTTACAAAAGAGACTTAAATTGCCGACTGATAAAATTATGAGATAAAGAAGAATGATGAATTATCATATTGAATTTGATAAAGATGGTAATATGACAAGGTTCCATGAAGAATATCGTCTAGATAATTATGATGAAACCAAATGTCTCTAATATGCAAATGTTTATGAAGAATTAACTAAAGAAATGAAACAAGATTAGATCTATAAAGATTTTCTTTATAATACTCTTCAAATTACTTGGTAATTAAAATAATACAAAAAAGCTTAAATCTCTGTTCATGCAGTTAGAACCGTAATCATATTTTATTTACTATAGATATCATATCCTGATCAACCTGCATAATCTACTCCAGAAGGACCAAATAGAGATGGAAATGATTTAGAAATTATTGGAGTAGTTAATAAAATTAACTGTCAAGGTGCAGATAGTCAAATATACAGTCCTGATAAATCTAAATTGTTATTTGAAATGAGTCTCGAACCTGGAGAAGGATACATTATAGATGATAAATCACTCTGGAATTATGCCACTTCTCATAAACCAGTCGATTAAAGTAATGTAGGAGTTAGAGATATATTGGGGTTTGTACTTAAAATTGATGAATGATAATACATATCCACAATTATATATAATATAATAAACCAATTTATATTAATTTTAATCTCCTTATATATATGTTTATTTATTCAACCATCATTATTTTATAATCAATTAAATTAATCAAGTTAAATTTCATATATCTTTGGTTCCTTACACATTATTGATTGTATTCCTGGTTCCATATCAAATTATGCTATCTTTATTGTTATCGTGCTAACATTAGAATATTATTTTCGATTTTAAATCGATTTAGTTCTAGTTTGAGAATTGAATGATAATGATTTTTTTTCTATTTTTGCTGTTTTATTTTTTCCAATAAGTTCTTTTGGCTTTTTTGATGGTGTAGTATATACTTGAGTTTAATTTTTGTAGTTTTAAAGAATTTTGTAAATTGTGGATTTTTTCTCATTTTCTATTTTATTTTAAATTTTTTATCTAATTGTTTGGAAGGAACTCTTTTATCTAGGAAGATTTTATATAAGGTATGATTATGTTGTAGGTATTCTATTCAATATGCTTGCCATTAGAATATATTTTAATTATTATGTATTTAAATTTAAAGACAAGATCAAACTTTAATTTATGATGATGATTTAAAATTTATCAATCAATTAAGATTCTAATGTATTTAAATTTTATTTATATATAAGAATATAATAATAATCATTTAATCAAAAGTAAAAATGCATTATTTTTAATTTAAAAAGTTCTTAATGAAGGTGCTCCTTTTAGAGGATTATCAGATTAAATTATAAAATCTTTAAGATTTAGGAGATACAATGATAAATTCTTTGATAATTTATTATAAATGATAATAATTAAATGAAAATATTTTTAATATCATTCTTGACTTGAAGTTGAATGACTATTTTAAAATTACTCTAGATCGATTTCATCCAATTTGCTTGAATTATATACATCTTCATTATTTTATTAATTCTGATCAGAAACTTTGTTTGTTAATTCAATTTTTTTGTTTTATTATTAGCAATTTTCATTTTATTATTGCTTGATTTAAGATTAATTTTTTTCATCTCTTTTATTAAACATTTCACCAAATTTTTGATACAATTCTTAAAATTCAGCTTCATTTTAAGGCTCAAAAATTGTATCATCTAAACTGAATGCACCTGCTTCTATCAATAATTATTATTTAAGTTCCTGTTCATCAAAATCATTCTAAACAAATAAAATAGATTATTTAGAATTTAGTAAATATTTTAACGATTCTTTCAAATGAACTTTATCTTTTTCTTAGTTCTCACTTAATTGAAAATTAGAAACTATGATTGTTATCGATTCTTTGAATTTTTTGAAATACTTAAGCACATCTAATATTTTTTTTTTCATTAAATCTGTTCTTTCATAATTAACAACTAGGAAAAAATGATTAATATAATTTGGAACCATATATTGGACAAATTTTTAAATTATTGATTCTCTTTTATCTACAGAACTTTCAAAATCTATTGATGGTGTATCAACTAAATCGATATCCTACCTTAATGGGCATTCTTAAAAATCTTGAATAACTTAATCTTGTTTATTATTTTAGTTAAGAAAATTATGAAATTTTTGAAATATTTTAGTTTTTCCAACTCCTGTAGTACCAATAAGAAGATATTTTAAGGTTTTTGTGGATTGATTTTAAACAGTTTTCCTTTAATTATTATTTGCCTAATTAACATATTTACCGATAGCAAAACCTGCAAGACCTGCAAGAACTGCAATACTTGCATGAACTGCAATACCTGCAATATCTATTGACATCTTTTGAATTTATTTATGATTAGAAATTTGAATAGTAAATGTACATCATAAATGATAATAATTCTATTAAAGAAAATTTGATAAGTATAAAATATAAAAATTAGAATAACAAATATTTTAGAATAAAATTAGAGTAAATATTTGATATAAGAAATTTAGAGGATTGTTTGCATAAATATGAATAACAATAATTCAAGTGAAAATCATTTTTTAGGTTTTCTAAGTTTAGCATCTTGTCTTTATTGCATTTCTAGATCATCTTTTTATTTTTATGCATCTAATACTTAATTACGTTTAAGTTATCTTAAATCTAAAATAAAAATTAATAATACCAGGTCTAAATGATGCATCACTTAATAGAAATGGATTAGGTTTAAAGACTTTACATTCATATGGACGTATATAATTAACATCCCAATATCTGACTTCTGCAAATTCAATATATCCCATATATGATCCATATATTTTGCATACTTTTTTGCCTGTTTTTTTAATTTCTCCAGAAAGATAATCTGAAGCTTTCCATCTTACACTATCTAATTCAACACAAGCAGAAATATCATTTTTTTTATCAATGAAAGTAATTTTTCCTTTACATTCTACTTTCATAGGTCCCCAAAAACTACCACTATATTCTTCACCTGCAAAATTATATTCAATAAGTTCTCCATCAGCAAATTATAAAAACCTTTTTCCTTTATTTTTTAAAGATAATGAATTAACTCCTGCTTTTGCTTCATAGTTATAATATCCATAAAATTTATAACTATTTTTAGGACCAATAGTAAGAAAATAACTAACAGGAGGATGATGAGAGATTTATTCTACATAAGCAGTAGTTCCATCTTAATAGAAACCAGAGATTGTTTCACCTAAGATAGGATTAAGTGGTTTAAGAAATGAACAATTCAAATAAAAATTGCCTAAGGTGGCACAAATAATTAATTTCATCTAAAAATAATATTTAATACTTTACTCTTTCAATAGGATCTGTTTCAAGAACTGCTCTATTTATGTATAATGGAAATAGACAACTTGACATTAATACTTTTTCAAGTGCTGATTTAGGTATCATAGCTTTAATAGGAAATGACACAGTTGTTAAATTTAAATTGCCAGATAAAATTTGTTTACCAATTTATTTAATCAACTCTTTACCTATTGCTCTTAATGTTCTTATTAATTTTTTATTCTTGCATACTTTACCACCATCTTTATGTGCTAAAGTTGATCTAGATTCTTCTTTTGATTAAAGAGGTTTAAAATTAGTGACAGCTTTGAAAATTAATTCTTCAGTATTATCTGTATTATAATCATGAATCTCTTTAGCCCATTTATATATTGCTGCATTCTTAGCTTCCTCCTCTGACATTTCTCGATCTTCTTCTTCTTCATCTTCCTCTTATATCACTTCAGGTTGATCTGCTATTTCTTCAAATTATGATTTATCGTTTTCATTATTCTTAACTTCTGCCTGAATTTACGGATAACTAACTATCACACTTAAATCTTCCTAAAAGTCTATTTTCATTTCCTCTTATTATTAAGACTCCTTTTTCATATTTTATTATTTCTCAAGAAGACTTATAACGAAAAGAGTAAAAGGAGTTTTACCAACCACAAATGATGGACATATTGATGCTGATACATTTTCATCTTGCACTTAGTATCCTACTGAATTTTTCTTAGGTCTTTCTTCTATTTCTAACCCTACCTCTTATTATTGATTGGTTCTACAGGATCTAATATTTAATATAATAACTAAGCACTTTACCTATCTCCTTGTTAATTCTCAGGCTCTAACTGTTCTATTACTTCTAATTGTTTTTAGTTTTCCATCTTTTTCTTAGTTGATGAACAGCAAAACATTATTATATTATATATTTATATTTTTTTACATAATTGCTTAAAATCTAGCAAATTTCAGTTTAATGTGATTTGACTATTGGATAAATAAGATATCATTTAGATTTAATTAAAGAAAAAAAACATTAATTATAATCAGACTCTAAAATGAATAATATTTTTAATAATTAGACATGTTTGCTAAAATCAAATGACCATTAAAATTGTTTCAGAATCACAAGAATACTTTAGAATCTTGTTTCTAAATTATTCTAATATATTCATCCTCAAAATATTAATCTTAAATTCTTGTTTATAAACTTAATATGTAAAAAATTGAATTTAGTTGTACTATTTGTTTGAATCTTTTAAGCGATCCAACCTGCTTATCTTGTGGACATACTTTTTGTGAAAAGTGTATCAATCACCATTTGAAATTAAATCATTCTTGTCCTCTGTGTAGAAAACCCACTTTACCTGATTGGCCAATCAACGAAATGCTAAAAGAAGCACTCTTGATACTTTTTGAACAAGGATAAGAAGGTAATTCTTAAATACCTATCTAAATTTTAGTTCTCCAAACAGAATTCCCATAAATAATTTTATGTTTGGATTGTGGCCTTACTCCTATTAATCCTGTAGTATTACCTTGTTAACACCTCTTCTGTCTTTAATGTTTTCAAAATGACTTGATCTAGCAATATTGTCCAGTTTGTCTTCAACAATGTATGGTTACAGAACCTAATATCAATATTCTTTTCAATCAACTTTTGCAATGGTATTGTGAAACTGATGAAAAAGTTGTTCTCCAAAATTAGCATATACATTCTATGCCGATATTTCTATTTGATAAACAAATTTGCTATAAAAGAAATTACTCTCTGAGAATTGTAGAAGATAGATATAAATAGCTTATTAAACTTGCATCACATGGATCTGGTAAATTTCCTGTTGTTCCTTTTACTGACAAGTTACCTGTCTATGCAGATATGGTAGAAATTGTTAGCATTACAGATCAGATATAAATTATTGGACAAGATAGATTGATTATAGATGCAATTTATTGTTTTATAAATGATGAAAAAATACCATTCACTCCAAATACTTTTAAAGCTTTACCAAATCAATTATGGTTATGTAATTACACTGTTATCTAAGATAATATAGATAAATCAGCTATATGGAATAAAATTAAACAATTTATTCAATACTCCTTCTCAGAATTAACTGAAGAAATGAAATCATTGTTCGAAAAACCATATCATTTAATGAGTATTTTTGGAAACAAATTTCACTAACTTAATTCTGGTCTTATTATGATACAATTATTGAAGATTAATAATCAGCAATTTTAAAAACTATATTATTCTAATGATGAATAATTCAGAAATTTATTCATCTGGAATTTCATTAATCAAATTTAATCTAAAATTATTAAAATTATTGGTCCTTAATCTAATAATGCTAAATTTAAACAACAAGCTATCGAATAGGAAATATAACCACCTAATTTACAATTTCATAACATTTATGAAGAAGATGATGAAGATACTATAGAAGATTTAAATTAATCATTCTCAAATATGACAATAACTCAACAAATTATTCTCAATCTTTTCCATCTTCATAAAGTTCCATTATTTTAGTGATTATATATTACTTATGTTCTGTTTATCATATACTAATATTAATTTTAATATAATAATTATTCAAATATTTTATTCTAAAATTATCCATCAATTTATTTTTTAAACCAATTTAAAAAAAATTTATAGATTATTCACCATCAATCTCTATCCAATTTTTTGTCTAACTTTATTTCATATAATCATTTTATTTACCTTTCATCAACCAATTCCAATGCTATCTTAACAATATGTTTATTCATCTAAATTTGGAAATAAAAATAATTTTTGATGTCATCTCCATCTACTTTATTCTATTTAAATTTCCTTTAATTTTATATATTTATAGAAAGTTTACTTTTATCTAACATCTCAAGAATTAAATTTATTTAAATCTATCATATAAATTAATATTTGGTATTTAAAAATTTCTTCTATACTAATCTAAATAAACTAAAGCAATGAACATATTTTCTTTTTAAAATTCTTAAAAATAATTTTAAAATTCCAATTAATCTAAAAACTCATAGATTTTCACTAAACTTGAAATCTCTTTTTTTTAATTTTTCTTAAAATTATTTGAATGATTATTATTTATACTTCAGTACTTATACTAAAGTTCTTCTTAATTTAAATAATATAAAAGTTTTAAATCAAATTCATCATTATTACCAACAATTTTCATGCTTATAAATATAATTCTTCCTCATTCTGATTAATTAATTTTATATCTAAAAATAGATAAGGTTTTTCGAAATCAGAAAAAAAATAATTTTCAATATCAAGCCTTTTTTTGAGTATATTATATAATCTCAATGACATTATCTGGTAAGTTTTCGTTCTGTTATATTAAATAAAATATTTGTTTTCTTTTATTGTTTATTTTAGTTTATAAGCTTTCAAAAAATTTCTGTATTAAAAAGGATAAAATATTCCTAATATCTTAACTGTTGATGCATATTGATCTTAATTTTTCACGTCTACTTCTGTTTTATTAATTAATGCATTTCCTATCCTATCCTATCCAATTCAATTCAATTTTTTCTATTCTCTCTAATAAATGCTTTAATAAATAAGGATAAATTGATTAGTTTTCCTCCGAATTAAGTATTTAATTATGCATTTCCTCTATATTTTTTATGTTCATCCAATTAATGATATTATATTTCTAATNAATATAACCACCTAATTTACAATTTCATAACATTTATGAAGAAGATGATGAAGATACTATAGAAGATTTAAATTAATCATTCTCAAATATGACAATAACTCAACAAATTATTCTCAATCTTTTCCATCTTCATAAAGTTCCATTATTTTAGTGATTATATATTACTTATGTTCTGTTTATCATATACTAATATTAATTTTAATATAATAATTATTCAAATATTTTATTCTAAAATTATCCATCAATTTATTTTTTAAACCAATTTAAAAAAAATTTATAGATTATTCACCATCAATCTCTATCCAATTTTTTGTCTAACTTTATTTCATATAATCATTTTATTTACCTTTCATCAACCAATTCCAATGCTATCTTAACAATATGTTTATTCATCTAAATTTGGAAATAAAAATAATTTTTGATGTCATCTCCATCTACTTTATTCTATTTAAATTTCCTTTAATTTTATATATTTATAGAAAGTTTACTTTTATCTAACATCTCAAGAATTAAATTTATTTAAATCTATCATATAAATTAATATTTGGTATTTAAAAATTTCTTCTATACTAATCTAAATAAACTAAAGCAATGAACATATTTTCTTTTTAAAATTCTTAAAAATAATTTTAAAATTCCAATTAATCTAAAAACTCATAGATTTTCACTAAACTTGAAATCTCTTTTTTTTAATTTTTCTTAAAATTATTTGAATGATTATTATTTATACTTCAGTACTTATACTAAAGTTCTTCTTAATTTAAATAATATAAAAGTTTTAAATCAAATTCATCATTATTACCAACAATTTTCATGCTTATAAATATAATTCTTCCTCATTCTGATTAATTAATTTTATATCTAAAAATAGATAAGGTTTTTCGAAATCAGAAAAAAAATAATTTTCAATATCAAGCCTTTTTTTGAGTATATTATATAATCTCAATGACATTATCTGGTAAGTTTTCGTTCTGTTATATTAAATAAAATATTTGTTTTCTTTTATTGTTTATTTTAGTTTATAAGCTTTCAAAAAATTTCTGTATTAAAAAGGATAAAATATTCCTAATATCTTAACTGTTGATGCATATTGATCTTAATTTTTCACGTCTACTTCTGTTTTATTAATTAATGCATTTCCTATCCTATCCTATCCAATTCAATTCAATTTTTTCTATTCTCTCTAATAAATGCTTTAATAAATAAGGATAAATTGATTAGTTTTCCTCCGAATTAAGTATTTACATTAAAGTTAAAAATAAATTGATATTTTTCTGATTTATTATATCCAAAATTTGTGAGATATAATTTTTTTTATTAAAAATAGTATTAGAAGTTTAATATTATTATGAATAATTCTCTTATTTTTTAAAAAGTTTGATAATTTAATTAATTAATTAAAAACCACAAATTTTTGATCATTTTGATTCAATTTTCATTTCATTTTAATAATAATTATGCATTTCCTCTATATTTTTTATGTTCATCCAATTAATGATATTATATTTCTAATATATAATTTCTTATATTCTTCTTATTGTGCAATTTCTTTTTAATATTTTTATAATTTTTTTATATTTGTAAGAAAAATTGTTCAATTAAACTTAGTTGAAATTTTAATACCCCATTTTTTTTAAACATAATTTTGTTGTATTTTATTTAGTTTCATCTCTACAATTTTAGATTTTTTTTTATTTTTAGCATAATCTTGTAGAATATTTTCACCAATCATTTAATAATCCATTTTATTGAATAAATATTTAAATTTGTTAAATATAAGTTTATGTGTTTTCTCTATTAAATAATTTATAATAATAGATTTTGTAATTTAACTAATTTGATGAAATGAGATTGAAAAATATAAAATGAAGTTAATTATTGGAAAACATATTGAATGATTTGAATGATAAGTTAATTAGTGAAAATAATAAGAATAAGTTGAATTTTAGAAGATAAATTATCTATTAGAATGAAATAGAGTGATTGATAATAACACGTAATAAATAAGTTGTAAAATAATAGGGATTAAATTTTTTAATTAGAAATTTTTTTATATAATTAAAAAAAGAAATCAATGGCTACAACAAAGGTAAAAAAGTAAAAGAAAGTTGAGGAGGTAGAATAGGTTTAAGATGAGGAAGTGATAAAATCTAGTCATTAGGGAGCTAAATTAGATACTTAAAATTGGCCTTTGTTATTAAAGAATTATGAAAAGATGAACATATTGACCTCACATTATACACCAATTCCAAGTGGATCAGTAAGGATAGAAAATATATAAATTAGACTCCATTAAAGAGAGCTTTAGTAGAGCATTTGAAGTATGGAGTGATAAATTTGGATAAGCCATCAAATCCATCATCTCATGAAGTTGTATCATGGATTAAGAGAATATTGAAAGTTGAAAAAACAGGTCATTCAGGGACATTAGATCCAAAAGTAACAGGAGCATTGATAGTATGTCTAAATAGAGCAACAAGACTGGTAAAGGCATAATAATCAGCTGGTAAGGAGTACGTAGGAATAATAAGGTAAATATTTAAATTATCATAATAGATTACATGATGCAATATCATCAGCAGCTAAATTAGAAAAGGCTATATAAGATTTAACAGGTGCTGTATTTTAGAAACCACCTGCAATATCAGCAGTGAAAAGAGAATTGAGAGTAAGAACAATATATGAGAGTAAATTGTTTGAATATGATCCTGAAAAAAGATTAGGAATATTTTGGATGAGTTGTGAAGCAGGTACATATGTAAGAACACTATGTGTACATTTGGGTTTATTATTGGGAGTAGGAGGTCATATGGAAGAATTAAGAAGAGTTAGATCAGGTATTTTAGATGAAAATAAATATATGGTAAGTATGCATGATGTTTTGGATGCATAATATAGATATGATAAATTTAAAGATGAATCATATTTAAGACATGTTGTTATTCCTTTAGAAGTTTTATTAACAAATTTTAAAAGAGTTGTAGTAAAAGATTCAACTGTTAATGCTATTTGTTATGGAGCAAAGTTAATGGTACCAGGTGTCTTAAGATTTGATGATAAAATTGATATTGGAGATGAAATTGTTTTAATTACAACTAAAGGAGAAGCAATAGCTGTTGCAATAGCGTATATTATTATATATTATTATCATTATAGTTAAATGACTACTGCTGAAATAGCATCATGTGATCATGGAGTTGTTTGTAAATCTAAAAGAGTTATCATGGATAGAGAAACATATCCCAGAAAGTATTCTAATTATTTTATTATTTTAGATGGGGTACTGGACCTAGAGCACTTAGAAAGAAAGCTCTTATTAAAGAAGGATTACTTGATTCACATGGTAAACCTAATGCCAATACTCCTTAAGATTGGTAGTAATTCTATGTTTCAGAAGTTAATAATAATATCCTTAAAGAATAACCATAACCTGAAATTTAATAAGCAGAAGAAGAATAAGTACCTGAAGTTGTTGAAAAACCTAAAAAAAAGAAAAAGTAAGTGGTTCAAGAAGAGGAAGAATGATTTATTATGTTTAACAATATATCAATACATCATATTTAATGAAGAAAATATTATATTAATTTAATCCATTTAAACTATTTAAACTCATTGTTATTAATGGGATGTCATAAAACTTTATTGAGCTAAATCTATTATACTTTCAAACTTTTAAAATTCATCCTCTGGAATCACTCCTATTATCTAATTTTCAAGTTGCTCTTTTTAACTTAATTTCTATTATACTCAAAACTTACAATTATTATAAATCATCCAAATATGATTTATAAGGTGGTAGTTCTGTTTTAGCTCTATTTAAGAGAATTATCAACTAATCTACAATCGGTTTGAAGATTGGTACTTTAGGGTATTCTTTGTTCTCTAATATGATATCTTGCATTTAAAAGAACTTCTGCATCAAATCAACTACTAATTAAATCTTATTTCCTTATTTTATTTAAGGAGGTCCTTTATTAATTCTATCTATTCCAAATTTACAATCTTCAAGTCCATATTCCTAAATCTATTCAATCCAAATATAAACCTTTATGAATTAGTTCAAATCATATTTATCAATTTTAGATGTAAACGTTTTGTACCTTTCAATTAATTTTGTAATTTCCTAACAATGCTTTTCTGGTGTTATTTTATCATCAGCCAATTATGCACACTTTTCTACCATATCAATTAATCTTATTGTAATGAATATTTCTTTTTAAAGCTCGTATTTTTACTAACCGTACATCATTATCTACTTACTTTATCATCTATTGTTAATTTCTATACTTGTCTATTCTATGGTTAATTCATTTTTCAATAAATATTATTTATATATTAAAAACAATATATATATTATTATCTTAACTTTAACAAATTTAGTATCTAATCTCCATATAAAAAAACCTAAAATCTGAGAATCATTTTTTAAATCCAACTTTAAGTTTTCGATATCTAAATATTCAAAAAAACTATTAGAACTTATAAAACAAATCTAATGAAGGCACTTTAATCTTAATAGAATTCTTCAAACTCTTCTTTGAAATTGCCATTATAATTTCTGCCTTTATATCAAATTACAAATCCATTTCTCTTTCCACTTTCAAGTCTATTTTAAATTTGGAAAATACGAAAGAATCAATACTGTAATGATTATTCGAAATTGGGATATATGTTAACTCTCTTTCTCTTTTCGCAGCCCACAAATAAACTTATCTATTCAGAGGATCAGCTTCCTTATATTGTATCTATATGACTTAAAGTTTAAATGACAAGAAAAATTTTATTTGTAACTTTACTATAAGTCACATTCTTATCTTTTGATTAATTTTTTGATTAGATTGTTCTACCATTTCAATGGACATTCACTATATTCATAACTATTTGCATTTTTATCAAATAAAGAAGAGAATCAGTGTATATTTTTAAGAAATTCAAATCTAATCATGATTTATTATACCAAGAAGTGATGTTGAATCATAGTTTATAATAAATTCTATTTGTGATTAAAATTATCTACGGATTAATCAAAAGTAAATCTTCATTTATAAATTCATTTTTAGAAATCACTAGATTATTTTGAAGTTTTTTTTCCAATCAAGAATGTAAAAAAGAATTTGCATAAATTGACAACATTTTTAAGAGAACTACATAAATTGTAATGAATCTAATCTCTCCTATTATAATTTGAAGGTCAATTTCAGTTAAGAATAAATTTTTAACAATTATAAAGGATCTACTGGTGAATAGATTAATATAGTAGATAAACCCGTATATTTAAATCAAATACTCTATTAATATATAGCTAATTATCAAAATAAAGAAATGTATGAGAGTCTACCTTTAAAATTGACTGGATTATAAAATAACCAAACTTTTAATATATTAGTATCTCCTTGTATTTGGAAACATGAGAAATGCTTTATCATTTCTTTAATTAATCTAACTGATCGAATTAAGATATCTTAATTAGAAAAATTAGATTAATATAAAGAGAGTGTTTTAGCTATTCTAAGTCATGATCTTAAAAATCCAATCAATGTTATTTAATCTATGATTACTCTAGTTTAAGAAGGTTTATATGAATTATTAGACTTCAATAATGTAGGTGTTTAGTTATAGATTTAATCTTGTTGTAATTATTTGTAAATGTGTTAAACTAATGTTCAAACATTATAATCATTTGTTAATGATTTATAAGATTTTGCTTAAATTAAATAGTAAAAGTTGAAATTGGTTGTCATTTAATTTGAAATTTATAATCTTATTTAAGAGATCAAGAATGTTTTTTAAATTTAATTTTAAAAGAAAAATCTTGAATTAGATATTTAAGTAAAATTAAAACTAAATCAAATTTATTAAAATGATCCTTTAAGAATTAAGCAAGTATTATTCAATTTGATTTCAAATTCAATCAAATTTACATCTTAAGAAAGATAACCGTCAAATTCTCTGATGATATTTAAAAAATTATCTAATTTTGTAATACAATCAAAGAATAAATTGATTCTATTAAAAGTATTGTAGATCCTGGAATATTGTTTAAAAATAAATTCAAAATTTTCATATGTAAAGTTACTGATAATGAAAGTGGAATGAGTCTAGATATCTAACATGGAGTTTTTAGACATTTTGCTACCTATGAAAATCAATCTAACATAAATCAGTAGAGTATTGGTGTAATTAAATAGAAATAGTGTTGGCCTAAGTCTAATCATTTGTAGGTAACTTTGTGGTTATATTGGTCCTATATAATACATGTACTTAAGATCTTAAGCAGGAGTTGGTACAACTTTTTAATTTGCCATTTATAAAAATTATGATATACAACATCGCTATGATTATTCAGAAGATTAATCAAGCATCGATTCTATCGATTATGATATTTCAGTACAATCTCCCTATAAAAATATATCACCACATGTCACATAACTCCTTTATACAAAAAACAACAAAGGAGAGATGAAACATTCATTTGCATATTGCTCAAATTGCAATTAACTAAAATTGGTGTTCATAAAATGGATGTGGTCTATAATGGAAGAGAAGCTATTGAAATCTCATAGAAGAAAGTATATGACATAGTATTTTTGGATGTTAATATGCCTGACATTAGTGGATTCCAGTGCAACTAGGACTTCAATAATACAAATGGGGAAATTTAAATCTACATGTTTACAGGTTTTAATGATCTCTAAACTCATTAAATTTCTTTAGATGCCGGAGTGGATAAACTCTTATTCAAACCTTGAACTATTGTTGAATTGATTACATCATTTATTATGTATTTAAATTATGATATAAGCTCTTGGTTCTGAGACAAGATCCCTGGTTATTCAATAATTAAAATTGTTTTAAAGATAATTATAAATTGTATCAAAAATATTATGTATATCTTAATACATTATAAACATGATTTATTTCCCCTTAGAATAGTAAAATTTAAAGATAACTTCATAAATTTAAATTAATAGTGTTATTTGTTAATTTAATATTGTTAAAAAAATTATATTATAAATGATGTTTGTAAATAAAAAATGTGAATGGTTTTTATATTATTTGAAAGGTTTTCTAATAAGAGAGAGTTAAGTTTATAAGTAGGTTATTGAGTATAGATAAGAAATAATAGAAAAAAAAAGAAAATATTTTTTGAGTAATAAAATGATTGATATAAAAAAAGAGTATGGTTGATTAAGAGAAATAAGTGTTAGAATTGAGAATAATTGAAAAAAAATAAAGTAATTGTAAGAAAATAAAAAATTTATATGATATAAATTATGTAAATAATGTGAATAGTATAAGGAGAAAATTAAATACGTGTAGGGTAATTAAAAAAAATATCTATATTTTAAAAATTTTTTTTTATGGACCCAACACCATAGACAGAAGTCAAAAAGGACGAGAAGAAAGGAAACTAGAGTAGAGGAGAGAATAGAAAAAGAGAGCCAAAACAAAAATAACAACAAGTTCAATATGTTGTAAAGGGTGAAGAAGGTATGATAATAGTTTGATGGAATTTAGTTGCTGGAACAGAAGGATAGACTGAGACATAAGAAAAGAAAGTAGATTAGGAAGAGAAGTAATAAAAGAAGAAACAAAGAGAGGAGAGAAAGCGTCCTGAATTTGACTGGGATAAGACTAAGATTACTCTTGAGAGTAAGGTACCAGAATTACCAGCTCATGCACCTTAAAAACCAAATAAGGAAGAGTATTACAAATAATTAGATAAGATTGATGACGATATCAGAAAGCAATGGAATCATTTTGTAATTGTTTTTATAATAACATAATAGAATGATTTTGTAAAGAATGTAAAGGAATAATAATCGATGGCTAGATAAGGTAATCAAGAGAAATTTTAGAATGAAGTTAAACCAATAGGATAAGTAATAGGAGATAAGATTAAATTGGCAAGTGAAAAATAAGGAGAATTAAAAAGAATGAAGATTGAAAATGATGAGATTAAAGATTAAATTAATAAACTTTTTAATTAAGCTTAAGAATATAGATAGAAGATGAAGAGTTTAGATGATCCAGATAGAATAATAGATGAAATGGCTAGATTAAAGGAATCACTTTAATAAGATAAGTTGAGTGCAAATGAAGAAAAGAGAATAGTATAATAAATAAGTGCTTTAGAAAGATCACTTCCATATATTGAACCATTGTAGAAATTAGAAAAAGAATAGAAGGCTTTAAGAATTAAATCAACAGCTATAGGAAAAGCAATGAATACTCTTTATTAAAGTATTTAAGAATTGAATGCTGAAATTAATTAATACAAGGCTGATTATGAAAAATTAAAGGATAGTACTAAAGATTCAGCAGTCACTAAATAAAATCCATTGATTGATAAGGAAAGATAAATAATAGAAGCTAAAGTTTAAGAATTGAAAGAAAGAAAAGAAAAAATGAAGAAAGATTATAATAGTAGTTGGGATAAATATGAAGATTATGAAGATTTATAAAAATATAGAGAATGGTTCTTAAAATAAATAACTAGAATAAAGAGAGATGCTGAGAAAAAAAAGAAGGAAGAAGAAAGAAAAAAGAGAGAAGAAGCAAGAGCTAAAAGAGAAGCTGATAGAGAAGCAGAAGAGAAAGCTGAAGCTGAAGCTAAAGCTAAAGAAATGGAAAATGTTAATCCATTTTAATATTAAGTTGGTATATATTTAAATTTAATAATTAGATCTTTGTGATACTTTAATAACATATTGTAATAAACTTAGACCTACTGCTGCATAATAATAAGCATAATAATAAAAATAAATAGATATTGAATAAGTTTTAAAGAGTGATGATTGGAAAAAAGAAAAATGTACAGTTATCAAAAAAGATAATTAAGATGATATCTATAATTTTAGTCAATTAAAATCAAAAAAGAAGAATAAGGTATTTATTGTATTTTAATTTAGTAGTAACCATAATAATAAAAAGAAGTGAAAGAGGAGAAAAAAGATGATAAACCAAGTATCTTATAACATGATTTGTAAACTCTCTAATTCTTCGATACAGTTAAAGTGGCAACTCCATTCTACATCACTGAACTTGACAAAGTTGTCAAGAGCATTTAGGAGCGTAAGGAGTATTATTTGAACCGGGAAAACTGGGGCAAAAAAGAAGAAGAAGAGACACAAACTGAAGTATCTATCACTTTTTATTATTTAGGAATCAAAAGCCAAGAAATAAAAGAAGGCCTAAAACTAAGATGAGTTCCCAGCCTTATAATGAAGTGCGTATATATATATATATATTACATATATAGTACATATCTAATCGAATCTCTTTTTTCTTAATCATTATATATTAACATTAATATAATAATCTATTCATATTCTCTCTCTTAATCTTACTAAAATTGATTTCACTTCTTAAAATTTCCTATTCTATTCAAAATTATTGCTTTTCTTTAATTCCTCTAACTATTTCTTCATTAATTCTTGTTCTTAATTTAATCCAAATATTATTTAATTCAATTTCTGATTTTCCAATACTTATACACTATAAATTGTTGACAAATCTGATATCATCTATTTTTAATTACAATATTTACTTTTTCTAATGTTGTTATTTAATCCAAAAAATCTCCTTTATTTTCTATTTATTTTTAAACCTACTCTTTAACATTATTATTCAATAACTTCATTCTTTCCTCTTCATAAGCTATTATCTAATTATTTTAATCACTAACTTAATAATTAAGTTATTATATTTCTTTTTCCATACTACAGATTTATGATTGCATTTTTTATTTTTATTCATTGATTCTCTCATTCTCTTCTATTACTGAAAGTATTTGTTATTCCTAAATTAAATTATTTAATACCATTTAATCTATAGCATTTATTCGTTAGTCTTATTCACAAACTTCTTTATATTTTTTTTTCCATTCCTCTATCTCATCGCTCTATTAATTAATAACTGATTCTAGTCTCTCAACTCTTTACTTTAACAATATAAAATCAGTGTTCTTATCTGAGACTGTCAATTATTATTTCTCTCTGGTTAATTTTTATATTAGATCATTTAACTTTTTGTTCTCCATTAAAACATGTTTAAGCTGAATATCTATTTGAGTAGTATCCACTCTATAATTAATGTTCTCTTTATTCACTGAAGGACTTTCTTAAGTATTTATACGCTTTCCATTACTCTATCTAAAGCTGCTTTCTGTTTATTATGAAGGAACATTTAACACTTTTAAGTTTTTAACTATATTAAATTTTTATGGAGTAGAAGGACTTAGATCTCCAAACATTGGTTATTAAAATTATTTTTACTATAATGTGTTCTATAGTAATAATTATGAAGAGTAAGACTTTAGTTTAGGAGTTGATGTAAACATCTAGCTGTTAAATATTATTAAAATTATTTATTATTAATTTCGTTGAATAGTACTAAATATATTCATCAACAATTCTTGAATTAAACTATCTCATGTCTAACATATTAGAAAATAAAATCATAAGAACATTTCTTACAGTTATAACACTGAATATTCTCAAAAAAGATTTAATCAAATTTCGAAATCTATATTATTACCAATAAGAATAAGTGAAACGATAAATTAATCTGCAAAAAAGATATTACTATTACGTTTTAGATATAAGAATTATATTTGAATATCAAAAAATTATGATATTATAAAATATGATAATAAATTATTATATTAAATGATTTTAAATATTTCAAAAATATTCATTAGTAGATAGAGTCTCGATAGAAAAAATAATCATAATTTAGAAAGAGGAAATTTTAAATCTTATCTCACTTCAGGATTAATGGAATAAATCTATAATTATCAATACTTTGACATTAATTAAAGCTATCAAAAATAGATGTCAATCTTCTCTATAATTTCAAGATTAATGAATACTTGAAATCATGATGTTTAAGATTGAAAATACTTTTAAGGCAGACTCCAAATTAACTAAAATTCATGTTTTTCAATTTGCTCTAATTCTTGATTATCAAATCAATAAATAAAACTTAATGATTTAATATAATTAGAATACTTAATGATTAATGTAAAAAATTCAACATTTGAAATGTATTTATTAAAATAGTTTTACAAATATATTATAATGATTTAAAAGAATATATTATATATTTGATAACAATTAACAATACAAGAAAATTAAAGAATATATAGCCCACTAAAAATTTATAATCTAAAAATGATAGAAAATGATTAGAAGAAGAATAAGATAAGGGAAAGAAACAAGAAAAAGTTTTAATGAAAAATATTAGAAATATTTGTAATAATTTTGATAACTAAGAAAACTGAATTTGAAATTTGGGTAAAAGGGAGGAGCGTCAAATAAAATATTTTTTATCAAAATAGATTATAATTAGAATTAGTATATTTAGAAGGAAAAGAAAAAATAGTTAGAAAGTAGGATTTCATATTTATAATAGGTTATAATATTTAATAAACAACTAGAAATCAATAAGATGTTATTGACATTTTTTTAAAATATCAATAAATTGAATAATTTTTCCTAATTCTCTTATATCGATTATTTTTAATTTTTATTGAATACTATATTATAGCAATTTAAAAAATATATTCTACTCGTTTAGATCACGATTAATGATTATATTGATTATTAATATTAAATCATACGTACCTAAGTATGATAATTAAATTCTTAGAATATAAAACAAAACTAGATAAAGATTGATTTATTATAAATTTATTAAAAAAATGGCCGACAATAATAAAAATTTTGAAAGATACAAAAAATGCGAAGAAAATGAAAAAGAATAAATGGAAAAATTAATCTAATATTAAAAGGGGCTGGCTGAGAAGAAAGAGAATTAATAATACTAATAATACATTTTAAGGATAGATAGTTATAATTATGAAGAAAAAGAAAAATAATATAAAATCATTTCTCAAGTTGAAAAGAAGAAGAAAGCTCAAAGTTTACTTTAGTATTTTAAAGAAAATAAAAAATCTAATCTAGCTTCTAGGTATAATATCTTTGATAATTTACTATAAATAGCGGAATTTTTAAAAAATTAAAATATCCCTCATAACAATATTATACCAAGTAATCTTGTTTTAGTTGGAGATAAATTATATCTAACAGATTTTGGATTTCTTTAAAATGAAAAATAAGAACCAGTTTTATTTTAAGATTAGTTGAATTTTATGCAAAATCTAAATCAAGAGGAAAAAAGATAAATTTATCCTTATTTAAATACAGACCTATTACAGATTGTAAGAGAGGAAGATGATTAAAAAAAAAGGGAAAAACTAAAATCAAGAAAAGTGGAGAATGTAAAACAATAAGATTAATATGCATTAACAATAATAATGCTAGAGTTGTTTTATCCTTTGGATGATTTTAAAAATCTACCTATAGATATTTTAACATTAGAGTAACCGAAAATTCCAAACTTAACAAATGAAGCTTGGAAAATAATAAAAGATTTAATAGATAAAAGATTAAAGAATGAGCCTTATTCACTTGAAAAATTAATAAATGAAGAATAAATACCTCAATATATAATTAATAAAGATAATTTAATAAAAGAAGACATTTAAAAATACTCTTAACAGTGTCTTGAAGAGAATGCCATATTTGATAAAAGCATATTGTATTTGTATAATTTAGAAGAATTAAGACACAAATAAAACTAAATAAAGAAATAAGATGAAAAAGATTTTGAAAATCTTAAAGAAGAAATTAAAAAACTACAAGAAGATTTGAAAAAAATAAATGATATTGACAAACATAGTGAAATAAAAAAAGATGATCTTAATAATTTCGACCCATCAGAAAATAATTTGTCAGAAAAAAATTTGGAAATAAAACTTTGTTAGTTATTATAATTGGATTATGAGATAAAAGTGCTAAATGAGATAAATTAGCCTTAGAATTCAATTTGCAATACATTAAAATTAGTGTCATTTTATGAATTAAAAAGATAATTAAAAGATGTTTATGATAAATTTGAAAAGTTAAAATAAGAAGATTTTTCATTTAATCAAAAAGTTCCTGTAAAATAGCAGCCTGATTGTTTGGAATATCTCTATACATTTAAAATTAAATAAAATAGTGAGGAAATTTCCTAGTGTTTCTTAAATTTACTTCCAAATTAAGAATTTAAATAATATTTTGAGAGACATAAGACATAATATTTTTTAAAGGATACTTCATTCCCTTTATAAGTTTTTTAAAAAAAAAAAAAAAATTAAACTAATAATATAGAAAAAAATTAAACTAATAGGATAGAAAAAAATTAAACTAATAGGATATATATTGGTTAATTTAATTCCTAACAATAGTTTAAGGGTTAAGTAATTGACAAAATAGAGGTTGAAAGAAAAAATAATGAAAATTTTCCTTTTAATTAACGAAGAAAGTAACTACTATAAAATAAAAGAACCCTCGTTAAGCATTATTTTGATATATAAATTGATAATGTCAGTTAAGAAAATGAAACCATTAAATCTTCAGATGACAAAAAAAAAAGTTGTATTTTAGAATTGGAATTTTAGGAATTTTTAGCCTTTAAAGTAATCAAAAAATATAAGGGCCTTATTGCTGAAAATATGTATTAAGACGGAGGAATTTTAATTGATTATGAAAAAAACGTAATTTTTAATGGTAACTGGAACTCTGGTGAATTTACAGATGGAAGTTTATCCGTTATAGATATAGATTTATTGGAACTAAATAGTCCTATAAAAATCATAGGAAATTTTAAAAATTGGTTGCCTGATGGTTAGAATATCACCACATACTTTAAAAATAAAAAGGAAGAGCATATTTCCATAGGAGATTATAAAAATGGAATTATGACAGGAAGTCATGAACATTATCTAATAAATAAGGAAAAAAATTAGTGGACAGATGAAAAGGATCTAAAAGAGATAAATAATTAGAAATATTCATGGATGGAATAGAATAAAGAACACAAAACATTTACTCAAGTCTTCTGTTGTTTGTTTAGTTATTTTATTAACTAAAAAAATAACACAGCTTGAATAATTATAAATATGTCTAATATATGTATAAAAATCAAATTTTCATTTTAATGAGCCTTAAGATAAATATCTTTAAATTATATATAAAATCAAAAATAACATAATTTCAATAGATTCTTGTTAAATTTAACGATTTTTAGGTAAATTATAAGATAGTATTTTTTGAATCTTTTTTCCAAAAAAAATAAGTTGTAATTTTGAAAAATAATTTCTTAATTATTTTAATATTTATTCTAATTATTATATACTAATTACACTTGAAACAAGTGTTAAAAGAAAAAAAAAATAATAATATTAATGTATTGGAGATTATTCTAAATAAATGTATAAATGAATATAATCTCTATTAAATAAGTAGTCAAAAATTAAGATTTTAACAAAAATTTTTTTCCTTATTTTAGGTTGAGAATAAGATTTTTTAGAAGTATATTAATGAAAAAACCATGAACCAGATATGAATTCTATTATATTAATTACTTTTTTATTTGAAATAGTAATGTCTAAGGATTAATTTTAATAATACCATATTTTATGTATATTAGATAATATATTTTATTATATAGCAACACTTAAACAGTGAAAAAAGAAAAATATTTGATGAAAAGTATATGAAGGCTATGAATTTTCAAATTAAAAATAAATAAGGTTTATATTCATGAATGATAAAAATTATCAAGAATTATTTCTAATTTTCAGAATTTTATTTGCCAATTGAACTTTGAATTTGTTAAGTTTAGCAATCTAATGATGTTTAAATTTCAAGAGCTTGAATTTTTTTGGATTTTAAATTACTAATATAGTTTCTTCAGGTTTGCTCATTTTAAATTAAAATAAATTAAATAAACAATCAAAAAATTACTGGTTTGAACATAAGTCATTGATTTTATAATGAATTTTTAAAAACCTCATATAATAATAACATAATTTACAATTTAAGAATGATTTTCTATTTATAATTAAAGATTATGATTTTAGGACTAAATATTGTAATGATTTTCTTGAATTAGTTTTTCTTTTTTGAATTCTTTCTGTGTTTATTCCTAGGATTGTTTGTTGTTGATAATATTAATTCTAATTTTTGGATGTTTCTTGATAGGATTGACTAATTAGATATCATGAATTCGACTATCTTGATTTTGATAGGTTAAATTGTAAAGAACACTTTGAATAGTAACAATATCATTGGCTTAAACAAATAACTCCTCAACAAAACCAGGTAGTTTATTAAAGATCTTAATAATTTTATTTTAAGTGCTAATTTTCATTACATACTAAAACGACCCTACATATTCTTTTTCTTCTTAAAATCAGTTTAAGAGGATTACTAATATTTAATTCAATAATTTTGGCAATCATGAAGCGAAAAGGTGTATCTATGAGACTTTTAAGAGTCACATCTTAACCATTTTTGTTTGATGTAAATGTAATCTATTCTAGCATATGATTGAAATTAGAAATAAAAATTATATTTATATTTAATTCTATTTTTAAGAAGTAATAATAATTTAAGGATTTATAAACTAATTCAAATTTTTGATAAATATATTAATGATTTAAGTTTATCAATTATTAAGCACTTAGAAACCATCAACAAGATTGTATGATATTTTTTCAAAGGTTTGTTTAATTTCTTCGTGTATTTTAGAAAGAATATTATTGTTTTCTTTAGTTAATTCAAACATTTCTGCTTTTTAATCAATGATCATATCATCTTAAAATAAGTTATACTATTTATATTTAAATAGTAGATCTATTGGTAAATCATCTTATTGAATGTTAAAGATAGCAATTTAATTTAAACATTGAACGTGATTAAGTAATTTAACTAATTCACGATTTTAAGAGAGTAGATCAACTCTAATTTTGGATAATATTCTAACATAGAATTCTTCTAAGGATTTGATTTCATCTTGAATCTGAACTAATACAAAATGAAAAGAGATACCTTAGAAAATTAAGTAATTTTATAATTCTTATCAAGTAATTCATCTTCTAGAAGTTTAATTTATTTTTTATAATCTTTTGTATCATGATTGGATTTTTGTTAATCAATTTAGTATTAAAGCTACTGGTTATAAGTGGTCAACTATTAAATAGTCAATTTTAATTTCTTAATGACAATATCCTTTTGTTGGATTTGATCCTACTGTATTTGGATTTGCTTCTTGTGAATCATATTTTCTTGCTAAGTCTTGTAGCATAATGTACCTACAAGGAGACATTGATATTTTATATGTCTAAGACTTTGAGTTCTTGCATTTACTGTTCATGAACATAATGGATTTTACTCTAAAAATCATTAATAGGAGTAGTAAAACTTCCTATTTTAGATGATACTTTTTAGAATTCTTCTTTGAAAGAAGTACAAGCTTGAGTAGTTAATTTGGCTTCTATGGTTCTATTTGTCTAATTTTTATCATCAGATTATAAAGTAATAGCACGTTAGTTAGCTTTTGGAGTTCTAAACCATTGATCATCAAAATTTTTGTTTGCACTTTTGGTTGAAGAACATTTGGAATCAGTTTGAATTAGAGTTTACTTCATTTATTCAAGTTAATAAAGTTGTTAAATTATTTAATTTTTCAATTCATTTGTCAAATAATCCTTAATCATATTAGAAGAATAATAAATCAATAATTTTAAAAGAGTAATCTAAGTTGAAGAATAAGTATTTTAAAAGTATATATTAAACATAATATATATAATAGTTTATTTGAAATATAATGTAATAAAGAATAATTTAATATAATGATATATTATCATAGTATTATGAGTACATAAAATAATATTAAAATAAATAGAGTTAATAAGATGTTTAATATTCATAAAGTTAAATCAAGAGTAATAAATATTTAGAACTATAAATTCATTAATTTATGTTAAGATTAAAACTTAAATAAACATGAATAATGAATATAAGGATAAAAGTATTATGTTAATGGTTTTATATAATTGAAATTCATTTATTAATATCCGTTAAAAATAATATTAATGAATTCAAGTTAGAGACAACCAAGAAGTCGTATATTTGATGCAGAGTCATAAAGACCATCTGATAGATCAAATACACCTACAAGAGCATTATCACCACTTCAACCTTCATAACATATTTAATAATAATAATAATAATAATAAGCAATTCCAACATTTCAACCTTAAAAATTAAAGCATATTCTATATAATGCATAATAGAGTACTCCCATTGTTAGTTGTCATTATCATCCAGAGTAGTATATTTAAAACTTTTGCAGACACCCGTAAAGATTTAAAATAATAAAATAGTGATTGTTTATTACCTCTTTGTCCAATATGTGTCACAATCCATTAAGATGATCATTTACAATAAGATTATGCTCCACAATTTGATCTACTAGGTTATTGTCTTGGAGAATAATATAATAAGATTGTTGATGTATGCAATCTATTAGGAGAAGATATTGAAGATGTAGTGGAATTAAAAAATATTGTTAAAAATCATAGAGAAATACAAAAAAAGAAATTCTTAGAAGCTAAAGAATAATTCTATAAAGCTATTGATACTTTTATGTAAAATCTAGAAAATAATTTAAATTCATAATCCATCAAACAAACTGATTAATTACTAAATGAAATAAATCAATTTCATAGATTAGCTTATGATAGATGGAATAATATGTAAGGTAGACTCTAAAAATTAAATTCTGACAAATGTCTTAAAACATTAATAAAATCTTATAGATAAAGTAGACCAGAAGATGTTTATTAACGTTAACATGATATGACTATATAATTTATAGATTAAGTTAAGAATGAATTAGATTAAGTAGAAATCCGACCATCTTAATTGTAGGTAATTTTAGATCAATTACAATCTTATATATTCATAACAAGAGATTAAATTAAATAACCAAAATAGCTATCACCAATTAAAGTATAACCATAATAATAAGTCATAAGAAGAATAGTACAGGAGAGACCAAATAGTTAATAAAATCTACATAATTCAAACTCTCCCATTCCTACTAGAGTACTTTAAGGATTTCCTATACTTTAAAAATTTAATCCAGTAACTGCCATTGAAACTATGAATATCCCTTAATTACCACCTTTACCTACAGGATTCCCTTCAATAATGCCATTCTAACCACAATAATTCAATTTCTAACCTTAATATGCTCAATCAATGATGTTACCCAACTCATAATATATCCCATAACCAATTAATAATATCCCTTTGCCTTTCTAACCACAAAATCATTTTTTAAATCCTACTTAATAACTTAAATAACCATTGCCATAATAATAATAATAATAACCTATTTAATAATTTGTTCCACCACTCTAAACATCAACTCCACCAACTATTTAATAGTAAAATCCACCTCTTGCATAAATCAATCTAAATCAATAAGAAAAACCTGGTGAAGTTATTGATTTAAAAACTAATAAACTTAAAATGGCTGAACAATATCATAACAAATTATTTAATTCCACAGAATGATTCAACTATAGTTTTATATTAACCTAATATTAATTATCTTTTCTATTTTATTTCATCTACTAATTATTACATTAATTATCCATTTCATTTTTTTTTAATATTATATTTTTTACCCTCATTACAAATCTTTTTACTCAAATTAATATTATACTTACCATTCTTTATCTACTGTTTATTTCATAATTTACAATTTCTTTTATTTTCCATTATAATTCTGAAAAAATTTTTACTAAATTACTTATCTCTTATATTTAATACTCAGAAAAACCAGCTATTTAAAATATTCAATGACAATATAGTCCCTAAAGTTGAATATTAATGATAATTTTGGAAATTTAAATTCTCATTTTTTTGAAAATCAATTACAAATCTAATATTAAAATTCATACTCTTAAAAGAACTTTATAATACACATACTTAGAATATCTAAATTTGTGCATTTCATAATTTTTTATCTTAAAATATCTAAGATTAAAAGAATAGAATTAAATATAATGAAATATAACATTTTAATAAATTCAGAGAAAGATTTCCTAAATAATCACAAGAAGCTGTTTTTTAAATGAACTAGAATTAATATTACCTTATACACTCTCTATATATTTTAGATTCCTATAAGATAATTTTGTTTATTTCTATTATTATTATATTATTTAATCATTACTAATCTTTTATTAATTTCAATAATTTTAAATCTGAATATGTATGAATAGATTGATGATGAAGTGTACTAAAATTAAAAAGGGTAAACTGTGATTTCATTTGAAAATACAGAAAAAAATACCATGGAGAAAATTTAGAATTTAAAAACCATTTAAAATAAAATTGCCTAATAATAAATATATCAAAAACATGTTATACAAATAGAAGATCACAAGGAGGATAAAAATACAAAAAAAATATTTGTAATATTTAAAAATAAGAATTACTTCAATTTTAATAAAGTAAGAGGATTAGATGAATTATAAAAATATGAGCTTTTCATTTAAGCTTGCATTTTACTTAAAATTCTCTATGAAAATAAAAAATTTCTTTTACCATAATTAACTAATAAAAACTTTTTTTTTCAGGGAGAAAGTTTGATGGTAAGTTTTATTTCTTTAAAAAAAAATTAAGATGGTTTAGAAACTAATTACATTGTAGTTGCAAAATTAATGAAAGAAATAATTAAACATAAATCTTGTTCAATACCTATCGAAATTTTAAAATTTCTTTTATAAGAAATTAAAGAATTGAAAAAAAATAAAAATATCAATATAATGCAGTTTTTATCTGAATATTCATATATCTATGAAACTTATTTCTAAAAAATTTATAAAATGTAAATATAATTATAACTAATTCAAGGCCTTAATTACCAGATTAATTAAAAGAATTGATTCAAAATAAATATAGAAAAAATGTACGAAGTGATTCTTAATTATTGTTATAACAATCTCAATCGCTCTAAAATAAAATGTAATTTCAGAAAGAATTATTAGATCAAGCTGAAATATTTAAATCTCAAATCTAAAACAACAGCATGATTATAAATACAATTGATGAGAATTATTATTACTATTTCGATTTAGAATTTTTATTAGATCTAGAGAAGATTTATAATAAATCAGATGAATAAGATGAAAAAAAGAAAAGGAAAATTAAAAAACTGAAGAGATTAGTTGATTTATAAAACATACTTTATTCAATCTAAATGGGGCTGAACTTTGAAATTCAAAATTTATTTAGTTTTAATCCTTCAGAGTAATATTATATCTTAAAGCATATGGAAGAATATTATAATTAAAAAAAAGATATGAATTAATTATTTAATTTCAGGTTTGAATATGAATTTATCATAAATAAACTGAATCTAATGGATACATAAGAATTTGAATTTAATTAAATCCCGAATAGTTTTGAAAGTTAGTTCTTTGTAGAGGTAAATTCTGGTCTTGAATGGTTTCATCTTGGAAATAATATAATTATCAATTCTTACATCGACAGTCTTTAAAAAAAACAACTTATATTCACGGACTACTGGAATGAATAAAAGTAGTATAATAAATATCCATGTTTTCAAGTAAGTTATTTAGTTGATTCAAATAAATTTCAAGTAGGATATGCAATAGATAAAGAAGGCAATTACCTTAAAGGAATTTTTTAAAATGGAAGCCTTAAATTTGGAGATATCTTATAATAAAAATATCATAATTAAATAAATGAATATAAAAATATTAGCTATTCTTGTTAGAAAAAGGAAAGTTGTGGATAAAATTGCAATTGTGGGTAAATTTGCATTTATGGGGAAAATTGTATAAAAGTCAAAAAATCTATTTAAAAATAAGAATAAAAATAAATTAAAATTTTAGAGAAATACGTAGGAGATTTTAAGAATGGAGAATATTTTGGAAAAGGAATATTAACTCAAATTCTTTTAGAATATCGAGGAAATTTTCGCAATGGATTGTTAGAAGGAAAAGGAACTTTGATAGTGCTTTATCATGAATCTGAATCTTGTAACTTAAATTTCTATCGATATGTGGGAAATTTCAGTAAAGGATTTTTGGATGATGAAAAGGGAAAATTTTATATTAATAACAATTTAACCTAAATAGAAATAAGAAATACGAGAAGGGAAAAATCGTATAGAGAAATTCGATAATAATGAAAAAGAAAAACTACTTAATCAATCTATATGATTCATATTTTTAATATAGATTATAAATATATATATAAATATATATAAATTTTTAATAACAATATTTAATAGATATTCAATGGCAACAACAAGACATTAAAAGCGCACAAAAACTTACACATATGTGAGAAATGTGGATGAAAATCAAAGAAGTTTAAGGACATAATCAAGATTGGATATTTTAGAGAGTGACTATTACGATTCACCAAATAAATTGGCGGAAGAAGAACTCTCTGATGCATCAGCAAATAGAAAGAAAAGTAAGATTTTAAGGATGGCTAAAAAAAAATAAAATAATACACTCAGAAAGAATGTTAATTTAAAGAAGATGTTAAAAAATACGCCATTAGACTCTGAGTTTCTAAATTTCTAGAATATAACTCCGAAAGCGAAACCATAGTAGACTAAATAATGCAGTATTTGTAGATCTTAAGCCAAATATACATGTCCTAGATGCTTGGAAAGGTATTGTAGTTTAGATTGTCATCAAACTCATAAAGAGATATAGTGTTTAAGAATGGATTATTGATTTAATAATTATTATATAAAGGACTTAAATTTATTATATTGAAATGCTGAGCTAAAATAATTTGCAGGGTAGTAAAAAAAATCTTGGAAATAATTCTAGTAAACAATTGTAAAAGTGTTAAGAACAGGGATTATATTAATTTATCTTGAGCAGAAACACAGTCAAAGAGAAAATTGTTAAAAAATAAAAATAAATCACTCCTTTGAGATAGAATCGACCTTCGACTGCTTTAGTTGAATCTTAAGGGAAACATAAATTGAATATGAATTTAGGAATATAATTGGAAAGCTTTAATACTTTATAACCTAAAAATTAAATTTTTGATGAACAGCATAAAAATTACTCTTAAAACTAAAATTCATCTACACCTCATTAGAAACTTTATATTAATGATCAAAGAATATTGAGAGCAATGTCTACATTAAGAAAGATTAAAAATTAAAGGGGTTTTAGACCTTGCCCATTTACTTTAGGTTTTAATATAGAGTAATGCTCAATTAAACCTAAGGTTATTAAATAAAGATCTATTAGTTAATTATAGTAAATTAAAAGTTTAAATAGAACAGAAATAATGAAATATAAAAGATTTGAATCTCCTCAAAGTATTTTAAAATAATACTAAAATGGATCACTTACTAAATGGGAGTAGTATGATGATAGTAATCTATTTGATTTGAATTTCTTGAACAATAATCTCTTTAAGTACGAACTTTGATGACATATTTTTACGCTATTTTTTGAAATTTAAATCTCTTTATATTTAGTGTGCTTGTTTATATCGATTTGAAATTTTTTAATAAATAAAAATCTTTTTTTCTCTTTCATAATGGGTGCATATAAATATTTACAAGAGCTTTGGAAAAAGAAATAATCTGATGTCCTCAGCTTCATCATGAGAATCAGAACATGGGAATATAGATAATTACCAGTCATTCATAGAGCAACTAGACCCAGCAGACCAGATAAAGCCAGAAGATTAGGTTACAAGGCCAAATAAGGTTAGATTTTAAAATAATCTTTTAAAGGTTATGTGATTTACAGAGTAAGAGTCAGAAGAGGTGGAAGAAAATTGTTGATTAGAAAGGGTCTTGTTAAGGGTAAACCTAAGAGTCAAGGAGTTAATCAATTGAAACCCACTAGAAATCTTAGATCAGTTGCTGAAGAGAGAGTAGGCAGAAAAATAGGAGCATTGAGAGTTTTAAATTCATATTGGGTGGCTTAAGATGGAACATATAAATATTATGAAGTCATCACAGTTGATCCATTCCATCCAGCTATCAGAGGAGATCCAAGAATCAATTGGATTACCTAACCTGTCCACAAACACAGAGAATTAAGAGGTATATTTTGCAAATTCTATAATTAATAGGCTTAACATCAGCAGGTAGAAAGAGTAGAGGTCTCAGAGTAAAGGGTCATAGAAATAATCAAACAAGACCTTCAAGAAGAGCCAATTATGCCAGAAGAAACAGAATTTCACTCAGAAGGTATAGATGATGAAATATTTTGCATATACTCAAGTACAATTAAAAATAACAAAAACATCCCCTAATTTATTTTATCATTTTTGAAAATATTAGAAAATAATTTATTTATGAACCAGATTTTCTATCCTCTCACCTAAGTACATAGAACTTCAAGTAGACAAATTAATAAAGTGGTTTACTATGGCAATGCTTTACCCAAAATAAAACCAAAATCTAACGATCTAAAATAATCAATATTTGATTGGTATTAAAAACCTATCTAATTTTAAGGTTGAGACAACTAAATTAAGAACAATTAGAAGAAGTGCTTTCATTTACATCTTATTTTAGAGTTTATTCATATCTTAAAATGTTCAAGATAGATCAAATTGGACTACATGAATATTAAGAATTATTATGTAGTCCTTTTGAAGTGGATGTCGAATAGGAACTTACAAACTTTTATTCTATATAAATTTGCAAACGTCTAAATAAGATTGATCTAAATGCTCATAAGGTATTACATTAATTTTAATAAATTAAAGTACATTCTTGATCACATTTATGTGTCTGATTATGAATGGTTATTTGATACCATTACATTAAAAGGGGATGTTGAAGAAATTATTAAATCATTTGAAACTATATCAAATGGCACCATATTTACCAATTGGGGAGAATTAGAATCTCATGAAGAAGAAGGATATTTTGAAATTAACCTAAAAAAACAGAAGATATATTAAACATTATCAGAATTATTGGTTGAAGAATTTTAGATTGCTATCTTATTAAAGTACTTAATCAATCCTACCTCATAGGTATCGTTAATCTTTTGAAGGTAATAATTACACTTATTAAAAAAATTTATTAAGTATGGCTCATGTGAGATTTAATTACCTTTCAATTAATTTATAATAAGACTTCATTGATTTTCAATAATTATTTACTCAAGAAACTAATTAGAAATAATTAATTACAGAACTGAATTTAATTCATTCTTGGAATAAACAGATCTAAATGAATTCCTCATAACATCAAAATTTATCTTAAGAAGTTTAATATTATTTTAATTAACCAAAAGAATTATTTTCTGTTCCTTTAAAATAAGTACTTAATGGCTATGTTCTTTTTTGTAAATTCATAATTTCCAAAAATTTACTTAAAGAATTCCCTTTAACTTAGGTTATTGAAATTAAAAGAATTAAAATAAAATAAGATAAACAAACATAATAATAATTGTAATAACTTTTTAATTTATTTAAAAATTAATCTAAATCTAAAATATTACCATCAAATGATTAAAGGTTATTTAGTACAAATAATGAAGAAATAGAAAATAATTTATATGAATTGACAAGTTAATTTATGAAGAAACTAATGGATGAAACATTTATTGAATTGGAAAATTAGAAAAAATACAAAAAATAAAAATAGAAGAAAGCAAAAAACCAAAAAAAACAATATATGAGTGAATGTATATCAAATTGTACAGAGTATCAATAATAACAATAATAATAAGAAATTTAATTCGGAGATGAAGAATGGATTAATGATACATAAACAAAAAATCAAAAAAAAAAATAAAGAAGAAAGGAGTAATTATTTTAATTCTATATTGTTAGAAATTAAGACAAGAAGAAACTAAAAAAATTGCCTGAAATATAATAAGTGGAATCAAGTGAAAGTGCTTAAACGCAATAATTAGAACCTTCAATAAATATTGAAATTTAAAAATAAGAAGAGATCTAAGAACAAGTTTAAGAGACTTTTCTTTGTACTACAACTTCTACTCATGATGATGATGGAGAATTTATTGAAGTAACTAAAAAGAAATTTAATGGAAAAAAAAAGAAATAAAATAATAAAAAAGATAAAGAATAAAAAGAAGAGTAAATTTAAAAATAACCAGTTTTATTGAAAAAATCTAATTCTTCATAACAGAATTATTTATCTGATGATTATAAAATGGGTAATACAACACCCACAAAAGTTTTATCTTAGAAAAAAGAATAAGAAAGTCCTCCACTTCAAAAACCAGGTTTAGTGAAAAGTGCAAGTAAAGAATAAAAAACATATAAATATGATTTAGATAAAGGGATACTTGAAAATATATATCAAAATATTTTAGAACATAAGATAAGTAGAGATATCTAATCAATGTATTAAAAAGAATAAGATAATTTATTAAAATTCAGATAAGCAAGAGAGATTGCTATATTAAGAGTATAACATATAATAAAAGCTCATTTCTTTTAATTTTAAGTTGAGCCTGTTATTTTTGGTTCTTCAAGAACAGGATTAGCTCTTCATGATAGTGATGTTGATATGGTTGTTTTTGGATTACCTGTATTCACAAAAGCATAATTATTTGATCCAATGAGAAAATTATTGGAAGTTTTCTCATAAATGAAATGGGCTATTAGTTACAAGTATTTAATTATATAATAATTTACAGACACATATTTTAAGCTACAATTCCTTTGATAAAAATTACAATAGATCCTTCTGTTGGTTTTTTAGAATTTGTTGGTAATCCTCTTTATTATATAATGAATCATAGAAATATTGAATAAATGAATTTAAAATATGGGGAATTATGTATAGATTTTATTTAAAAATAGCATAAAATATCTAAATTGACATCACTTTTGAGTTATAGTAACCATATCCAATGTATGGATTTTAAGGATATCATGTTGGACTTCTTTCAACAGATTATTAACTTTAAGTAGGAAATTCAATTAAAGGATTCACTGAAGTAGCCATAGTCTTAAAGAAAATATTGAAATAAAGAGGATTGAATGATTCTTATACTGGAGGAGTGAGTTCTTTTTGTTTAACTATTATGTTAGCTGCTATTGGTGAAAATTTAACTTTAGGGGATAAATTATTATAATTTTTATAAAGATATGGATGGAATTTTGATCCTGAATTATAATATATCTCCTTACATTCTTAAGAACCATTTATGCCTATTTAAGATTAAGGAGATAGATTACCTTTGAATATTATTTCACCAATCAATGAAGAAAAAATTCAAATCTATGTGTCTAAAATTTAAGAAATTTTATAAGTCTTCAAAGAACTCTATTTAGAATTAAAAGAAAATATTAATCAAATTGCTACAAGTTTACAAAAAAAATTAGATTAAAAGGAATTATTATAATTACATTAAACAAATATTGAGAAGCTTGTTGATCTGATCTAATGGCAGAATCAAAATCTTCTTGATAGTCAATTCTGATATTTATTTATATATTTTGTTTATAAATGAATCTAATTATTATATGATTATTTTTGATAAAATTGAAAACAAAATAGTTTTATTATTAATTTTTCAGTTATATTCATTTAATTCTGAATAGTTTAATTTGAAATCTTTTTTATTTAAATTCTGCTTTTCTTCTTTCTAATTCTTTAATATAAGGAAGAAGAGGAGCAGTACTTTTTATTAATGTAAAACCAATTACAATATTATTAAGTTGATTATTAATAATAAGATTGATGAGACTTTCTAATTTTTGTTATTTGATTCTTTAAATGAGATCAGATTAGACATTATTTTTTTAATTTGTTAGAGGAGTGAAACATTAAAATTAAGAGACAGTTTTATTTAAAATTGGTGTTGAAGTATTATTATTATTATTTGTTGATCTTGAATGATTGTGATTTCTTTTTTATGTGCTTGCCAATTATGATGAATGTTAAATCATTGCAATTTTTTATTAAGTTCTTGGACATTCTTGACTTACAGTTTTTACTTTTTATTTTACATCGTTTACTTCTATTATTGATGTAAAGATCTCTGGATTTCTTTTAACTATGTGTGCTGAATCAGGTTATCTTCTTCTTTAAATTGGAGTCCTATTAGCTAACATAAAATGTTATATTTACTTTATCTAAGACTTAATAAATCATAGAGTTTAGTTTTAGCTGATGTATATTATTCAAATTTATATTGATCATAAAAATGAATGGTTTTCTATTTTTTTTGATAATTAGCCGCTTACGGGATTGATTTAATTTCTATAGCTGATTTTGATTAGATTGTAATAGGTATTTATGGTCTATGATAAAGTGTAAACTCTTAATTCAAAAAATAATTTCCATTTTGAAGCCTCGATTTCATATTTAATTAATAACGTAATTTTGTTTTAATTTGTTTAATTATTAGTTTTGAAGTACTCTTTATAAGGTAAAAAAGAAATGGAAGAATTATTGATGTTCTCTGCTTAAAACAAATTAACTTTTGTTTATAATAGGAACACCTTATAAATTTAGACTGAATTCAAAGTTAAAAATATATCATAGAATATCTTGGAAATTTAAATAGAATTGTCAAATCCTTCGAATTACATAATAAAACCAAACAATTTTTACATTTAGAAACAAGAAACAAAGGTTGTAGAGATAATTCAATTGAATTACGTAGATAAAATATATAAAATATATAGGTTCCTATGAGATTAGATGAAAGAGCAAAAATAATGTATAGGACAATTTAAGAGAATTCAACAACTTCAAGAAAAAATACATAAACAATATATCATTTCTATAAATACTTTTTTTTTGAGTTATCTTGTCATAAAAAGAATTCTTTGATAGATGAGAGTATGAGTAGTAATTTTACTTAAGTGAGATGGACAGAAGAGAGATAAAATTAGATAGTGAATGATTCTTTAAGTTATTGGTAAATTGTGAGTCTAACGGTGTCTATAATAGTAATAATAATGGCATTGTTGAATTGGTTATATATAAAAATATTAAAGAATGATTAATGAATTAATTTTAATCTTGATTTAAATAAAAATTATTATAAATGTTTTTAGGGTTAAGTAAGATAAGATTAAATTTTGGAGCAGTTTTGGAATAATATTAATACTTAGTAAGATAAGAGGAAATAGCTAGAGATGAGAGGTAGGTAAACACGGTATGATAAAATAATTAAGGTTAAAAGATTGTCTAATTTGATAGAGTGAATGATGAATTGATGAAAACACATTAATAATGGTTACAATATTCAAAGTTTTTGGATGATTTTATAAAAAGAAATTATAAACCCTAAGAAAATTAAGTTTAATAGACAACTGCAAAATAATCATCATTTTTTAGCTCTTTATTTGGAGGGTCATAGACTGTAAGCATTAAAGATACAAGACTATAATCAACATAATAAGATCATAATCGTCCATTTGTATAGTAGATTTAAGGTTTATATGTATTTGGTTCACCAGGATGTGGTAAGACTTATATAATGGATTTATTTTATGATTAATGTTAAATACCTTAAAAAAAACGAATCCATTTTAATGAATTTATGCTTGATATTTAAAAAGATTTACATAAATGTTCTAGTAAAGAGGATCCTGTAAGTAAAGTTGGAACTGCTAAAGCTAAAGAATTAAGATTATTATGTTTAGATGAATTTTAAGTTACTGATATAGGTGATGCTTTGATTTTAAAAAGATTATTTGAAACAATGATAAATAATCATATGGTATTGGTTGCAACATCTAACAGACCTCCTGAAGATTTATATAAGGGAGGATTATAAAGACATTTATTTTTACCATTTATTCCATTTTTAAAGTAATCATGTATTATTCACAATATGGACTCTTAGGTTGATTATAGATACTCTTATGTATTAATTTTCTATATTTGCTATTATAGTCTGAAGCTTAAACTGAAAGATTATTAACATATATTAGTCCACTTGATGAAAATGCTGAATAAACTATTAAAGGAGTTTTCAAAAGAATTAGTGGTACTGATAAATTGTAATCAATTGTTATTAAATTAATAGTTATGAAAAAGAAATAGAAGTTATAGAAGGAAGAAATTTTAAAGTTAAAAAATAAGCTAATGGAGTTGCATTATTTGAATATGAAGAATTATGTGAAGATGTTGTTGGAGCATCTGATTTTATAGCTTTATGTAGAAATTATCATACTATTTGTCTTAAAGGAGTTAAATAAATTAGTATGAGTAATAGAAATGCTGCTAGAAGATTTATTTTATTAATTGATGAAATGTATAATCATAAAACTAAATTATATTGTTCTGCTGAAAGAGATTTAATGAATCTCTTTATTGTTAAAAATAAAGGAGATTAATATGATGAAGAATTTGCACTTGAAAGATGTAGATCTAGATTAAAAGAAATGTAATCCAAAGAATATCTAGAAACTCCATCTTATTATGATCAATAGAAATAATGATTAATTTGAGTATATATATATATATATATATTAAATATTCATTATATTATTACAAATTATTATTAATTCTTTTAAGATTATTTTATATTTTAACCTTTTATTGATTCAAATGTAACTTTCTTATAAAGTGATGATTTCATTGATTTATATTTACTACTATTATTACCATTACTACTTTCACTGCATACAGATTTACTCTTCAATATACTCTTAGGTTATTATGTAATCAGTAATAAATTATTTGTACCATTATACATCTATCCTAATTTACTCTCATTTAATGAATATCTATTTAACTTATTCATACTTAGCTTTTCTTAGATTGGATTTTTAAATTAATCAAATTAATTAGGCACATTATTAGATCCCTATACTATTCTTATTGCCTAATAATCCTATGTTATACTAATTTTCTTTTCTTAAGAATTACCCATTACACTTTTTTACTTCTTAAATGTCGAATTTTTACTTACAAAACTTTGAGACTTTTTAGATTATGTGTCTATTAATTAAACTTATTAATTCTTATTTAAAATTGGAGATTGAGATTGACTTGTTACAGAATACAAAGATCCTTTTTTACTTTTTTTCTTTCTTTATTTATCTTTTGCCAATTATATATCAAAATTTTAATTAAAACACTATTCATTTCTTGTTTGTTCTTCTATTGATACTTATTATTAATAATCACTCAATTTCCTATTACATCTATATTTATTCAACGATAAATTAGTATCCTGATATGTCTTGAATTTATACTCACTTGAACTAGACTTTATATTCATTATCCTTTTATATACTGAAGTACTAGTTTCTGTTTAGTATGTATCATAATCTTGTTATTTAAACTTTGGTTGCATTATTCTACAATCCAAATCTAAGGATTATTCATCACTCCTTATAGAATCTGAATTCTCTCGGCTATTCATTTTTAATTTTAGTAGTATATAATACAATAAAATATTTTCATATCAGAGTGGTATATATTTCTATTTAGAATGATTAAAATAACTATCATATTATAATTTCTAAGGTTTTTTTATTTTATCACTTTCCTCTTTTTAAGTGTTCACAATTATAGTTAATCCATTAATCAACTAATCTCAAGCAAAAATTCTATTTACAAAGAACAAAGACACTTATGAAAGAGATTTATTTTAAAAGAGTTAATTATTATGATTTCTTAAACATTTTATTTTTTTCAAAATTTGTATCTTCTCAACGATACTAAGGTATGCTTAGTATTGTTGTATAATTATTTTTTATTCTCATCCAAATCATTTAATTAATAATTTGCTGAATAATTAATATTTGAAATATATATTATTCTCCCAATCATCAAATTCATTTGAGATAACAAAAATCTCTTTAATTACGATACTTAATTTACTCTTAAATTTAATTACATAATGATATAATTTTGATTCATAGTAAATTATTCATAAATTTCACAATAGAAATTATTCAATCAATTCTTCAGCTGTTTTTTATTTCCCATGTTTCTCTACAAAATTTTTTATTGCAGCCTCTCCTTTTTGTGGGAACAATTCCAAAAGTTTAAGTATAGTCTCTTCTTATGGAGATAGTTAAATTTTGGGAGGAGCCTTTACAGTAATTGGAATTACACCATCTATTAAATGTAATTTCCCTGATTCATCCTCTGCATAAATCTAAAATTTTATAAGATATAATGATTTACTTAAAACCTATAACAATATTGTTCATTATTTTTAAAATGTTAATCTATGTATGGTATTGAAATCATAACTGATCCTTATTACTCAGGAGCAAGATCTTTAAATTTCAAATTTAAATTCAATCCCTAATTATATATATATGGGTTCTTCCATGTCAGATTACCAATATTTTTAAATTCTAAATTAATTGAAATCTTCTTATTTGGAATAGCTGTGAATTTTGGTATTTTTTTCATCATTAATTGAAATTTATAATCAGAGGGAAGAATATTATTAATTGGGTTTTTTAATAAACCTAATTCTTTGAGCTTTTAATCAATAATTTCATTTATTAATTGTTTTAGTTATTCATTATTTCTAAAATCGATTTAATTTGTATTTTAAGCATTATCAAATTTTTAAACTTTTGCTTAAGTACTTAATATAATTTAAATTCATATACCTCATATTTTCAAACTATGGTACAAATTATTGCTATTAATCTTAAATATTAGGTTAAACTAAAGTAGATGCATCTTGATTTTTTTTTTCAGTACTTACAACACTCTAATTTAAAAGATTCCATGATTATTTCAAAACATCTTGATAATTCTCATTTTCTGTAACTAATAACTTAATAGAAGTCCATCCTTATTTATGATAAGCTACTTTTAACTTTTAAAAAGTAACATCTGAATTTATTTCAGTTACCAAATCAGGATTCTCTATTATTCTAATTTAAATAAATACCTGGATTAATGATTGCAAAAAGATAAATATTAGTCAATGTTTTATAACTATTTTTGATTGTTTCAACGAGATTATAGTAATTAGTTACATTTGAAGGCACTTTGTGTATTTTCTTTTGATAAATAAACTTAATATTTGACATTTATTTAATTAATATTATATAAAATTCATATTTACACTTCTTTTAAAGGTGAAATTTTTAATTAAACTGAATTTTGTTCCATATAAATAGGAATTTCGTTGTATATGTTATTTATAAGTGAGTTTCTCAATTTATTTGAGTGATTAATTTAGATAAATACAAAATATAATTATTTCTGTTAAATTTATTAATGGGAAATTAGATTCAAAAAATCAATCGAAAAATCGATTAATTGTTATTTAAAGCTTATGAATATTTAATCTAGGAAGAAGAATTATCAGACACAACTGTTGATGCACTTTCATCAGATGATAACATTAATGAAAATTATATAGAAAATTAGTAATAAAAAGAATAGAATTAATGTGAGGATCAACCTTAAAGTATGAATCTAAATATTAATAAATCGAAAATAATAAATATAAAATCAGATGCTCAAACTATTTTGGGTAATAAAAGAAAATCGCAATCATAATTACTTTCTGATAGGAAGAGCAATAAAAAAATTTGTGAAAACAAAGAAAATTGCCTTTGAATTGAAGGATATATGTATTTAACTTTATAAATTTACATTTTTCTAAAAATAATAGTTTTAAAGAGTTCAGAAATTTATTGATTGAATCAAATAAATATTGTATATTAATAATTTATTTATAGTAAATTGAATTCATAAATAAATAAGTTAAAGAAATAAATAAATAATTCAATCTTAATGAATAATAATATATTCTTCTAAAAATTGCCTAGCCTGACATTTAAGTCCTTATTTTTTCTTATAGTCTGATTAATATCTACTTTTTCGATTTTACTATCCAGATAAGGCTGGCATAAATGGTTAGTTTTATTATGGTAAAATTGCATTAGTTTATGATTATGAAACAACATTATAAAAATGTTAATAAGATGTTTTTAAATATGGATTTGGTGTTTAATTAGTGTGTCTTTTATAATGAGCTTCTCTAACATAATGATCATTTTCTAATTAAGAACTACATGCTCTAAAGTGATTCTTATAAGTTGTCTTTTGAGATATTGGTAAATTTACAGAATGATCAACCTCTATAGGCTTGAGCATTAAAGTGATGTCTAATGTAACTTTTATATCATACTATTTGGCAATTGTTTAAAGTTTGTTCTATAAGATGTCATTTCTACTATTGGAGAATCATTTTTCCAATCTTAGGATGATGGTTTGAAATTTTCAGTTTTCTAAAGATTAAATGATTAAAAATTTCTTTAGTAAGTAGAAGATCTAAAAATTTGATCGAAATTTGATTAATATTCTATCTTTTACACTGGCTTTGGAGGAGAAGAGTATTTCCACATAAATTCTCTTTTATAATTTGACAATAATAGTTTAGGATAATCATAAGGTTATTACACTACCTAACATTTGCATTAACCACATAAACAATCAACACATACACATGTTCCATCAGCATGTGAATAATTTCTTGATTTTTACATTCTAACATCTTTTATTCTTTATTCTATTGAACTTGTTGATCTTGGTTTCGACATTTATATTTAGAATAATTTTTATTAAAAATAAATTAACCTCAATGATTTCATATGAAATTATCTAAGAACTTCTGAATTTTTTTTGGAAATAAAGCATTTTTCATTCAGACTAGTCTGATTATAAATTTTCTATTATATAACATTTTATTTTTGATATTAAATATTGATTATTTGATATTCAGTTTCAATAAGATTAAAAATAAATAATTAATATCAATATGATAGGTCCAAAATAATTATTACTTATACCTTTAGACATATACCAGAATTATGAAGATCAAAGTTTATAATGCTTAGATGATTTTGAAGTCAAAATATAATCCAAGGAAGAATTCTCTACAACTCACATTGTACAAACCCAATCTTCACACAAAAAGATTGAGAAGATTGATAAGAAAGTTTAATTCAATCCAACTATCATTCGCTATTCCTTCTCTAAAAGTGAACCAGCCATTAATATTTCAAAATAGATGAAGAAATTGATTCAAATGTAGCCAAATTTAAAATGGATCAACCCTTCACTTTGAATATTAAACAAAAATGATTCCATATATATTTCACTCTTTGTATATTAATATTAATTTAAATTTCATAACATATTGTATTTTTACCAAAAATTGTTCAATTTTAGATGTTGAAATTCGGATAAACATTTTATTAAATGCTTTTTATATTTTAATATAGCAATAAATTATTATTTTAATTTTCTACATGAATATCTGAAAATAGATATCAAATACTTATTAATAAAGATAAAATTTTTAAACCTTTGATAAGGTTTTTTATGATTTATATCAAATTTTTATTTTAATAATTTATAATAACTAAATTGCCAAATGTCAATTTCAAATTCTAATTCTTCAGAAAAATAAGAGAACATAAGATCAAATGAATATTTATCTGCATATTTATACAAAAAGAATTAAAATACATAAAAAGATTGCAAAGGTAAAAATAATTAACTAAATAAAAATACTATATTGTAAGAATAAACACAAAACTAATTCTAAAGCAAATAAGAAAATTAAATAGTCACAGAAATTTAAGCTTAAGAAAATGTTGCAAATTAATTTTATCTTCCAAAAAGAAGATATAAAAGATCTTCCTCTTAAGAAAGGAAATCTAAAACATAGCCTAAACTGAATGAAATTGAAGAAACTTAACAATAAACTCTAAAAAAAGTTCGTAAACATTCTCAGCGTAAAATATAACGTTCATTATGTGTTAAGATATAAATTATTTAATACAATAACAATGTACAAACAATTGAAAATTATGTATCTCCAGAAATAGCCGCGCAATAATTATAGAATAAAATAAAATAATAGAAAAATGAATAAATACCTATTCAATAAATTTAATCAAATATATTCTAATTACAAAGCAGAGAAATTATAAATAGAACCTCTAAAAATTAAGTAATAATTTCAGAAATTGATAGAGAAAACTAAAATAAGTTTTTTAATCAGAAAAAATTAACAAACTTTGAAATAAAAATGGGCTTTGATAATGATCAAAAATTGAAAGAAAAACAAAATATTTTATCGGATACATATGAAATATTGAAATAGAATCCTATAAAATCCAATAAAAAACGACATTCAATTTTAGAAGATTGTCTTTAATTGTGTATATTATTATTACCAAATATAAGAGAAAATAAAGAGTAAATAAGTTCATTTTAATTTTATCAAAAAATAAAACTGTAATATAATTTAAATAGAACTCATTAGGCTTTTTTAAGAAGGTATAAATTAACAAATAAATAGATTTTATCATTTATTATTATTTTCAAGTTGTTGGACAATATAAAATATCTAGAAGATGCATGATATAATAAAGAATTTAGAGCTGAATTAATTAGAAGCACTCCATATAAATTATAGTATATTAAAAAAGAGAATTGAATTTCCTTCAATAAATTTACAGAAAAAATCACCTTAAAAACCAAAGGTTGTTGAGGAAATAATAACTAATTCATAAAAGAAAAAGATTGTATTATCATGTATTTTATTGATTAATAAATTAGTAACAACAAAAACATTATGTTAATATGTAAATATTTCAGCTAAAGAGATAGACGAGGATATTTAAGAGTTTGATGATGAGTTGTAATTTATTGATATGATTCTACAATTAATACCTCTCGCTTTATGATTTTTGTTAATTTATTTGTATTTATGTTTTTCAGACAGAATTTATTGAATAGTATTTGGTTAAAATTATATATTAGCGTGTGTTTTGTAATAATTGAAAATAAAATTTAAATAACATTTCTTTGATATCTAAAATGTTTAAATAAATGTCGTCTTTGTAATATTTGGTAAGTTATGATAAAGTATAGTAATTGTAAAACAACTAATTGAATATATTTAAATTCTAAAAAAATTTAACATTTACTTTCAATATTATTTTTTCAAATGTCTTAACAGTATTAATAGATGAATGAAGAAAATGGGGAAATTGAAATTCCTATTAATAAACCACCTAATTAGTAAGATAATGTTGCTCAATAAAAGGTTACAAAGTAAAAATAAGATTTGAATTTATAGAGTAAAAAAAGAGAAGAAAAATGTAGATGATTCAGAGTCTTCCTCCTCATCAGATGATGATCTTAAACCTATAATAAAGAAATCAGATAAGAAGAAAAATGATGATAAGAAGTAAGTGATATTTTCAAACGTATTTTTAGAAAGATTAAATCGCTATAGTTATAATAGATGGAATTAGAAGAGTCAAATAAATAAGCACTTAAATGGGCAATTCGTTTAAGATCTTTTAGTCGAATTATATTTTTAATAATTACTACAACTGTTTTGTTTACCGGTTTTTATGTAATATTTGAATTTTTTGCATTTTATGATGGCATTCAAAAAATACCTGCCAACTCTAGATTAATGATGAATGTTACAAATTGTCGAATGCATATCATAGATAGTGTAAATAATAAAGTTTATTATAGGAATACTAAATTACTAAATCAATGTCTTCAATTAAATATTTAGGTGCAAGTATTACAACTTTGAAAAAGAAAAATTCTCATTCTTAAAGTCTTAATTAATCAACAATAGAAGGGCCAAAATTAAGTGATGCAATTGATGAAAGTTAAAGTTTACTAATCCCTGATTTTGCATTAGAATATTCAATACCTGGAAGATTCAATATTGATCCAAATGCAAATACTTCTACTGTTTCTGAAGATATTTAAGGATCAAATTATAGTTATGAATTTACAAACTTACTATCAGCTTAAAGTTGTTAGATAGATCTCCATGTATATAAATAAGCTGTTCTTGATGATTTATCAATCAATTGTTTTGGATCCTGTTTTATTGTGATGACTTCTAATAATATATCATATAATACAATGAATATTGTAATTATTTTTTATAATAATAATTTAGACAGGAGAACTGGTAGAGTTGAATGCATTAAAATTAGTTACTAAGAATTTAACATTCAATAGTATATAGGGAAGGTTTTAAGGAAATTATTTATAATTTGAATAATTTTCAGATGTTAGATTAGAAAATGGAGATATTATATTTTAGACAGATAATGAAATGATGGTAAATTGGACGCATGCAAATCCTCATTATTGTTATGCTGCTCCAGTTATAGCAAATCCTATTGTTGTAGGTTGTTAAGAAGCACCTGCATCTGAAGTTAAAGCATTTATTTAAGGTGTTGGTACTGGAAAGAAAAAAAAAAAGAAGGATTAAGATAAAGATAAAGATGATGATGATAAAGATGATAAAGATGATAAAGATAAAAAAGATAAAAAAGATAAAGGTGATGAAACTGAATTTTTAAGTTTAGAAGATGAAATCTATGAAAGTTTCTTTGCTGATGAACATGATAATTTATAAGGAAATATTATCTTATTACCATTTGTTGATACTTATAATGAATCAAAATAATTTTAAGTTTAATTAGATTAAATTACTCATTAAGAAGAAAAAGATGCTACAACCACTAAAACTGACACTGATCCAAAAAAAGATGAAAAAGATAAGACTTAAAATCCTAAAGCAAATATGTAAAGTAAAACTAAAGATACTAAAGAATAATAAGCTCTTTTATTTTAACCATCTTGTTATGGTAATTCAATATTTTGTTAATCTTTGGAATGTAAAAGTATTAAAGAAGCATTAACAAAATCTAATAATACAATTAAACCAACAAATTCTACTGATTAAAATTCAGGTAAACCTTAAGGATCTACTTTATTAAGATTTTTGAAAGAAGGAGAAGAATTAAAAACAAATGATAAAAATAATTAAACAGATAAAGATGATAACAAAACTGAAACTAAAATAGATTATAAAGGAATTAATGCTGAAGCATAAAAGAAATTACCACATTCTATACCAACAGGATTAAGATTTTTAAATATTACTGGTAGATTTGGTAATCTTTATGTTAATATTATAAAAAAATAAAATAAGACTGTTACTACAAAAGATACAATAATTCATGGATTAAGTTATGCATCAGGTAGTGTTGATTTTGATTTACCAAGTTAAAAAACATTAAGACAATATTTAAAAATGGCTGATGATCCTCATAATTTTGATCCTAATTTTGTTCTTAAAGTTGGTTCAAAAATAACTAGATCTGATAATTATTAATAATGGTCTTTAACTTATAATCCTGCTTATTCATATGTTAAACCATGGTGGATGGGTACATTTTCATTTACTCTTATGAGTACAGCTTCATGGGCTCTTGATTTGAATTTAAGTCCTGGATTTTGCCCATATCATCCTACTTTAGATTTAGATGATATCTATAATACTAGATTTCTTATTGGAAAATATTTTGAAAAAGCAGAACATTCTATAACTACTATTTCATGGTAAAATTCAGTCAAGTTTCCAACAGAACATTATCCAAGAGAAGCTACAGGATTACGTAAATATATTGAATCTAATAATGAATTTGAAAGATGGGTAGAAATTACTAAATTAAATGAAACAAGCTATTAATTAACAAATATTAATTTAGATTAAAGTCCAGCTACTTAATGGGCTGTTTATGTATCTGTTATAATTTCTATTTTAACTGCATTCTTTTTAATGTTAGGAGTTCTTTATATGATTAATTCTGTTTATAAATAAATTTTAGAATAAGTTGCAGCTACTAATAAATATAGTGGTATTGAAAAAAAAAATGATGCTGAAGGAGCTCAACCATTAATGAAATTGGCTCCAGAAAAAGCTGATGCAAATTCTAAATAAGATGATAGTTCAGATAAAAAAGATGATACAGATAAAAAGAAATCATCTTCATAAGATATGGAAATGTATTTTTATATATAAATATTTTTTTTAGTGTCTTAAATATGAATTTAGGAAGATTATTATTTTAACTATTCGTATTAGCTCCTCCTTTATCAGCATTTATAGATTATTTATGTGTTTTAATTAGCAAAAAATATATAAATTCAGCTGAAGAATTCTATACTCATTTATTTTAAAAGAAATAAAAAAGTAATACTGATTCTGAATTACATAATTTAACAACTGAATCTATTCTAGGAAATGAAATGAAAACATTATATGAAAAGTTTTGTTTCCTTAATGGATTTCTTGAGTAAAAACTTGATGATGAAAAGAATCTAAAATTGCTTAAATAAAAAGGATTTAAAATTATTCTTAAAGAAGATGCTCAAACAGAATCATATGTAAGAGTTCTTTTAAATGGAATGATGCCTAAATTACCAGTAATAACCCCTGATAAAAATCCCTTAGAATTATTTATTTAAAATTGTTGTAAATTAACTAATTTTGAAGAGGATAATATTGTTGTTCAAACTTTTAATGAAAACTATTAAGAATTTTGTTTATTGAATCATTTACCTTATGAATAACCTTCAGCTTCAGAATTATAAAAAAGTTATAATATCACAAGTAAATATATTCCATAACAATGGGTTGAAAGAGATGAAGAAGAAGTTCATAAGGAAGATGATGCTCCTCCTTCATTTATGATGAAAGTTTAAAATTGTTTAACAGATTGTCTTAAGAAATGTTTACCAGAATAATAAACTTTTATAATTAATAGATAGAAGATGTAAAATCATTATTCATTAATTTTGAATAATCCAGAATTAATAAAAACATAAGCCGAATTAGCAGAAGCAAATAAAGAACTTATTTTATTTGGTGGTTGGTGGATGGTTGATTTTTTCACTGTTTTAGCTCATTTCATAACAACAGTAATTTTGATCATTCCACTTTTCTCATTTACAATATTAGAAAAGATATTATATGCATAATATTCATTAATTCCAATATAATATTTGATTACATTAGAAGATATTTTATAAAACTATTGGGTTGTACCTCTAAAATTATATAATGAAAGTACTTGGATTAAGAATGTTTTGATTCTTGTAGGTATATATTGGGTATATTCAATAATTGATTTGCTTTATTATTATATATCAATGGAGTTCCCTTAAGAAAACTTTTTTAGAAAAGTATCACCAAAGACAGCAAATAGAATTTAGTTAATTTTTAGATAAATAATGTGGGCATTAGTATTATATTCTGCATATTAATTATGTGTTTTTATAACTTTGGCATTAGTTTGGTTGCTTTTAGGTGCAATAGTAAATCCAACAGCATTTTTACCATATGCAACAGCAGCAGCAACTTTTATAACAGTAATAAGTTCAAAAGCTGCATAATTTAAAGAAATTGCAACTGATGGATTTGATACAGTGATAGCATATGTTTAAAAGATTGCAAAAGATTAAATGGGTAGTATGATATCAAAAATGGATTTGAAAGGAAAGATGCATGATATGATGGATAGTGATGCATTTAAATCTGTAGCTGGATAAGCAGCTAGTTTAGGTTTAGTTGATTAAAGTACTTTAGCACATATTGAAGAAAATGCTGATGCTTTATTAAGTAATCCAGATAAAGCATTAGAAGCAGCTTCAAATGCTGCTAGTGAATTATAAGCTATAGCTGCAAATCCTTAAGCTTTTGTTGCTAAAATGATGAAAGAATTAGAAGAAAAAGCAATCTCAATGATTAAAGAATAAATGGCAAAATAAATTGAAGGATATGGATAAGAATTAGCTAATATTGCTTTAGCACTCTTCAAAAAAGATAAAAATATGTTTAAAAATAATTTAACTTAAT